TGTACCGGGCTATTGATAGGTACAATGAAATCGCCTCTGTTTATGACAGAAAAATATCTGGCCGTCCACGTAGTGTTCGTACGAAAAAGGCGATCAAAGCAGTAAGGGAAAGAATTCGAAGAAATCCTGTCCAAAAGCAAAAGATTTTATCACGGGAGATGAAGATAGCACCTAGAACCATGTCGCGTATTTTAAAAGATGACTTAGAACTTACACCCTATAAGAGACACACTGGTCATTTCTTAACGGATAATTTAAAAAAGAATAGGGTGGTAAAATCAAAACAACTACTTAAACGGTATGCAAAGGGAGGTCACAGAAAATTTTTGTTTACGGGTGAGATTTTTTTTAAATTGAGTAATATTTTAACAAACAAAATGACCGTACTTGTGCTCAAAGCTTTAAGACGTAAGTTTAAAGAAGCTTCCCAATTAGTCAACAGAGTACAACGTGGGCATTATCCGACTTCATTGATGGTTTGGTGGGGTGTTCGCTGTGAAGGAGTGACTGAGATATATTTTTGTGAAAAAAGAGTCAAAACATCGGTACAAGTGTATCAAGATACTATTCTTGAGAAGGTAGTTAAGCCCCTTAACAACACCATGTTCAATTTAGTCCCGATATTAATCCGCTGGATTATGATTTATGGCCAGTTTTAGAGAGTATGGCTTGCTCTAAATGCCATGATAATTTGGAGTCCCTAAGACAATCCATACGATTAGCAGTGAAATTTTTTCCCACGGAAAGAGTGCGTGCTTCTATTGATAACTGGCCTCAACGTTTAAACGTATTGCACCCAATGGAGACCACTTCAAATAAGCTTTATATATTTTTAATGGTTTTATATTAATGTATGAAACTAACACACTGTAATAGTAATAAATGTTACGTGTAATAGAAAAAATGTTTTTTTCTTTGTAACAATATTTATGGCAAAACTATGTAGAATAATGTTATAACTTTATAACTAAAACCAAAAAAGTCAAATTTTACTTCAACTCATCTGCTTATGGACTCATTACAAGATAATTTTTTTTTTTATAAAACCCCTAACAGTAAAATTATCGCATTTTAAAGGCCACAAAATCAAAATATGTCTCTTCAACAGAAACTTTATTAAATAATTCATTTAAATTTTAACATGACGCAAGACAAAAACATTAACAGATTAGGTACATTTACTCAAAAAATCTCTTCATAAATATGAAATATAAGTATCTACACTTAAATTAAGTTAAATTATGTCTAAAAGAACATTTTTATTTTAAAATGGCAGTTGTAGGTACTACCGAGCTCTAGTCTCTAATCAACGCTGTTACGAGTACCTATGCGCTGAATCTATACCAGCTTCCATTGGTTTTCTCTTTATCTTTTTAAAACTTATTTTCTTTGTAAATATAAAATGAAAGCGTTCTCAGATTATATTTCACAAAGAGTCATTTTAATTTTATTAAAAATAATTTTAAGAGTAGTTGCTCTTCTTTATCAAAAGTTCATTTAACAATAATGTAAGGCACTTGAAATTCAAAAATATGTGCCCTAAAATTTTCACGTCTCCTTAAATTTTTACGACGCTAGCAATTAATACGACAGCAATTAATATTTTTATTGACGGCAGTTTGATCATTAATATTAAAACTCTCCATAGAATTTAGTTCTTACGTCATTTCTATCTACTGATAGCTTTTAATTGAATCTAGGCAAGAAAACTTTCTTTATTTAATAAAATTTAAGAAAAGTTATAGTACAGCGGAACCTGTTGTATCTAGGACAGTTTTTTACATTTTCATGTTTAAAGATTAACTAATAAGTATTTAAACCTGCAAAATATCCATATATGGAAAGAACAATTATTTAACTATATAATTCATTAATAAAATTTGAGGATAAATAAAGCCAGGAATAAAAGCCGGTAGAAGAAAAAAGGGAAAACTGTCCAAGGTTTGTAACTTCGTATGTAGTAGTGCCAAAAAATACAGACAAAAAAATGTCATCTACAGAAGTTGGATTTTTTTTTTTCGTTTGTAGTAGAACAAAAAAAATGTTTTTCGAGTATTTTTGCAGAACGATTTTTACTACATAAATTCAATTTGAAAGTCGATTACTTATATTACCAAAAAAAAAGTTAAAAGCGCTTGATGTTTACGTTTACCGTTATTTAATAATTTTGTCGAAAAAAAGTCCTCCCCCCAAAATTGTAATGAGCAGATAATTATGGTAATTAATAAAAATAAATCGTCAGAATAATATCACTCACCATATGAGCAGATTAAACAAAATTAACACGTTATTAAGCTGTCATATACATGTCAACAGCAACAAGAATATGTACAGATCAAAATCTTGAATAATTTCCAATTTACTTAAGATTCAATGTAAATAGCTATATTCGCGATGCTACAAATATTTGCAAATTTTAAAAGTAACAACTTCTAATTAATTATTTATAAAACAGCAGCAACAGGTAAGTGTTATATATTAATTTTCGAAAGATTAATTTTATTATAAATTATAAAGAGCTCCACTTTCCACACGAGAGCTTTAGGTATTGCCTCATCTCAACAGTGAAGTATTATTCGATATATGAAGTATAAACATTATCAATACATATCATCTAAAGATTGTTCTCAATATATATTCCAATCTAAATTAAATGCTATTCTTATTTATAAACTACGTTATAGAACCGTGATGACATGAGGCCGCGAGAAATTAACATTTTAATTATATGTCCACATCGTTTGATCCTCGACATTTCATTTGACCAACGATGACGCTTGGAAATATTACTATCGACAACCGTGTGACATCCAATCGAGCCTACGACAAGCACTTAATATATTGTTAAATTGGACACATAATTGCCATCACTAAACCGCCCGCCCTAACGGCGCAGATAATCCTCTCACAAAAAATTACAATATGCAATAATAATACAAATTACAATATGCAATAATAATAACACTAGTTTACATGGTTTTTGTCCTTGAAATGAAAAGTATTTTTTCTTAACAATTAAGATGCACTGAGTTAAACAAAAATTAATTAAATATTCCAACACGTCAAATTTCTAAAATATTTATTTATTTTAATTTCCAAAAAAATACATACATAAATATATAAAAAAAAGTAAAAATAAATTGCCTTAGCTTTTTTCTTGTATTTATTTGCATCTGTGTCTCTTATAATAGACCAGCAATAGTCACTTAACATAGCCTGGTCCCAGTATTCTTGATAATTTTGCTCAAAAAAATTAAAGTCCTGGTGAAAACACTCCATATTCGTCGCTGACGTGTCAAGTCTTTCATAGAAGATATCGAGGTGCAAGTGAAAGAAATGAACTTTCAGAGACATGTGGGCACCCTTTTGTTTAAAATTATTTAATGAATCGGCAATTAATTGTCGCTAATTTTCTTTATTTTGTTGCCTTAGAACTCTTGTCATAAAAATTCGTAATGAATTCCAAGCAGAACTTTCAGTGTCTGAAAGGCTATTTTGGTTTTCTAATATTTTTTTGATTTGCGGTCCGATAAAAACACCTTTTAATTTCGTCTCAGAAAGATTAGGAGTCATTAGAGATAGAAAATGGCCTCATATTCATTAAATTAAACACTACACTGCTTCAACATTTTGCAATGAATTTAAAACCAACTTGTGGGTAGCTATAAATATAAAATGTGACGATAACTTTAGTTTTTGACGTGATACAGTTAAAAAAAATTATTTTCGCGTTTAGTTATTGTAACTGAATAAAATAATATAAAATTCACTGGAAGGACATAACTTTTTTTTTATTTTGTAAACTAGTGTAATATGCAATTCTGCCTATATATAGGTACTCCAAAATTCACCTCAAATGGACCTGTGCTACTCATAAACTAAAGGCAACTGGCAAGGAATGACACAGCAAGCACATTATTATGAAGATATAATTAATTATTCGCGTAAATTTTGCGAATAATGTATGCTTAGAATGGGTGTTACTCCACGATCCAATGGTTCCCTAGTTAATGACTCTAAGACAACGTCAAATAATTATTAAGCTTACTTTATAAAACTAAGACACGTAGTAAAAGGTATTCTAAACGTTGACTCGAGTAATAAGTTATCACTACACAAAATTTGGTTAAAATTTGTTTAGTACTTTTTGCGTTAAAACTGACAAAAATATCAATAATCAATATTTTGGAGTTTATTTTACTGTACAGAATACGTAACAGTCATTGTTTTTAAAAACATTTTATGAACAGAACTCGCTGTTACTATTTTATTATATGTAAGTATATACTAGCCACTCACCCTCGCTTCGCTCGGGTTCGTCCCTAGCTTGCTTCCCTATGCAAACTTACATCCCCCTAATTGATGATTCCGGGATAAAAATATATAAATATTCGGATAAAAATATAAAAATATGTAATATATAGATTTCCGGGATAAATATATCTTATGACCTTCCCAGGGTCTCAAACTATCTTCTTACCAAATTTCATCTAAATCGGTTCAGTAGATCCAGAAATTACCCCCTACAACATCACAAACTCACAATTCACAAACTCATAAACTTTACCTCTTTATAATATTAGTATAGATTATGTAATATATCATATTAGTTAGGTAACTACCTTAAACTTTTTTAATTTCAGATAATGTCTTTAAAATCTCAAAGTGTCAAATCTAAAATCAAAGTAACTTTAGATACGGAAAGTTTACGTAATCTTTCTCCAGAGCATAGCAATCTCGTCACCTACACATTACTGACTTTTTTAATTATAATTGCAATATACTTTTTAACTAAAGATTGGAAAGGCTTTAGCACTCCAGAAGAAGTTGACCTTGGTTCTGTAAGAATTAGACCTCGTACTCCATATCGACGAAAAGCAAACAGAGGATCAACTCAGTAAAGTAATTATTTATGAACTAAAGATACTCTAGTATTGCTCAACTCTAAAACGACTGTGCTAAGTTTAAAATACTGATTAGTATTTAGTACATATTTATTAAATTTTATTATCAAATTTAATATCCAAAGCTTTTAGCTCACTGTAGACAACACTTAAGTTTGCAAAACAAGCAGTTTTACTTTCTTCTCTTCTATTCACACTTGTTGAAGCTAAACCAAGTAACAAACCTTTCTGTACTAAAAGGTCTCCAGCTCGAACAGGACATTTCCCAAAGGTATCAACACAGATTGTTTTATTTTTATTTAAAGTACGTAGCTCCTCGAAAGAAGTAAAATTATTATTATTATTATATTTGGCAAGTTGAAATGAAAACGACTTTCCACCCCGATATGGCCTGCCAATAATATATAGTTGCTTATCTGCATTTACTTTAGCACCAATTTTTATAGTCTTAATGCAATCGCTAATGTAATCTAAAGTGGACAAAAGAACCAAACTCTTTGTTATCACGCCTTCGTGAGGAATGAGATCCACAGCATCTATTGAAAATCCTTTCTTACATCGAGGACTGGAAAAAATATTATATTAAAATAAATTATAGGTGGGTAAACTTATTTTATTCAGTAAGTTACAAGTAGGTATATGAGGAATAGTTAACATACTTTGTAGGATTGCCCAGTTTTAATTGGATAGGTCCAGATTTTAAACACACCTCGTTTGCGAGCACAGACGAAATCGATACAACAGCACCTATACATATCAATTCATTTGATGAAATCGAATGAATTCTTGCAGCGTAAGGATGTTCATCCGCTTTAACCATATTACAGTCCATTTCAATATTGCTATAAATCGATCTAGCATCAAATCTTTTATAATAGAAAACTAAATTATTAATAACAAGAGCCAGTGTTGCTACAAATATAGCAACAAGCAATGAAATGATTCCAATTTTGCTATTTTTTGACCGATCATCCCATGGTAGATTAATAAAATTAAAACTAAATTCATACTCTTCTTTATCAGACTGTTCAATTACTTTATTACTCTCCGAATCGTGCTCCATTTAAGATACCTATTTTGAAATAATACTAACAACAAAAAGCCATCGCGATATTTATTTATTTTTAAGTATTTATGTCAAAATTCTAGTAAACTTAATCTATACCTACTAAGGCTGCATCTATACCTACTGGCTAAGTAATTATAGCCTACCTATTAAATACATACCTAATCGAATATTTTCGAAATCGTTGCCAGCCCATACAAAGCAAAGCACACCGACTTCGAAAATATTTGATTAGGAATGTATAGTAAATGAAAACTACCAATCAGTTATTTTTTACTTTTTAGTGCTTTTATTTGAAGTCGGTTTTTATTTTTTTGTTAAAAAGTTTTTATTTAATGAGGTTTTAATATTTTTGGGTTTCGTACCTCAAAAGGTGAAAAAGGAACCCTTATAAGATTACTCCGTGTAAGACCTTGCTTTTAACCAAAATTGACAATTCAAGGTCAACCGAAATTTTTAAATATAATAAACGTAAAATTTCACATTTCCACATGTTTGTTCCTACTACTAGTTTGACAACTGGTGTTTTATTTAATTACTGTCCGAAAATACATACACTACCGATTATACAAAAAAATTCGGTTTGTCCATTACTTTGGAAAAACGTTATTTTAATTTTCAAACTACTAAACGTCCTTCTGTCATCTGTGACTTAAAGTATTGTCATCCATGGCATAAAATACATATCTGACATTTCTCGCTAAGAATCAAGATTGTCAAAGTTCAAACTAGAAATGTCTTAACAATTAACAATTATGAAATGGAGCTTATTTATGACGTTTAAATTATGAATTTATAACTTAATAATTTAAAACGAACTGACATTTATCAATTAACAAAATGCCTACTGTAATATTGTTGGATGTTTCTCTATCAATGTCTCGGCCCGTACCAACGACGGACACAACAGAAAGCCACACGCGACTTACGATTGCTTCAGCGGCTATAAACACATTTTTGGATTATTTATGCAATCATGCTAAACTAGAATATGTGGCACTTGTAACTTTTTCATCAGTTTACGAAGGTAACATCTACACCAAATACCAATATAAAACAACCTAGCTAGAACATAAACTATAGAAAATAAAATGTTTTAGTTGCTGTACCATTCACTCGAGAATTTGATAATATACGAGTTAAGTTACCCCAGTTAGAAGATGGAGATAAAACATGCATAGAAGCAGCACTTCATGGTGTAAACCAATTAATCCTTACTGAATGGGGCTACCAAACACCAGTTCAAATAATCTTGGTATTACTATAATTTTTTTTTCATAGAATTTTAATTTTAATGATATTTGACGCTCATTTAATTTTGACAAGGAAACTCAATCTCATCTCATTACTCTATGAAAGTTTCTTTATTTTTGTAATATAAAATAGATTACAAGATTACTTTTTTTTAAGTTATAGTTATATCCATATAGTGGCTATGGTGTTTGTTAAACTATATTTTAGGATAAAAATCTTGCGAAATCTGTAATACCATATTACATAGATACTAAAATTTTTTGGATTCCATTATTACTATAGCTAACTGATGGCAGTTGTGGAGTGGGAGCAATTGGCAGGAACCGAATTATTCAGGCTTTACCATTACCTCCTACATATCCTGGAAAAATACATGTTTTACCAGTAGTGTCTCCTCATGACCCTTGCTTACAACATGGTGAGTTCAATGTTATATTTTACATTCAGAAATAATTTAAAAAGTAATAATTTTTTATCTTTTTAAATTTAGTAATGTTTGAAAATAATTTTACATTAATGATAGAAATAATTAAAAGGTTAATTTTTCATAAATAAAAATAATTTGCATTTCCAGCTATGCCTCTTTACCAAAAGATTGTGGATTTAGCCAGCAATACTGCAAATAGCTGTAACGGCAATATAACCAGAGGTGCAATCTTCTGCCCTGATCAACTCTCAGTACCTGGTGTATGTATATTAAAAAATCAAATAATTCTCATCTATTTGTTTAAACCACAATGATAACATTATGCAAGTTTGATATTTCAATTATTTTACAGTTATATTAGCTATATATGTGTTCCCCCCCAACGTGCGTTCACCTTGTCGTGGTGGGGGGGCTCAGTAGTGCCCGGCAATCCAACCGGGCGCGAAGCTAAGAAACGCACAGGGAGGTTGCCCACTTCGGTGGGCGGTGGGAGGCGGCCCTCTTTGGGGGGCGGTGTACCATGCGGGTTGCTCCTGGTACTTCTCTGATAGCAGAGTGGACTGTGGAGCAACCCCATGGTTATGGTGGTCTGCTTCGGCAGACCTGCCGTCGGGGCGTCGTAGTTGAATGCGTAAGCGATCCTGCGACGCCCCATTAAGACGGGGGAAGGTTTTGTTGGGTTTTAGTGGGTAGTATTGGCTGTATTACTCCGGTGAGTCCCACACGTCGTGCGTAAATGCATTTCCCAACGTTAAAAAAAAAAAAAGCTATATATGTGTTAATTTTCGGTATGTATTTTTTATAAGGAATAACCCTACAAAAATTCACATTAATAAAAAAAGTTAAGCAGTTTTTTGCATAGTCTTAGAAGCAAGATTGTAACAACAATTGAATACAAATCATTTTGTTAATATGTAGTATGGCATACTTCTAGGTTATAACAGCAATGACTCGTCTGTGCGAACAGCATTACCAAGAGTTTTGGTGCACTCTAAAATGTGGTCAACTTGAAACAAGAGTACAACTATTTCCAGCACCACAACCCGCATCTCATGAAGGCTTATCGGCAAGCTACACACTATCCAATCAGCTCCATGTCATAGGATTTTTGCAACAGCAAGACTTAGGTATTATAAGTTAACTGTATGTATTTTTTTTAATTTAAATTATTAAATATTAAAGTTTTCATAATAAATAGTTTTCATAATAAAAGGTGGTGGTAGCCCAGTGCTAACGCGCTCGTTTGGGAAACCGAGTGAAGCGGGTTCAAATCCCGGGTCTCGTACCTTCAATATTTTCATGAGCGAATCATTTCTAACATGATTACCACTTGTCTTACGATGATGGAAAACATCGTGAGGAAACCTGCATGTCTGAGAAAGCCTAGCAAGTTTTCGAAAGACATGTGTAGTTGGTTAACTCGCACTTGGCCAGCATTGTGGACTATGGCCTGATCCCCCTCGTATTGAAGGGAGGCCCGTGCCTAGTAGTGGAACGTTAAAAAGGGCAGAATACATTCAAACATATAATAGTGGTGGTTAGTGTGACCAGATCATACATTTCTTGAATAGACATTCTATGTTAATGTTTTCATTATTTTCTCATCTATATTACATTTTTGTCCATAATAATTATTGTAGTACCTTTATTTACAATAATGTATAACTCCTAAGAATTTAGACCCTTATTTATTTAAAAAAACTTACTCTTGATTGATGAAAAAATTACTCACTTCTACCTTGGTACCATTGAAGTTAATTTTAATTTTTTGCATAACAGGTACGCCAATAGCTTTAAGTAAACATCTTGTGATACCTCAAGCTCAGGTTAGCGGTAACACTTCAACTCGTGAAAACTATGGCTCCAAAACACCTACAAAGGTACCAACATTTATTATATCTTACATTTATTGTTTTTAATGTGTACTAACTCTTCAATCTTCATCCTTGCTTCATACAAGCAAATTACTAATATGTCGATAAAAAAGTTCAAGAGTGTAAAGTAACTATGATATAAAATAATTAATAAAGTCCTTACAGACTGATTATGGTGAACAATCTCACTGAGACTAGCCAATTGTGTACAGGAGATATTATGGTGAGTAGTGGCCCCTAAATACAAATGTACCTACTCTATTCCTTCACTATTAATTCGACACGACCGGTGGCTTTACGTGCTTTACAAAGGTCGGGATTATATCAACGCCCAACTTCTCATCTCCAGCTGTTGTTTAGAATTTCCTGGCATATATATATATATTCCTAACATTTATTGTTGACCTGACCCAGGACTCAAACATTGGATGACGTATCTGCACCCATACATGGTAGATTGCGGTGGTGGACAAACCTTTTTAATGGGGGGCCACAAAGTTTAAGAATTTCTAGGGGAGGGCCAGAATTATAGAAAAAATGCATTTTGTATTAAAGCTTTTAATCATATTATTATAAAAACATTACAACATTACACACTTGTGTGCATTGCAGTGACAGTTACACACAAATGAAAAAGAGTTAAACTGACAGTTAAGCTAACCGACAGTTAAACTAAGTGACAGTTAAAATAACTATCAGTTTTTGGTGTGGTTAATCTAACTTACTGTTAATCTAACTGACAGTTAAACTTCCTGACAGTTAAATTAACTGACAGTTAATCATACTAGCCATTAAACAAACTGACAGTTAATCTAACTGACAGTTAACATTACTGATAGTAAATCAAACTGACAGTTAAACTTACTGATAGGTAAACAAATTGACAGTTAAACTAACTAATGGTTATACTAACTAACAGTTAAACTAAGTGACAGTTAATCATACTAGTCGTTAATCAAACTGACAGTTAAAGTAACTGGTGGTTATACTAACTGACAGTTAATCTTACTAGCCGTTAATCAAACTGACAGTTAACGTTACTGAACGCAACTAAAATCCACAGATAACTATTCGCTAGCTATCTGGCCATTGAAAATAGCAATAATTTTATTTGTCCTTTTGTCAGTCCGTTAAGTTAATTCGCTAGTTAGTTATTTGTTCAGTTATTCGATGATTGAACAATCGGCCCTAAGTAGAATCTACTTTATACTTCTTGACCGTCAAAACGTAATTATAGCAGGCCATATACTATCCATGCCGATGGACCCTCGGCGGGCCGGGTTAAATACTTTCACGGGCCGAAGTTGGCCCGCGGATCGAACTTTGCCCATCACCACTCTAGACCAATGAGGCAGTCAGGAATATGTTTATCTGTTAATTTAGAGTATTTTCTCTTTATGTTTATCTAAACCTGTTTCAAGGAAAATGCATACTTGAATAAAAAACCAGTCTATTAATGTATACTTGTTTCATTCAATTTGAGGCCAAATATTGTATATTACAATCTATAAGAAATATTGTTCATACATATTATGTTACTTCTAAAACCTATATTACAAGAATTGAACGAGTTCAAAAGAAATTGATTAAACACCTGAAATTCCGTTTCAAAACTACAGGACTTTCTGAATCATATGAAAACAAACTTACTTTTTTCAAAATGAAGCCATTAGTTACACGTAGATCTCTTCTTGAACTTAAGCTCCTATATAATATCTTTAATGGTAAAATCGATGATGAGAAGCTGTTAGAGAGGCTCAACATTAATGTTCCTAGAAGGCCACCTCGCTACCTACCCATGTCCATTATTTACAACTTATAAATGTCGCACTAAGTGAGGTAATGCTCCGTTATCACGTATCACACGATCATACAACAACTGCGTAAAGCGCATGACATCTTTGGACATTGGTTGTGATGGGCTCTCACAATTTAAAAATAAATGTGAAAAGTGTATTTTATAAGTTTTATAAGTTTTACAGTATTTTCTTAATGTAATTGTTAAGTTTAATTTAATTATTGTTATTTTGTTTCTTTTTGTAATTGTATTCATTTTATTGTGTTTATTATGTGTATTTAGGCATTATAAAACACTGTTTTTTTTGCGAATGATGTGTTCTCCTATAATTAGTAATACATAAATAAAAATTAGATTTAGGTAGCTATATTGTTAATGAAAAATTATGTATACTGTTGGAGATCCATATAAGTAAATAAATAAATAAATAAATGTTGTTCTGGTGTGGTTAAGATGGTTTTCTCTTTAAAGTGTTAAGTGGGTTGAAAATAGAAACGTCATAAGATAATGCTATGGATGCTAAGTCACGTAATTATGTGCTATATGTTATGCCGTTATTAATTCCTTATTTTTCTTCCCTAGGAAGGGAGTAGCACAGAAGGTACATCTACCGAAGAAGACATGTCTGATCCGAGTAAAGTGCCAAATTTTTGCGTTCTTCTACATGGTGCACTTAAGGTTTGTATGTACATTTCAAGTGAACACAAAACAAAATGTATTCTTAAATAATTTACCGTTCTTAATAACTTAATTTACAAATGTTTTCTTTTTTTTCAGGTAGAAGGTATGTCTGCAATAGTCCAACTGGGTTCAGATTGGTGGGGCACGCTGTCCGCGTGGTGCGAGGTGTCGAGGGCGCGCCGCTCGTGCCTGCTGCTGAGCGTGCTGCGGCCGGGCGCCTCCGCCGCGCCCTGGCTCGGGCCCCTCGATCAGTTGGGGCCTGTCGACGATAATAGCACTTCGAGTGAGTTATCTTATTTTAATATTAATGAACCCACTAGCGAGTTACCCTCGTTTTACTCCCTAGTAGGATACCTATGTGTTTAACTGGAGCCCATGTGTTACTTCACATATTAGTATTTTTAAGTACTAAATTTCGTCCAAATCGTGCAGCCATTTTACCACGCACGTGCGCACACGCACGCGTGCTCACACACACACACACACACACACACACACATCAGATTGTAATGTAATATTGTTCTAGCTGAAACATTCCCGGTGCGGTCGTGGAGGTCGTACAGTGGCGGCGGCGCGGGCTGCGCGTGGGCGCGCCCGCACGCGCTGCTCGCCGACGTTCAGAAGGTGCTGCGGCATGCGCGCAAGCTACCCGATAAGACACAGCATTTGTATAAGGTTACATTCTCATGCTTGATGTTACTACAGACTCGCCTCCTAGCGCTCTTTTAACGAAAAAGTAACTCGACAGCCATTTTTTCTGATTTCAATTCAAAATTCAAAAATTTCATTAAATTAATATTGTATACACAGTTATAGTACACATTTGTTTATCAGAATGGTTGATGTGTATAGCACTCAATAGGTAAAGATTTTTTAGACTAGAATGAGTACCACCATACAAACATACAAATGTTACATTTTTATAATATTAATGTAATATTTTTTATATACTAAATTTTCTTCATGCGCGTCGTTTAAGAAAATAATGGCCACGTGTGACTAATGCCAGCTTCCATAGAGAAATATTTTAATCTCATTCTTTTGGATTTACAACTTTTGTTTCTATGCATATAGGAAATACTAAAATCGTTACTCTCTAGTATAACTATAAAGTTCATATAGTACTATAATATTTTTTCATAGAAATGTAATTTATAATCTTCAGGAACTAAACCGCTTACGTCGTGCAGCAATATCCCTAGGGTTCTCAGAGCTGCTAACATGCGTGGGCAGTGCGCTGGAGCGCGAGTGCACGGCGCTGCCCGCGTCGGCGCCGCCCGAGTGCGCGCTGCAGCTGGCGCACGCGGCCGCCGCGCTCCGCGACCCGCGCACCGCGCTCGACATCAAGCACACTCTACAGCCGTTGGCTGCCAACTTCACTGTTACCTCTATGTCGCATTAAATATACTATTTTATTATCTGTGTTTCATTGTAATTCTTTTTTTCATTTCATTATATATACATAGTTGTCTTTTTCAATTACATTCTATTATTTGTATAATTAAACATGTTGACATTTTAGTCATGTAATTCATCGTAAATCATTTGTATCATATTAATCCATACTAATATATTATAAAGTTTGTGAGTTTGTAACTTTGTAGGCGGAAATCTCTGGATCTACTAAACTAATTTAGTTGAAATTTCGTAAGAAGGTAGTTTTAGATCCTGGGAAGGACACAGGATACTTTTTATCCCGGAAATCATCCCTTACGGGGGTAGAAATGAGGATGGAAGTTTATATTGGGAAGTCGATAGTATATATATATGTATATATATTAAATGAAAATGGTTAGGTAGACCAGGGCTAAAGCCTTTGAAAATGGTAAAAAGTAAAAAAAAAGTAGTAGGATGAAATCCATTAGACAAGAAGGAGAATATAACAAAAATGAAAGAAAAAATAATTTACGGGCGATCTGAGGGCGGGAAGTCGAAGGAGGTGAGTTTTTAAGGAACAAAACGGTTTATCTCGATTTCCGGCAAAAGTACAAGTCCTCTGGAAAAAAAGTTAAATAGCAAAGTTGTAGGTAATAAAAAGAGCACCCCCCCCCCCCAACGTGCGTTCACCTTGTCGTGGTGGGGGGGCTCAGTAGTGCCCGGCAATCCAACCGGGCGCGAAGCTAAGAAACGCACAGGGAGGTTGCCCACTTCGGTGGGCGGTGGGAGGTGGCCCTTTTCGGGGGGCGGTGCACCATGCGGGTTGCTCCTGGTACTTCTCTGATAGCAGAGTGGACTGTGGGACAACCCCATGGTTGTGGTGGTCTGCTTCGGCAGACCTGCCGTCGGGGCGTCGTAGTTGAATGCGTAAGCGATCCTGCGACGCCCCATTAAGACGGGGGAAGGTTTTGTTGGGTTTTAGTGGGTAGTACTGGCTGTATTACGCCGGTGAGTCCCACACGTCGTGCGTAAATGCATTTCCCAGCGTTAAAAAAAAAGGTAATAAAAAGAGCTACGACTTTTTTCACATATACACTTTTTTAGTATTAGTATTATTAATTTAGTATATACACTTTTTTCACATAACCTCAAAATTTATGTGAAAAATTAAATAACCAAGTTGTTGATTTTTTATTTTTATCTTTTACAAAAAAAAATCTTGCACGAAATTTGGTGAAACCTTAACTTTTTATGTCCCAAACCCGGGGCCCATGCCCCGGGCGGCAACTTCAGGGGGCGGCAAATTCATACTTGACAGACGAATACACAACTCATCATTAACGCAACTTTCACCACTGAGAGGTCCAGTACTTTAAGTACAACAATAATAATTTTTCACGGAGCCAAAAAAAACTTATCTATACATATAATAAAATTGTAACTAAGCCGAATCTGTACATTAAATATTTTTTGGAAAATCTTATTGAAATAAACATTATTGTCGATACAAAGGCCAAATCTATAGTTTTTAGAATTTTTGTCTATCTGTCTGTCTGTCTGTTACCGCATCACAGAAAAACCACTGGAGGGATTTTGATGAAATTTGGTATGGTATTAGCTGGTTATCCGGGTCAACATATAGGATACTTTTTACCGCGGGAATATATCTCATTTCTGAGAAAAAATACAAAAACTGCAATGTAAAGAGTATACTAATATGTAAAACCTAAAAATTTGGTTTTTGGTCATCTGAATGCGGGCGGAGCCCCAGGCAATGCTAGTTTTATATAAATTCAATTTTTCGCGTGGCGTGTGGGCATAGGTCAACAACCGCGCTGATAGTCCAGCCGAGTTGCAGTCTCCAACCTTTTGTTTATCAGCGCGCGGCCGAAACAAGCGCGGATCCAGGGGAGGGGTCATGGGGGTCATGACCCTCCCCCCAAAGCCAAATATACTTTTTAGAGAAGTTTGAAGTCTAAGAAAGGAAGGAATAAACGGATAAACATTTCTATTTAAAAAAAATGGTTATTATATGTATTTAGAAATTATATTCCCCTAGTTTCATGAATATCAAAAAGTTTTTGTAGAAATCTATATACATATAATAAAATTGTAACAAAGTCGAATCTGTACATTAAACATTTTTTGGAAAATCTTATTGAAATATACATTATTATCGATACAGATCAATTCTAAAAACTATAGATTGGGACAATCTATAGTTTTTAGAATTTTTATCTGTCTGTCTGTCTGTTACCGCATCACGAGAAAACCACTGGACAGATTTTGATGAAATTTATATAAAGAATATTTTTCGATAAGATGTCACAACAAGCCAGAAATTAAAAAAAACTATTTTTCAACTATTTTTTGTGGAATGGGGGGGGGGCTTTAAATCTAAAGTTTTAAAGAAGTTTGTAACGTATTATGTACACAATATAGAGCCCAAAACAATAGTTATTATTTTTTTTGTCAGTTTGTCTAATTGCCTGTATGTCTGTTGGTCTGTTTTTGTGTGCGCGTTTCTCGCGAAAAGTAATGAACCGATTTCAACGAAATTTGGTGAAGTGATTGATAACTTATTACTCGAATCATCATTTAGGATACCTTTTACTTCAAGAAAATCTTTGTTTACCAAGGGAAAATAAAATAATAATGTTTTATCGAGTCCTCCCTAGAAACCTTCCGTTGGCTAAATATTACTTAATTTAATAAGTTGTGTGCCATAGATTTGTTTGCAGAACAAAAGGCTCGAAGAGTTTCATTATTTTAATTATAATTTCAATTTGCAATACAATAATATACTAAACTGATCTTTATTTTTAATCTTACGTTTTATTTCAGACCCTATCCTGTGCTATCCTAAATAATAAATATGTCCTACACGTCCATGTACGTACGTAGTTTTGTAAACTACCAAAACCCGCGGCTTCGCCCACGTTCAAAATACAAAAAAAACATAATCTTCTTTCCCTTCCCTTTACAATAATATATGAAAGTCTGCCCGGTTTGTTGATATTTATGATTACTGCTCCGCTCCCTTGGGTAGTAGCATGATTATATATAGCCTATTAGAATTCCTCAATGAACGGGCTATCTAATGCAAAAAGAATTTTTCAAATCGGATTAGTAGTTCCTGAGATTAGCGCGTTCAAACTAATAAACAATCAAACTCTGCCTCTTTAAAATATCAGTATAGATAAATAGGCTTAACACAGAAAGAGCAACGCTAGATAGATTCTTATGGCATTCTTTTTGGGAGGCCTATGTTCATTAGTGGGCTTCTGATGGTTAAAATGACGATGGTGATAAAGGTAAAAATATAGGCGGCCAGGGGCGGCATTTTTCAGTTTTTGCCCCGCCTCGAAAAAATTAAAGATCCGGGGCTGCACAGCCTCACAGGTCACTTGCTCTCTGAATATAAGTGTTCTGTGGTCATGGTCACCGGTCACTTGACGACTGACATCTATCAGTTGTCAATAAACAAATGTTGACTATTTGTCAATTGTCATCCATGATGGTGACAAATAAAACTTGTTTTTTTTCAATCGAAATTATTGCAATAAAAATGTAAATAATAAATAAGTGGATACACTAAGATTCGTTATATAGTTACTAATCATCCACATCTGATACTTTGTGCAGTGAAGATCTCAGAATGCGAGAAATTATTATACAATTTCTAATAATTGTTTTTGCATCTAGCTTGCCCTTTCTGTTTAGTTTACATGGAGATTTTGTTTTCGATGATTCAGAAGCGATTGTAAAGAATAAGGATGTTACTTCTGCATCCTGGCTTGACTCATTTAGTAATGACTTCTGGGGTACAAATATAAAAAGTAACATTAGTCATAAATCTTATCGGCCTCTGACGATAATATCATTCAGGTAAATAATATAAACAAAAAAAAAATATTATATTTTGTTTAGAATTAACATATTTCTTTTTTAATACTCGATATCTTGTATTTTCAGATTGAACTATTATGTAAACAGCCAAAATTTATCTGCTACACAATTTAAAGCCACAAATCTTTTATGCCACATATCATGTTGTATCCTAGTATGGATGACTTACAATTGTATTTGGAATAGAGTAAAGATGAAGAATAATTTAGGTAGCAATGTAAACCTACCCTTCATTGTAGCTATTATATTCAGTGTACATCCTGTACATGTGGAAGCTATTTGTGGCATTGTAGGAAGAGCAGATTTATTAGCAACAGCTACATTCCTTTTATCATTCCTTATTTATGATAAAGCAATTAGATCTAATAAAATATTAAATATTTATTTATTTACCAGTATTATACTTGCTAGTATTTCTATGCTGTTTAAGGAAAATGGGATAACTGTATTGGTAAGTAATTTAAATGTTTTTATGTAAAGTATTAATAAAATTTATTTAAAGTAGACTTTCATTATTATAGTATATTTTAGGGTGTTTGTTGTGTGTATGATTTAATTCTTCATATAAAATCAAGACCACAAGAGATACTGAAAAATAAAGGTGCACTGTACATATTTAAGAATGTAAATATGGATATCAAAAGTGTTTATAGAATAATTTGCACTGTTTTATTTACAATGTTGTTTTTGTATGGAAGATGGGTTATTATGGGAGCAACTAAACCTGAGTTTAAGCCAACAGACAATCCAGCTGCTTTCAGTCCTGATCTCTTTACTAAGGTTAGTATTTACTGTTAAAAATAGTACACAAATGTTTCAAGTATTAAATAACAAAACATATATTAGTCTAGAGATAACAATTGATATGAAAAAAATGTTTATTAATATTATTTGTGAACAATGATTTTGGTAATATATGGTATTTTTACAGGTATCCACTTACAGCTATATATATTTTCTTAACATATTATTATTAATTTGGCCAGAATGGTTGAGCTATGATTGGTCAATGGGATGTGTGCCACTAATAAAGAATGCACATGATTTCAGAATAATATTTGCATTTATGTTATACTTATATGGTATAGTATTCATAAATACAATCATTAATAAAGCAAACAGGACTTCTACTAAAAGGTACCTGTTCATTTATTTATTATATGGGGCTAGATTGTACATAATGATAAGTGCTAACAAGTATTAAAATGTTGGAAAACGTTGGAAGATATTTTAATTTAAAAAAAAATGCAGAGGTCATAAAGTAAAATTAAAATGTATGGTACCACTATATTTTCTTCAAAGGAAAAACAGCTTCCTTTACTTTCTAACTTGTAATATCCATAGAAAACTTTAAATTTTATGATTGTCAGTTTATTTTACTAATATTATTTGTATTTTAATTTCAGGATAATGATAATGGGGTTATCAATAATGGTCATACCATTTCTGCCAGCTGCAAATATAATTTATCCAGTTGGCTTTGTTGTTGCTGAAAGAATTTTGTACATACCTTCTGTGGGATATTGTCTTTTGATCTCTGTGGGATTTCACAAAATGATAGAATACAATGGGAAGTGTAGAAAGGTATCAAAACATTATTCTGTAAAATATAGATGATATAAATAAAAAATATTTTTGCACAATAAAGGATTTCAAAGAAGATACACAGAAAGAAAACATATAACCAAATTCTGTCACATTTGAGAAAAACATACTGACATTCTAACTCTAATTTTTCTCCATAACAGTATTTTTCCTGCATTTTATAGAAACCAATCATCATATTATTATGTATAATATTAATTTATGCTCTAAGAAGTTGGCAAAGGTCATTCCACTGGCAAAATGAGTATAAATTGTTCACCAGCGCTCTTTCAGTCTGTCCATTGAATGCTAAAGTACATTACAATGTAGCTAAAGTAGCTGACGCCAAAAATAACACGGAATGGGCTTTAAAAGAATATAGGGAGGCAATAAGGTAATAAGACAAAACATAATTCATACTAAGTAGTTCACTTTATTCTCATTAGATAACATTTAGCAAACATTTCAGCATAAATAAATACTACTTTCCTGATACAAAAAATCGGTATTCTATCTATGTTCACCTGCAAAATGCAGATCAGTATCATGTGTACCATCAAACTACAAATTGGTGTTCCACAAGGATCTGTTCTTGGTTTTCTAGCCAAAAAGTAAACGTTATACTGTTTGCTGATGATTATAAGCACATCATTATTACAGTTATATTGATCCTGTTATTAATAAAAAGCTTATTAATTGTTGAAAATTAAAATAAAGTATGGACTACCTAATATTACAAAACAAAATTTTAGTCTGTCTTAAATTAGCGCGTCTTGAATTTCGATTGGCTATCGCATACGCTGATTAAAAAACAAAATAAAATACATATTATATGAAACACGAACAAACAAATACTTGAACATGATTATAATAAGTTGTTATATCGTTTAGAATTTTAGCCATTAAACGTTAATAAATAACGAACATAATTTTGTATTTATATTTTACGATCAACACCATCGCTAAGTATCGCGTAGTATTTTGTATTTTTTTTTTCAGATTATATCCAGAATATTATCAAGCAATGAATAATCTAGCAAATTTATTAAAAAATGATAAAGAATATGCAGAAGCAGAATTCCATCTTAGAAATGCTATCCACTACAAGTAATATAATATTTAATTTGTATCTTAACTAAAAGAAATTTAAAATATGGCATACCCACAAGGGTCTATGGAATTAGTCTATGGAAGCTCGATTTCTTTTTAATTATTTCATAATTGAAATACAATGTTGTTATTTGCAGGTGCTAATTCCATAAGTAGCTAGTACATTACTGTTTTAATTTTTAATGCATGTCTATTTAAAGTGAAAAAGTGACAAAATATATCCATTTCCATTCCATAGAAAAGATTTCCCAGCAGCATGGATGAATCTTGGCATCGTCTTGGCGAACACAGGGAGATATAAGGAGTCGGAGATTGCGTATAAAACAGCTTTTCAGTACAGAAGAAATTATGCAGATTGCTATTACAATTTGGGAAATCTGGTACGAGTTTTAATTTTTAATTTAGGGATGCATCCTATACCGATACCGATATATCGGCGATATCGTCGTTTTCCCGATGTATCGGTATCGGTGATATTCATGCCGATACACCGATACATTTTTAATAATTTATTATGTTGTGTTTTCTGAATATACAGGATGAATTTTTCAAGTGGGCGTGCGTGGCCAAATCCGAAACTATGAGGAATATCGAAAACTACTCAAAGGAGTCTTGGGACCGATTTTCATGAAAACTAAAACTGCATCATTGAATTTTTGAAAAATCTAGTTTCCTAGCCAGAATCGAACCTGTTGATTTAAAAAAAAACATACTGTATTATTACACCATTTGGTAGTGTCGCTGATAAGGAATGCATTCTGGAAAGTAATGACATACGGCAAACTTAAATTAAAGAAGACCACAGCGATTTTTATCAATTAAATATCGCCTCGACAAAAACTAGTACATGACTTTTTGTTTGTCAATCGATAAAGGAGTTCAGAAATTATGCTACCTTTAAAAATCTTAGAAACAATTGTGTATAAGCATTTAATAATATTTTATTTTAATTTACAATTTCTGTTTTAGTACCTAGAAATGAATAGAACTCAAGAAGCAATGGAAAACTGGTACCATGCTATAAATCTAAATTCAAAACATATATCGGCCTGGACGAATCTATTGGCATTATTAGACAATACAGGTACAAAATACTTTAGTAGTTGAAGGTCTGGTAGAATAATCTTAAAATTGATAAATGTTTACCAATGAAATATAATTGACCGAGCGAGCGAAGCGTCTCTGCTTCAAATCTTGACAAGTCTGGCCTCTGTCAATTTGTTGGTACTCACAGGTCGTATTTTACAACCGACCTGGACGAAACTTGGTATATAGGTTTTACGATTGTATATAATTTTTTGTCGTCGGTGTTTATGATTGGAGGGGTAGTTCCTCAAAAAAGGGGTGTATTAGATATCTGCACCTTATGAGATCCGATTTCGATGGCTCTTTTTTTTATTGGAAGGTAGGAATACTTTTTTAGATTTACGCGAATATTTGACATTTTAAATAAAACTATGTTTTCGAATTATTTCGCGGATTTATTTTGATTTTTGGTTCCCGACGTTTCGAATGCTTTACAGCAATCATGGTCACGGGAGAGACTGAGGTGTTAGATGTCTCGAAGGTATAGTTGTTACAGACAGCCTACCCACAATTAACAAATTTGTTAATTCCGCGAAATAATCCGAAAAGATAGTTTTATTTAAATTGGAAGGTAGTAACTTTAACTTAGTCTCATAAAAAAATTGTGAAGATCTGGTGAAGATCTTCCGCGTGATAAGCAGAATAGCTCCTCAATATGTAGTTTGTGCTCGCCAGGTCTACTATTCGTAAAGCTACCAGATATATATAAAATATAAATTTACTTTTATTAATTGGTGCTCCTCTCTTTTCTTTAAAAGTAAAATCTATCTTTTATTACCTTTCAGGACAAATAGAAAAAGCCCTACAAATTATACCTAAGGCTCTCGCAGAACTGTCAGATACTCCATCAATTAACTTCGCAATAGCAAATATTTATGGAAAAATCGACCAATATAATGATGCAGAAAAACATTTTCTTAAAGCTATTAAGTTATTCAAAGGTCGAGTGCAACCCCTTCATTATACTAATCTTGGTAAGTTAACCAAAACTTATTCAACATAACACAACAGAAATAACATGATCGTAATTATCTGTGATTTAATGCGAAGCGCTATAGTAGCACGTTTGGCTCAGTTTATAGTGACCTAATTGTACTTGTGTGTATATATATGTACGAGTAAAATGAACATAAATCAAGAATTACATTGATTCAAGAAAGGCCTCTAATATGGGAGAAAACTATCGATGATTATAATCAGTTGATTATAATCTTGACGTTTAATTTTTATACTTATATTTTAAGTTGATTAATAATCTTAGTTATACAACAATTATACCACGGTAATGTAATGCATACAGTACTCCAACTCGGGCCTGTCCTTGAATTAATTACCTACAGCCGAGCGGCACGTACCCACGCGACAGGGCTGCCCGCCGGCCAGTATTTTAATTTCATCTACCTACTTGAGTTTCTTTCTAGTTTTGTGATTTCAAATATTATATAGTTTATTTAAAAAATATTATTAGTAGATTTAATTAAAAAATCTCAAATTTATAAGGGTGGTATGTGACCCTAATAAATTTGAGATTTATAAATATTTGCACTTCGACTGAGACATAAGAAAAGCTTTATTGTTAAATTTTATAGTATGAAGAATCCGCGTTCGGATAAAAAGTTTAATTAAAAATACTTTAATTTTTATTTTTAATTTAATTAATTAGTTTTTATTTTTAAAACATACAATGTCTCGATACTTTTTTGTTTGACATAATGGCGAATTTACGGGAAGAATAAAATGTTTATTTTTGTATCCAATTATAAAAGTTACACAACATAACCATCTTATAAAATTTTCACATCAAATTATACGATGTGGCAGCCCCGCACGGTTGTCTACCGAGTGTATACCGAACGCGACGCGTGTATGTATAACTCGATTTCCGACCTTTCGTATGAAGATGGAATACTGTATGTAACACTACCGTGATTATACTCAGTTGATTCTTGACAAGTGCATGAAATGCGCCAAATGCGTCCCTTTTTTCTAAAATCGGATGTATCAAAATTCAAAACCTTCTTTTCCTATTTTTTGTTTTCAGTTTCCTATATATGAAAAGCAATTATAATCTTTTTCTTTAGTCCCTCAACGACCGCGGACGCACCGGCGTTACAGTTAACAATAGATTTCTTAGAAATTTAATTAATTTCTTAGAAGTTACGCAAAAAAAACGTAACTGAGCCGTACCTAATCGTTGTCTCGTCCGGTGGTGTTGCCGTGTCATATACAAGCTCGCACGGTTCCTTAACCGTACGGCTGACACGCCGTACAGTTAGAAACCGTGTCGTGAACAACAGACCTAAAGGACAGGTATGTGGTTGATGTATGTATGTCCAACCCTATGTTCTCTCGTAATTACTGAACGGCTACGACAGCATAGTACTATGTTTCTTCGTCAACTTGTTTTCATCTATTATTTGTTCTCTTATATTATATATCATACTAGCATTGCCCGCGGCTCCACCCGCGTTCAAATGACCAAAAACTAAATTCTTAGGTTTTACATATTAGTATACTCTTACATTACAGTTTTTGTATTTTTTCTCAGAAATGAGATATTTTTCCGCGGTAAAAAGTTCTATATGTTGACCCGGATAGTCAGCTATGACCATACCAAATTTCATCAAAATCCGTCAAGTAGTTTTTCTGTGATGCGGTAACAGACAGACAGACACAAAAATTCTAAAACCTATGGATTCGGCCTCTATCGATAATAATGTCTATTTCAATAAGATTTTCCAAAAAATATTTAATGTACAGATTTGACTCAGTTAGAATTTTATTTTATGTATAGATTTAGTTTGCTTTTTATGCAGTTGGGTTTTTTATTTTTGCAAATTATATAAAATAATTTTAAGCAATTACTCATAGGTACTATGCTTTAATTTAATACATATTAAGTACTAACATTGCCCGCGGCTACGTATTTTAAAGACACATGGCGACATCTATTCACAAATATCTAAATAATACAAAAATAAATATTCATTAAAATATTTTTTTAATGAATAAAATAGTGCTATTGATATACTTTTTCAAGATTAACTATTTTTAATAGTTTTTGACATATTTAGTAAGTTAACTTGCTAAAATCTATATAGTATCGTCGTTTTTTTATTCTAACCAGTTTTTGTATTTTTTCTCAGAAATCAGATATTTTTCTGCGGTAAAAAGAATCCTATATGTTGACCCGAATAATCAGCTATGACTCTACCAAATTTCATCAAAATCTGTCCAGTAGTTTTTCTGTAATGCGGTAACAGACAGACAGACAAAAATTCTAAAAACTATAGATTCGGCCTCTGTATCGATAATAATGTCTATTTCAATAAGATTTTCTAAAAAATATTTAATGTACAGATTTGACTTAGTTAGAATTTTATTATATGTATAGATGTACTTCAGTGGTAATTTACGCACAGGTGGTCACTGGTTCGAATCCTGCAAGTAAGAAGTATTTGTATTACGTTTTCTCATTCATCAGTCTGACTTTTGTTGACTGATGTTTTAATTTTCTTCAAATGAGTGCGAAACAAATTTGAGTTTTATATTTTATAGGTGCATTTCTAATACCTAGCAATTCTTATATTTCAGGAGTATTGTATCATCGCTGGAAAAAATATGGTCTAGCAGAAGAAATGTATAAAATGGCTTTAAAAATTGATTCAAAATTTCATAGCGCTATTAGAAATCTTCAGAACTTATACAAAATTAAAAAGAAGTCAAAATAAACACAGATAATTAATAATAATATTATTTTTTTATTCACCAAAGTTTTTTTCCCTAATCAATAAATCAAATTTAAAACTTTTACAGATCTATAAATATTGCTTCTATAGTATTAGAACTAAATCTTGTGTACACTAACTCAAACAAAAAAGAATCAGCAGTCTTCAAATCTTATACTTTTTTAGTCCCTTTAGAAAAGCGTAGAACAAAAATAAAGTCAGTTTAAAGTTTTGGGTAAGGAAATCAAATCTGAGGAAAACTGATCTATCTATATCTACGAATAAATAATGATTATATATTCATAGATCTAATTATATAAAACAAAGTTGTGTTAGTTACACCATTTATAACTCAAGAACAAGAACGGCTGGACCAATTTTTATGATATTAGATTTTTTGGATTTCTCTTAGTCCGGAATAGGATATGTATTAAAAATTCACGAAAAAATAAATTAAATTTATATGGCTAATGATGGCTAATAACTATATCTATTTAAAACGTACCTAGCGACGAAACGGAGCGAAGCGAGGGTGAGCCGCTAATAAAATATATAAATTGATGTCCGCGTTGATGTTACACGAAAACTATTCCAATATTTTTTAATTTTTGTTAATACAAACATAAATCATGTTAATCAGAAAAAAAGTCTTTAAACGCAAGAATTATCTTTGAATAAAGTACTATTCGATTTGAGATAAGTATATAGGTGCATACAAATAACTATCAAGGAATTTTCATATGACTCGTACAATGTAAAGCTTAATCACAATTTTTATATAAAATCAGTCTTATTTTGTAGTAGTGATTTAGATCTTGAATAGCTACCTTTACTTTAATTGATTAAAATTTGACAACATTGACATTGACAGCTATTTGACATTTGAATTTTCAATGTTAATGTAAGAATAAATACCGATTCTGTTTTAAAATAAAATTTTTAAATAAAATACAACGTTTTAATATTTGGTAGTCATAATGGAGTTTACTCCAAGTTTATCTGCATTCCAAGGAATGATTATATCTACAGACAGTGTTCACTCTTTTTCCAAACTAACATCGAAAGGAGGTAAACAAAATATTTCAATTATTATTTAAGATGACTACCTTTTAATATTAAAAGTAAACTTAATGTATTTATATTTCAGGAAATGAAGAGAAAATTGAACATGTTATCCACTGTATACGAAATTTTCTACAAAAAGAAAATTATATTATTGAAAATAAAGTTTCAGAAGACGCTATACAAATTCTGCGAAAGTTTGCATTTTATGTGGTTATAAATTCAGATTTAACTATTTTAGAAGAAATGGTAGATTTAGATGGAATAGACTTTGTCATATGGACAATACCAACAATTCCTAAATATCTTATGTGTGAAATTTTGTGGAATATCAATTTGGATCAATTTATATATGAAATATTAGTATTCAGCTGTCCACAATTATCTCTAGAAGTGGCAGATGCATTAATATCTAATTTTAAATATTTTAAACCTACTGAATGTCTACAAAAACTAAAATTATTAACATCAGCTTGCTACAGACTCATATGTAGATTTCTCTTTTTTGAATTAGAAAGTGATGAAATAACTCATGCAATGAATAATTTCCAAAACTGCTTGAAATTCTATTCTGAACTACCAAATAGTGCTAAGCTGGATACATTAAGTAAAGATGGCCAATATAAATTTATTGGAAACCGCCTATTTTCAATGTTGCAGCTTTTAACAGAGTGCTTTAATAATTTTTTATCAGTTCAGAAATTAAAACCTTCTGATTTTCAAGAAATATATGAATTAACCTATAAAGAAGACTTAGTTATAAATCAAGACTCATCAATTATTATTGCTGATTGCAATAACCATTCTTTACTTGAATGTATAAATAACTGTCATATACTTTTATTGGATAAGTGCAAAACTTTAGTAATGGATGTGAGTGTAGAAATATTTTGTGCTTGGAGTGAATTTGAAGAAGACGATAAAAGTATGCAGCAGTCTATTGGAGAATTGTGCTATAAAGTGCACACCACTTTGTGTAAAATTGCTAGTGTAGCAGATCATCCCGTTGTTAGTATGCTGCAACAAATCTCATGCAAACCATTAGATTTAGTAGAGGTTATAAATAAAACTGAAACAGATGTGATTGTAGAAAATGTAAATAAGGAAGACAATGTAACAGCACAATGGATCAAAGCATTAATATATAGAGACAAGCTTTGTGAAGATCCAGTGTTAATGGAATTACTTACTACTCATTTACACCTATTAAATCCAGATGAATGTTATAAATTATTTAAAGTCATGTACAATTTTCTTAAAAATTCTACAGACAGTATGGAAAACTTATTATTATTAACTATCAAAGTATTTCAGTTCTGTAGTAATAGTTCAAAACAAGAAATTGTTGAGGAACATTTTATTAATGATTGTTTCAATGATAATTTTTTAACTCCAAGCTTTAACAATACAATTACAGAAATTTTTAATAAGCTTATAATTTCACCAGATACAGATTTATGCGATGTTTTAACTGTGTTCATTCAAAGCCCACGAAAAGTTTACACTAAAATATTCAATCTGGCAAGCGAGAATATGCATCAAACAGACATTATGTTAAGGATAATGAAATCATTACAAAAATACTCAAAACATTACTATAATGAAGAAACGGAGCCTTGTGTAATATTAATAACCAAAGAGACAATTGATAACAATTTAGACACTGATGAGAAACAAAGTAATTTTGTGAGATTTTTAAACTTAATTAAAATAGAAAATATAATTCCTGGCCATAAATTGCTTTTGTTAGTTATTATGCCGAATTTGCATCATGCTCTTTTAAACAAAAATTTTACCAGTATATATGTTCAATGTAAACTTTTACAAGAGGCTTATCCACTGAATGAATTACTAGAATGTAGGGCACCAATCTTGGCCATGTTGGCGCAAGTGTTAGATATTGTGAGATGGAAAGTTAATACATTTGCTGTACTAGCACCCACCACTTTGGAACTTGTATTGAAGTTGCAAACAGCTCTTTTAAATACATATGAATCAGATATCCCCGGTGAGGCTTATTCTAAAATTTTACAAATGCTCATCATTTACTTTTATGTCCTATCTGATTTCTTTTGTCTTTGCTAATAATGGGGTGAATTTCCAGTATAAACAAAATATATATATATATATATATATATATATATATATATATATATATATATATATATATATATATATATTATATATATCATTAACAACACCCATTCATATCTTTTTTTATTTCACAAAACACAATTAACAAAATACGAAAATTGATTTTACAGAAAAAGAATGTACATGGTTAAAGAGCAAGCTTAGAAATATCAACCCCTTGAACATGTATTATTTTAGACGACTTTGGAACCCACCGGGCAACACATTTGTTGAAGTTATAAGTGGAATACACATATACAAAGATATGGACATGGAACACTTAACTTTGTGGCTTTCTCAGGTACAATGGTATATCTTAATAAATAATATATTATATTATTTAGTCTATGTAAAAAAATTTTTTATAAGAGCAGATTCAGAGCGAGACTTCTTTATATAAGTAAAACATATAATAATGTTTCAAAAAAAAACATTCTTTTAACAAGATGGGATCTAATCTTAAAAAATCATTTACCTCAATCAATAAACGAGCCTACAACCTAAGTAGTGCGTAGTACAGCACTACATGTTACAATTTCATTCTAATTTCTTATTAATGGCTTCAAAACGTCACCAATATCTACTAAACGTTTAATTAATAATAAATAATATTTATCATAAATAATATTGCTTAAGACAACTTAATTATTTTTAATATAAAAAACTTTTGTTATTTTTTTGGTAGTTTTTTTTACTTTTGTAAATATAATTTTTTATTTACAACTTATTAGTGTTGATCAGTTAGACATTTTTAGTTTTATTTCTTATCCTAAATTACTTTAAAATCTGTAAATTGCATATATTTTTGTATTTGCCTTTTAAACATCTATTTTCATACCACTCGATTTATTCGTAAGAAAATTTTTTTTCAAGACGCGTCTAGGTTCCGCCTTGATTTGATTTTAAATGATATCTACATCATAGAGTATAATATATACATTCACGTTATTAAGACGTATCGAATGACGTATAAACCATCAAAATCGGCTAAGCTGTTTAGAATTACGAGGGAACATACGATCGGACATATATACAGGTCAAACACATAACACTCCTTTGGGCTTCGCCGTAGTTGGGTAAAAAATAACACTACCATTTAATATTAATTATTACTGTTTATCTACATAGGTAATATGTTCCACAACACTTCAAGAATGGTATCAAATCTGGGACAGTCTCACAGTATTTGGAAACGGAAATATATTAGATATATTCCATGACGCCTTACTATTGATATTAGTCGCTGAAAAGTCAAATCATACAGAATCTTCAAAGGCATGTTTGTTTTACCTCATGAAAAACTATGTGGCCATCATACGAGTAAGTCATTACAATTCTTCTATGATTCACTACTATTATATATATGTAAATATTTAACGTTATATAAGTTTAACGTCCGCGTGCGTGTGTAGGGGGGGTTAAGTTGTTACTCCTTCACGCTAAAATTACTGGCCGGATTTATATCAATTTTAGTACAGAGTTTTAGTACACATAGGCTACAGACCTACAGTTATTAATTTAATTTACCTAAAAATTGCGCTACCTATACGTAATGTTAACTATCAATACAAATAGCACCTACGGAAGTACGAAGAAGGGGTAAGTCGCTAGTAGTATAATTTTCTTTTGACGATCAAAGTTTAACAATTATGTTAAAATATTAGAAGGCAGTTGTAAGAAATTTTCTTTTTGTTAAATACAAATTTTTATTAAATATACTTACATCCACTTAAAAATATTTTTTGTTTAATCGTGAATCACTAATGTGAGTTTTTAATTTTCGTGAAACTTTATTATTCTTTAAGTTTTAAAAAAAATAGCTAAGTTCCTTTTCAATTGATATAGTAATTTAAAGCATAACTTCAATGCCGATACCCGATCCCATAGGAAGCGGGAAATATGTTAGTGAATTTAAATTAAAAAGAAATCGCACGAGAATGAAGCAGAAGACTAACTCTCAATAAATAATAATATTATAGATGTGATGTGATTAGAATTTGTGAGGATGGATGGATGTTTGTTACTCTTTCACGGCTGAATGGATCTAGATGAAATTTGGCACATAGATAAATAATAGTCTGGAAAATAGCATATACGCTACTTTTTATTCCGGAAAAATGTACGGTTCCCGTGGGATCGATTTGTTTTAGTCTATGGACGACCCGAAGCGAAGCGAGGGTGAGTCGAATCAATAAAATTTACTAACTTATATTTTTTAATTATTAACTAATAAAATATTTACATTTTTCAGTATAAATTCTTCAAGCTGCCGTTAAATGGCAGTCAAATAACAATAGTATTCAATAAATTTGCTCTTATTGAAAGTTTCATAGCTGAATCTGATGTTGAAGAACTGTCAACAATATTCTTGCCGCTGTTTGCTTTCATGTCAACGACTAAAGAAGACCTCTCTATTGATATTCCACAAAGTATTATTAAAAAACTAAAACACAGTATATTTATTGATGTGATAACAAATTTATTTATTAAAACAACTCAGTCACAAATTAAAAGTTAAGCCATTACGATATATTTTTTTTATTCAAGTTACCCATTCCCAAAAATATTTATAGAAATAAAAACGAATTTACTATTTATAATTAATAAAAGCATAATAAATATTTTTTTTATTAATTTATTAAAAGAACGCCAAATACAATATATTTTACTTATATTACTTTGGAAAAAAGTTAAAGATATTTTATAGCAAATTAATGTAAATTATATTTATTAATATATTTGCTAAGCATAATTAAATTATTTTATCTGATTACTATCAATGAAGAATGAATCTTATATGTACATATTAAATGAGCAATTCTTGTATACATGTAAATTTATTTCGTGTTTCGGAAACGGGTCTAACGATTTGAATAAAATTTTGTATTTAGAAAAAGTTTTGCTTTTTAAGTTTATCTATATAGGTCTTTCCTGACAAAATGCAACTTAACACAAAAAAAATATTAGAGCATTTTTTGTATCTGCTCTCATGCTGGCAATCAGGACTGGCCATAGAGTATATTGCTACATATATAAAGGACTGGCCTTAGCCATCGCCCCGAGCGAATCATGCCTTTGGCACCCTTTTAGGTATACTTATTTCATTACAATTAAAAAAAAAGTGTATGTAGAATTATTCAGTGAAAGAAACGACGATACGATACAACGCTGAGTCTAGTTTTCCTTTAGATCGATAAAAATAAGTATTCAAATTAAGTGGTTAAGTTGAGTTGGCGCGCGCGGCGCCCTGTATAACCTGGCGCCTCGGGCAGTCTTTGAATACTTATATAAAACACGAAGAGGTTATAATTAGTTTGGCTTACAACTTCATAGGCATATGTAATGGAACCCGAGGAAACAGCTGAAGTGGGCTTTATTTTAAACAAATGTCTATTTCGTGTATTATCATCTAATACTTAATTCTGTTTTAAAACACTTGAATGGTTTTAAAAAATATGAAATTTTTTATGGAGCAGTTAATATAGTATTACATATTTTCTGCTTCTTTACTAACATTATTTTCGATTGGCATTTCTTTTTAACGTTATACAAGAGTAACCCAGTTGCTGGCACATTTGGCAGAGCTCTTTTTCGTGGACTGGATGGTCCTCTTTGTGAGTAACATCAGAAGGCTGTAGGTCTCTCTGAAATAAGAAACATTATCATTTCGTCATTCCAAGGCCAAAAAATACATCTTTATTAATTATGTATTTCAGATTAAGGCAATATTTATGCCTTCAATTAACGAAGGATTTATATAAATTTCTTTTGAATTTACTCAATTGAATCAAAAAAATGACTAATTAATAAGAAGATAATTTTCAATATCTCATCAAGTTTTCGAGACACGAACGATAATTGAAGTTCTTAGTTTCAATTGTATTAGATTGAGCACAATGTTTTTATAACATAGATTATAATGCGCTTTATATAACTTCGCGCGTGTGTGTATGCGTGCGTGTGTGTGTGTGTGCGTGCGTGCGTGCGTGCGTGCGTGCGTATATTTATTATTCCATCACGCTGGAACGGTTGAATGGTTTTGAAAGAAATTAAGAACACATAAACTGTGACTTGCAGTAAAATAGAGGTCGTTAGTATTAGTAATAAAAATTGCCAAAAGTACTAATCGCTACATATTAAAAACGACCTTTTTGTATCAAGTCGTAAAAGCACCTTGGGGCTAGGGTAGCTTCGAACGAAGCGAGATTAATAGGAGGATTTATACTCCATACGTCCACTGATTCTCCTGTCAAGTTATACTTAGTTAAATCTTTACAGAATATTATTATATAATAATATACCAACTAAAACTTCAAATACTTTCCGCTCTCTCAAAAACTTGGCGAGTATCGCAAATATCGAAAGCGAATGTAAAAACTTAAAGGCGGAACCATGAAAGTTAAAATTGCGTATTAGGTTTTTAACATATTTAAAATATGTAAGGTATGGCGCCTTAAATAATAATAGTAGGTGCATTCGTTCTTACATGAGTATAAGGGTACACGGGCTTCTTACATTTCTTGCAAAATTGATATTTATCAGGCCAACAAAGTCTGCTAGTCCAGAATCGGCCACATTTTTTACATTTATACTCTCCATATTTTGGTTCTAGAACATTTTTTTTGATAGGCGATCGGTGTCGTAGATTAGAATGGTATTCACGGCGATTAGATGTAATTATTGATCTCGACTGCAAAAAATGTCATCATTTTATAAAAACATGGCTCTTTAATAGCAAACAAGTGTTGTAGCAAACCCGACTTTGTTTTATATTACTAGCAGAACCTGCGGCTTCGCTCGCGCTAAAACAACAAAAAATCTTTAAAGAGACAGTTGCATACAAAAATTCATCCCCTATTTTACCTCCTTAAAGGATGAATTTCGAAAAATGCTAAAATACGTATTCATTTTATTTTATTGAAGAATAAGTACCAAGTTTCAAGTAATTCTGATCATAAATATTTTTTTGGATTGTATTTTATCGTGTTTTTCCGTGGGAATTAGATAATCCCGCGGTAAAAAGTAGCCTATGTCACTCTCCAGCTCTCCAACTATCTCCAAACAAAAAATCACACCAATCCGTCACTCCGTTTCGACGTGAAAGAACCGTACCCGAATCACCCTCATGTATGTTACGCGAATGTTCAGATTTTGAGTTATATGATTTTTTTTCTGAATTTTTGAGAATTTTCAAACGAACAACTTAAAAAGTCTTAAAAAAAGTAGAAGACTTATTGAGATTTTTTTTGCAACTGAAACTTCATGAGTTATAGAAAAATAATCATAACACAAAAACTGAACAATCGTAACATACATGGGGGTGATTCGGGTACCCCAAGGGGTCCTCTATCTTTGGAATTCAGCTTGACACTACTTTCTGGGACATTCTGTATATGTTACGCAGTACAGAACGGATTTTAACTAAATTTTGTGTAGTGATGACTTAATATTACTCGGGTCAACGTTTAGGATACCTTTTACTACAGGAAAATCTTTGATCCCCGCCGAAAAACAACTAGTTCTGATGACTTGTCCTTAGAAAACGTTGACTTAACCTTAAAGAGTAACTACATTTAAAAAAAAAAACTAAAAAATTGTACCTACTTAAAAAGGTCTACGAGTAGGTATCTTTTAACTTATATTAAGGTACACTTGTAATAGCTATTTTATGTTTTATTTAAAACGTACGGAGGGTCCATCGAGCGAAGCGAGGATAAAATATAAAACGCTAGTACAAAACAAAAATATATTTTGCTGCTTTTGATATGTAAATACAAATTTGATTGTTTTATTTGAATAAATCACGCCCATACGATTTCGACGATGATTAAACAAAGATTATAATTTATTGTTCGATTAGTATTTTGACTTACTTCTCTGATTCGTGTTCGTCCATTATTCCGAGAAAGCACTATTTCAGGTTGTTGATTGCGACATATGCTATACACATCATTCCTATCTAACCGGCTTACACGCTGAAAATGATTTAAACTAATGCTTAATAAAAGTAAAATTTGATTGTATTTAATAATAATATTTTGATAAATCTCTTACGAATTGCAACTTACAAATTATAAACAAAAGTATGTAGCTACATATATGTATATCAAAATCAATCCATTATGTAAAATAAATAATGTATAATTTTAAAACGAAGAAAATTCATACAATGTACATAAATGAACAATAATTTACCTCTCCTTTAGAACAAAAAATACCCATAATTAATTATTTTAAGAGACTTAATCACTTTTTATAGCAATATATGTATGTTTAAAATCACACAAGATAAAGTACCAACAAATCTGTGCACTACAAAACCAATACTCGTCCTATAGAATAGATTATAAGTTACTGAGTAGGTACTTCACACTTTGAACATGCATGCAATTGTCTATGTAATCAGTAATTATATCTGTCAGTGTCTAATGTCTTCCACGTTATTCATTTTATCGTTCTTGTAAACAATAAACATCTTTTCGCTTGATAGTTGATGTAGGGGATTCACCGAGCTAATAAGTTTAAAGAGTTGTCAATTACAAATATACTATGAATTATGATGACTATCGTAATTGTGACGTTTCTGTCAGTTATTTAACACAATAAAAGGTATATACTACTAATATCACTATTAGACCAATCGGAATCCGTTCATTTTTAAGAGAATAAAAAAATATATTGAAAGGCTAAAGTTTTATGATTTTAAAATGTTAGCAAGTACCTATACAAGGAATAGAAATTCATAATATGCCCCCGATGCCCAGCTACCCCCGAGAAATTTGGGGAACGCGAAAGCGTTAAAAATAGTTTTTTTTCTATTTCCAGCTTGCTGTGATGTTCTATCGAAAAATGTTTTCTACAAAAGTTGTAGGTTTAGGAAAACTCTATAACTTTTATAAATAACACTTTTTATAATAACCTCAAAGTTTTCGAGATATTTGCAAAAAAACTCGGTTTTTAACTTTTTCTTGGTTTTTTTTTAATTTCTAGAATAATAAATTTTAAAAAATGAAATTGATATGTTTGCCATTTCCGAGAAATGTTTTTATGGTCTCGAGAAGCTGAAAATCACCCGCAACTTTTTTTTGTAATTACCTTAAAATCAAATTTTTCAGAAAAATCAATAAAATTAACTCCAAAATCGATCAAAAATTAATAAAATATCGATACATTCGAAAAAATTATGACATAAATATATTCTACGGCAAAAAAAATACAAAAACAACAAATATTGTAAGGCACTCTGGTGCCATTTTTGAATTAGGTGAATGAGTTGTTCTGTACTAAGCTGTATAAGATACTATAGTTTTTTGACTATCCCACGGGAACTCTTTAATTTTCTGGAATGAAAAGTATCTAATATGTTGACCGGGGATATAAGGTACCACCATGCAAAATTTCATTTAAATCGGTCCAAAAGTTTCGGAGATTAGCCCGTACAAACATACAAACAGACAACCTGACAAACAGACATACAGGCAAACAGACAAAAATTTTAATAACTATTGTTTTGGGGTCTATATTGTGTACATAATACGTTACAAACAAACAAAAACACATCTATCGCACGGAAACCGTTTATTTTTCCGGGATGAAAAGTAACCTGTCGTTTGACCGGCAATATAAGGTATCAGCATGCCAAATTTTACTAAATTAGGTGCATAAGATGTTGTGTACTAAGTTGTATAAATTAGTATAGTTTTTTAACTATCCCACGGGAACTCTTCAATTTTCCGGATTGAAAAGTATCTTACATGTTGATCGGGGATATAAGGTACGACCATGCAAAATTTCATTTAAATCGGTCCAATAGTTGCGGAGATTAGCCCGTACAAATAGACAAACAGACAGAGAAACAAAAAAGTTATCACTATACAAAATTTAGTTAAAATCGGTTCAGTACTTTTTGCGTGAAACGTGCACATCGATTTGACTAAGTTAGTTTTATTATAGGTATAGAAAAGAATAACTGCCTCCGTGGTGTAGTGGCTAGCATGTACGGCTGCACACCCGGAGGTCCTGGGTTCGAGTCCCGGGTCGGGCCAGGTTTAGTTATTGACTCTTTCTGTATAAGTAAACCTCAGTAACAGCCCGGAGTTGGGAAGTTGGCAGTGTTTCACCCCCGTGCCTCGGAGAGCACGTAAAGCCGTCGGTCCTGCGCCTTAACTCTCACTGGTCGTGTCGAGCAGTCGTCCCACCGGAATATGAGAGTGACAGGAATAGAGAGTGCACTTGTGTCTGCGCGTACACTTGTGCACTATAATATCTCCTGCGCAGTTGGCTATTCTCAATGAGATTGGCCGCCGTGGCCGGAATCGATCGGGAGAACATCATCATAGAAAAGAATAGATATTGTTTAGGAGATATACATATATTATTCAGAACTTTCCAATAGGACTTTTCAAGACCTACAATTTTTTAGTATATTGTTTTGATATATGTATATCTTAAGGTTTAGCCAGTGGAAGGTTTCTTTATTCTAGGGAGGACTCGATAAAACCAGTTATTGTGTCTTCCCGTGAGAAAGAAAGATTTTCTTGAAGTAAAAGGTATCCTAAACGTTGACTCGAGTAATAAGTTATCACTTCACCAAATTTCGTTGAAATCGGTTCATTACTTTTCGCGTGAAACACGCATACAAAAACAGACATACAGACAAATTTTTTAATAACTATTGTTTTGGGGTCTATGTTGTGTACATAATACATTACAAATAAACGAAAACATCTATCCCACGGGAACCGTACGTTTTACCGAGATAAAAAGTAAGCTATTTGTTAATTTGATGTATGACCTATATTATAGTAAAGTTTCATCAAAGTCCAATCAGTAGTTTTTGTGTACTCAGCTGTATAAGTTACTATAGTTTTTTGACTGTCCCACAGGAACCCTTTAATTTTCCGGGATGAAAAGTAGCCGATTTGTTATTATCATGTATAAACTATATTATTGTAAAGTTTCATCAAAATCCAATCAGTAGTTTTTGTCTAGTAAGCTGTATAAGTTACTATAGTTTTTTGACTGTTCCACGGGAACTCTTTAATTTTCCGGTATGAAAAGTAGCCGATTTGTTATTATCATGTATGAACTACATTATTGTAAAGTTTCATCAAAATCCAATCAGGGGCCGTTCATAAAATACGTCACACTTCCCCCCCTATTGTCACGCTGTGTCACACTTTCTGTGCCCCCCCTCCCCCCCTAGAAATATTTCGTCACAAAAACTAAGATCCCCCCCCCCCTTGCTGAGTATGATAAATTCTAAATGATAGTACACAAATTCTGAAAATTAAAAATATTTATTTAGTTATTATAATAAAATTTAAATAAATTAATAAATATCTTTCGTAACGAACATATAAATAATAAAGATTATTTCTATTATTCAGAAGTCCAAGGATTTTCTAAATGGGCCGAAATATCTACAATCGGTATTGCACCATTTTCTTCTTCATCTTCAAAGCTACCGTCCACTTCATCGTCATCTAATATTAAATTGAGAAGATGAAAAAAGCGTCTGTATTAGTTCACTGCTAAATGGCGAATGAAGGAATAAAATAATAATAAATACATGAGAAACAGTAGTTTTTGTGTACTAAGCTGTATAAGTTATTATAGTTTGTTAACTATCCCACGGAAACTATTTAATTTTCCGGGATAAAAATCTAAGATGTTGCACGGGGATATAAGGTACCACCATGCAAAATTTCATTTAAATGGGTCCGATAGATTCGGAGATTAGCCCGTACAAACAGACAGAGAAACAAAAGATTTGAAAAAAATCTGGATTTGTTCTGTTTGTCTTCTTACATCCCCCTGACTCGGTTTTTAGCATTTTTTTGCTATGTACAGACATTCGACCTCTACTCTTTTATTATAGTATAGATAGGTGTGAAAGTTTGTTAGCATGGATGTATGGATGTTTGTTACTCGTTGATGTCAGAACGGCTGAACGGATCTGAATGAAAGGCACAGAAATAGATTATAGTCTGGAATAACACATAGACTACTTTTTATCCCGGAAAAATATACTGTTCCCGAAGGATAGATTGGTTTTGTTTTTCTAAAGGCGAACCCGAGCGAAGCGACGGTGAGCCGCTAGTATCACATAAGATATTGAAGTAACAGGACACCAAAGGAGTCGATCTGACCGACTCGACTTTTGTAATAGAAAAAATGTATATTAAAAAGTAAGAAAAAGGTAAACGAAAGGGGCCCCGAGAATTGCATTGCCTAGGGGCCCTGATAGGGTTAATCCGGCCCTGGCTAAGGAGGTGATTCCACCAACTAAGCCAAGTAATGGCTTGATATGTTTTTATGAGTTGATAGTAAAAATATAAAAACTCCTTGTTAACATAAAATAAGCATTTAAAATAAACAAACAAATATCAACAAAGTAGGAACTGGAAAAGTGGTTCAAACCTATCAAAATTTGTTGTAAAGTCAAAATACAACATGTTTCTATACGTTTATTCATTTTGTGGTTGTGATGAACCAAATCAAAAATCTATTACTGACGACGTGTTTCCGAGCACAAACCAAATGTGGGGCATGATCGGTACTATTCTGACTACAATCGCCTGTTGGATTTTCTATACAAAGGTAAATCGTAAACTATTACAGGCAATGAAATTGTCAGGCAATAGTAGCCCAGTGGTAACGCGCTCGCTTGGGAAACCGAGTGAAGCGAGTTCAAATCCCGGGTCGCGCACGTCTGATATTTTCATGTACGAATCATTTCCACCACCACTTGTCTTGACGGTGAAGGCAAACATCGTGAGGAAACCTGCATGTCATGACGCACAACGGACCAGAAGAGAGTCTAAGTGCGGAAAACGAGTCCACCTTACATTACAACCTGCAAGTTTGAGAGAACCTAGCAAGTTTTCGAAAGACATGTGAAGTCTGCCAACCCGCACTTGGCCAGCATGGTGGACTATAGCCTGATTCCCTCCGTACTGAAGGGAGTCGCGAGCCCAGCAGTGGGACATTAAAAAAAGGGCTGAATACAATATTAATAATGACGAATGTGTTTTTTAGTTAGTTTTTCACGTATAAAAAAATAGGTAGGTCCTTTTCCGATCTTAAAACCAACTTTTTTTAAAGTTTGTTGTAAATGAGCGATTGCGATTTAAATTATGATAGCAAATTAAAAAAAAAACTGTAATGATTTCAAAATCTTGATGATCTTATTTAACATCCAGTGGCAAGTATAAAGTATTACATATTATAATAGTTTATTCTCTATTTACTCAAAACTTAAGAACGGCTGGATATATTTTGACGAAACTAAGCTGCATGTATAAGCCAGTGGGGAATATACATTCAAATTGTATAATTACTTAAATATGGTTCAAATATGAAACAAAAAATATCTTAAATCTATAGTAATATTATACAGAGGTAAAGTTTGTGACGTTGTAGGGGGTAATCTCTGGATCTACTAAACTGATTTAGATGATTTTTTTAAGAAAATAGTTTAAGACCCTGGGAAGGACATAGGATACTTTTTATTTCGGAAATCATCCCTTGAGGCGATGCTAGTTTGTATGAGGAAGCAAGCTAGGGACGAACCCGAGCGAAGCGAGGGTGAATCGCTAGTAATATCTATAACTTTATAATATATTCTCTTATTTTTAGTTAAAAATCAAAAGAAAAAAATTATATGAATTACAACCACGCCCGTGCAGTAGCAGCAGGGCAGAGAAGACTTAATTAAAATGTTTGATGTGAAAATAAAACAATTAATTACATAGTTATTTTTATTATATAATTTTTATTTAAAATAATTGTCAATATTAATCGATTATAAAATATACCCCAACCAATATAACCTTAGAGTATACATAACGTATAGAGCGCGCGCTAGCATAAACTGTAAGCACGGGTATGAACAGTCTCGAAATGTCAAGGGCGATGCTATTAGTCACGAAAAGTCAATCGCGCTGTTTCTCTCGTCGATATTTATTTGACTTTATGTAATCATGGGGAAATGTGCAGTTCCAAGTTGTAAAGATGATTAACGAAAGCAAACTAAAACGGACAAAGATATTTCTTTTCAACGGCAAATAATATTTCAATCAGAAAACGCTAATTTTAACAAAATTACACAGGCGTAAGCGGGTGTTGCGGGAGGCGCGCGGGCGGGCCGACACAACACTGAACAGTGAACACGTGCTTCCGAGTTCCGCCCCCCCCCCCCCGTTTTTCACTTTCCCTCATTAAGAGCTAGTGTTGTACCACGTTGTACTACTCGAATATTTTGTATAACCATAGTATTATAAATTAAGATCCATTGTATTGGTTAAAAATAAAACCATTAAATTTTAATGGCACCAAAGTACCTTACAATATTACTTAATTTTAATTTTAAACATTTTAATAAGTTTAATAATTGCATGGAATATTATTTATTTCACTTTAGCTGTTATTATTATAATTATTTCAATTTTTTTAGAAAACTTTATTAATTAGTCATCATATTTAGTGTTGTCATTATTATATTTATAAACATAAAAAAAAGAATTATTCAAGCCACATTATTGTTCCATGTGAAATTAAAAAAAATTAAAATGTTAAAATTAATTAAGTGTAATAATTATATAATAATTACATTGCGGGATTTAAACGCGTGAAACCTTTAATTCCCGTAATTTGCGTTTAAGTCCCGTAGTGTAATTATTATATAATTATGGAACGCGAAAAGTTAAAGAGAATAATATATAATTTTAATTTAGTTTACTATTATTTGACAAATTTCAAAATATTACTACATAAATTTACAAATGAAACATATTAATTTGAAATACTGCAATTTTAGATAATAAAGTCTATATGTACGTGAATAAATGGTTATGTTAAATTGTTTATGTTAATATACTTCTTTTTTAATTAAATTCTAAAAGTTTTACTAGACGCATCACTATTCAACCGCTTCATCTACAAGTATGTATCAATAGGTGTGTATAGAACACCTGCTTACGTTTCGCATAATAGTAGGGGAGCCCAAGAGGGGATTTTCTGTAGTTACTCGAGCGCGGCAGATTAATATACAGGGGGATACCTTATACCCGGTTCAGTACCTCCACAAAACATGAGGCCCATATATAAGGCCGCCCGTGAAGGATACAGGATCAGATTAGTAAAAAAAAATTGACCACCAGAAATTCTCGAGCGCGTCAGATTAAGGTAGGGTGAGTTAATTACATCCTAAAAAGTGTATATTCCACTAATCTGACAATTTGAGAGTGACGTAAAAAAAGGGGAGGGCAACAAAGTTGTAAAAAAAAACGTCATCTCGACATTCTCGAGCGTAGCTAATTTTTTTTTTATTTTGAAGGAAATAATGCAAGAATAATGAAAAATATATAATCTGACGATTTCCGCAAGCCGAAATAACAAAAATTCGTCGATAAAGTTAAATGCGTGCAGCTGCGTGATGCCTACATTTCCTTCTCCGCGTTTCTATTCCTCTCTCACTCTTTCTCTATCTATTACTCTCTCACTCCGTCCCCACTCTGGTTTCTGCCGCCATGACACCATCACAGCTGATCATAAAGAGTATAGGGGTGTGCGAACATCGTTCGAATCGAATCGAATATCAATATTCGATTCGAAATTCGAAAAATTTCGAATAATTCGTAAAAATTTCGAATAATTCGAAAGTTTTCGAATAACTCGCGAATTAATGAAATATCTCTGGATCTTCAATTCGAGAGATATCGTGAACGAAAGAAAACCGAAAAAAAGTGTTTTTTCGGGATTACTCTGAAATTTTTGGTTCGATCAATTAAAACCTGAAAATAACTTATGAGGATAATAAAACTGCGTCGAATGCCGTCAACCGCGTGAAAATTGCTTGATCTATTCAAAAGTTATTGCGGTTTGAAAATTCCAAAAATAGTGTTCTATGAAACTTCTACAGACTTTCGAGCTGGGAGAGCTCAAATGCATAGAAATATTATTTCTTTGAACTCTGCGAGCTCAAAATATCACATAAATTATATTTTGAGCTCAAAAATGCCATAAGTACAATTTTAAGCGCACAGGAATGGAATTAGCGGGAAGTTGCAGGTATGGCCTTTAAGGTGAACCGTTTTTCTAATTTTTTTTTTGTCAGATCAGGCGAATCCCTCTAGATAATCGTCAGATTATGAGACAGTACGTTTAGAACATAAAGATGAACCATATATATCTTAATCTGACGCGCTTGAGTATTTCAAAATGGCGTTTTTTTTTGCACATTATGAAAATGGCCGCGAGTTTGCGTCCCATCGAAATCGTCAGATTAGTGAATGAGAGCTTTTTTTTGGTGCAATTAACACTCCCTTAGAAAATCTGACGCGCTCGATTAAATTTTTTTTTTTTCATTTTCAACCCTTAAATACAACCACCCGCATCATGCAAACGATCAGATTAACATACGTACATTATTAAAAATACGTAGGGCATTTATGCTATCAATATCTGACGCGCTCGAGGATGTCTATGCAACAGTTTTTTTTTTACATATTTAAAAATCTATAGCCGCTTCCCCCACCGATGTAAAGGTATATATCATATAACATTTTTTTCTTCTTATCATCTAAGCTTTGCATCCCAATAGGTCTCTACGACGCTCGAGTAAATCCCCATTTAGCTTCTTGGGCTCCCCTACCATAATGGAAAATGAACGATACGCGCGCTCTATAGCATAATAATATAGCTCTATTGACACTGACATGATATGAATTTGTCAAAACAAATCCGCGCCAATGTCAAAATAATGATTAATATGTAAATTTTTCTGAAAATAGTATAGAATATAATATTATTATATTTCTAGTATTTTATAAACAAAATAGCTAATTAATAAGTATTGTTAAGAAAGAAATCTTTATCATTTATTTTATTACAGTCTTGTAGTAAATATTTATGTTCATCTTCAACATGTCCTCTCTTGAGCAGATATACTAATATGTACTGGTACGGAAAAACTGGTACATTATGATAGAAGAAAAAGCGTAATTTAACTCTTTCTATTATTTTCATGTCCACAAAACAATAATCTGCTGAACAACAGCTGCCTGGCGTTCTGCAATCATTTGTTACATAATGGGTTAATTTATTATCAGTGACACATTTTAAAACTAAACTTTAAAATTATATAGAGCGGAGACATTATTATGCTGGGAAGTAGTACTAGTATACCTACAAAGCTCTAATAAATATTTTTTAGCAATACAAAAAACTCTTGGAAGATAACTGTCACAAATAAGGAATTTAAATGTTAAGATGTTTTCAACCAAGTTTTACAAAAAAAGGAAAAGCTTTCAAATGGACTGTTGTTGCATGTATATTTTGCAATGTGAAAGCAGTTTGGATAATTTAAATAATTTAAACTATATATTATAACGGTATTTTGTGGACATTGTAAATTTTTGACACATTAAAGCCACATTAGCGCCTGACAGGTTAGGTTTTTGTTGGGTTTTGGTGGTGGCTAGCGTAAATGTATTTCCCAACAAAAATAAGGGTTAATCCCCCCAGAATCGTACTGTTTGGCAATGTCATTAACAATCATTAAACAAAAAGTAAAAAAAATAAATACCTAGGATCGTAAGTCACGGGTTTTGCCTTTAGAGTTTTAAATATCATTTGATAATACTGCCTGTATTTTTTCTTCATTATAAGTATAACCTGCTTTCCTTCAAATGGAAATGTAGCTTGTTTTGTCTGAAGCTCTGAATGCCAGTACACGGCTGCTTTCGCTACTTCTACACTTGTATTATCAATTTCTACTATTTTTGGGTGTCTCATCCATTCATACATTTCTTCCTACAAAAGAATACAACATTTATGTTTCATTTTTAAAAAGATTTCATTATTTTGTTTATATTATGAGATACGAATATGAAATTGTTTTTATATTTGATTTTTAATGGTTATACCTTAAGGGAACTTAAGGCCCCATATATATAAAAAAATTGAATTATTTTTAATCATTAGTAAAAGTACTGCCATTAGAACCATCTCATCTGCTCATAGTCTAAAAGACTGATCGCAAGATTTAATCAAAAAAAAAAAGTAAAAGTACTAGGTAATTATTAAAAAAAACTTTTTTTTATTTACATAAAGGCCTACAATTTGTCAAGTATTAACATAAATATTATATTCAAATGATGGTATCTATGAGATGTTGTATGTAATAAAACATTTATCAATAAGCAAGTACCCACCTGTAAAAATTTTTTGCATCGAAAACTGTCATATATGAAACTAATATGAAGAAGCCACTTTCCAGTTGCTAAACAACATACCATCATACCAGTCAAAGTATCATTAGGCAAGACTGATATAAAATGTGTTGCAAGCATTTCCATTTTTGTGTTCTCTGCCACTACTCCACCAAGTTCATTGATCATTGCAACAATTCTTTCACGATCCTGTAAAAAGTCAGTTAACAACATGTTGAATGCAGTTTGATTTAAAATTGCAAGCATAGATATATAATTAGATTTTTTCTTACATGAATTTGTTCTGAAAGCATGAATATTTTTTTATCGCATGCGCAGATTAAATTTTGCTTCATCTTCCATGATTCTTCTGATGTGCCACTTGGGGAGTGATAGTCACTATCTATACAGATAAATAAAATTGAAGTGTCTGTTTGTAATGTCACAATAACAGCTTTTTACTAAATGCATATGAAAGTATATGCAGTACTAATAAAAAAAACAATTTTTAATTTTTTTGCCTGTCTGTATGTTTCTGCTAACTTAGGCTACTTTTATTTTAATATAATTATTTTATATATTTTCATTATATATTTAAGTAAAAGAATATTGGATCTGCCCGAAAATAATAAAACTCAGGAAATTGTGAATAAAATTCGCATTTCTAGCGTGGACCTACCCGAGTGAAGCAACGATAATTTGCTATTTATAAATAAGTATATAAATAATCTAGCAACCTATTCTCACTTCGCTAGTCTATTATAATATATTGTAATTTTACAAAAATCAATAAAATACTCTGTTTTATAAAATATATATATATATATATATATATATATATATATATATATATATATACCTATATTATATAATTAATTTTACAAATACAAATATTTACCAGATACATCTTCAGGAAGACATGCTTGTATTCTGCTTGTGACTTGTTGAGTCTTTGAGTTTATTGGGCTATAGTTAGTGACCTTCTTCTTGAGCTTATAGTTTTGAATATATTTTCGAAATGGTAAATATACAGCTGTTTTTGCCTTCCCATTTTCAATAAATTTACGAAAGCTCACCTTCTTAGGTGTACTTTGTTTACTGCTGGTGCTGAAAGATCTATAAAAAAAGTCATGATTGAGGTAAACAAAATAAGTTTAGTTTATCATATTAATTCCCAGAAAAGAAAGTTAAATTCAATATTGAGAGGAAAGGTTATGTTTTAAGAATGTATAGATTTTAAAATTGAGCCCAAGAAATAGAAATAAGAAGTTTTAATATTTACTCAAGCAGTATGTTAGTGCATTCCCTTTCAAGCTCTGATGTAGCTCCCAGACATGCCAAAATTCCCAATTGTAACTCACTCATTCCCTAATTTAGAAAAGAAATTTTTTAAAGGACTGGATGTCGGAGTTGGCTTCTGTTCAATTTTTTGACATTCTATCTCCTGATAAATATCTTCAGTGGACCAACCTATCTGGCGTCTTACAGCTTTGGGCTTCCTTGTTTTGACTATTATTGGAGCAAAATCAACACAATCTATACCAGGGTCACTTAGTGTATCATCATTTACTTTAAAATGAAACATTTTTAAATGTTCTAGATAAGCTAATTTATCTGTAAACATTTCATGACACACTGGACATACAAAGTAATGAAGTTTTACATTATTTGTGCACTTATTTAAATGCATCTTATAATCCTCATATCCATCATATTTTTCATCGCAAAGAACACATGAAACATTAATATAGTCAGAAGCACTTGTTGTGGGTGATGTTGGTTTGGAAGACTTAGCTGGTGACACAGATGTGGCATCTGCAGCAACTAGAGTTTCATTACTACTAGATTGTTGTAGCTGATTATGCTCAATTGTACAAGTAACATGGCAAGTATGGGCTCCATAGTTACTGTATGACTGATTACAGTACACACATTTAACTGAATCAATATCACTATCAGTCTCATCACTAGTTTCATAGCAAGGGCTCAGTTGTCTGTCTAATCGACAACTTGCTTTTACTAAATTTTCATCATTTTCTTCGTTAACATATACTGTGTGCATCTGAAGTTCTTGTTTATATAAGTCATTATAATCAGCAATAGCTGGTTTTTCAACTTGAATATCTGGAAGCATGATATTATAATGTGAATTTATTTTACACTTACATTTTTTTTATGGATAAAGTATCTTAATTAATATTTACCGGGGAATTTTCGTAATAAGACATCAATACGTTCGCATTGGAGTTTAAATAAGTAAGCTGTACTTAAGTTTTCAATGCAAGACGTGCATACACGGTCTGATAGACCGTCTCCTTCATGAATCTAAAATTTTATGATAAAATATATGTATGAATACTAACTTTGTAAATTACTTAATTGAGAATAATCATTATATTGTTACAAATCTGCAATTTACCTGAACATTAGCAAAAGACATAACCATTTCTGATAATTTAATTGTGTCATCTTTCTCAAAGATAGAACAAAAATCTCCAATCTTTAAGCACAATCTACATTTATGAAAACTAGATAATTCCATTTCTAAGGAAGAATCTTTCTTGCTACCAAAATATTTATAGCATAGTTGATGCTACTTTAAACTTGTTAAAAACTTGTTTAGCCACTTTTTGAATTCGAAAAGACAACGACAAAAGTTTGGAATGACATTGACAAACTGAAAACAGGGATACACATAATTTGAATAGCAGATGCACAGAATTTCGGCAGTGTATCGAATTTCATCTATTCCTCCTTGTAGCTTGCCCCTGTTTTTCAATAGATATTAATGCCGCACTTTGGCGCACAATACCGAAGCGTGCTAAATGCTAATGCTTAATTATTGGAACACGAATTAGTTTTCAAGTGCACCAGCAGAGGGCACTAGGTTAGTGCTGAAAGAAAAAATATACCTAACTAATAAAACCATACTAATATTATAAATGTGAAAGTGTGTTTGTTTGTTTGTCCTTTCACGTCGAAACGGAGTGACGGATTGGCGTGATTTTTTTTGTGAGAAGATGGTTGCAGGGATGGAGAGTGACATAGGCTACTTTTTACCGCGGGACATTATTTAATTCCCACGGGAAAACACGATATGAAACAATCTAAAACTAAATTATGATCAGAATTACTTGAAACTTGGTATTAAACTCTTCAATAAAATTAAATGAATTCGTGTTTTAGCATTTTTCGAAGTTCATCATATAATGGCGTAATATAGGGGATGAAAGTTTGCATGAAATGAAAAATGTAAATAATATTTTGACACACACAGACTACGTCAAAAGCTTTACAAATTAGTTCAACAATAAACAATATTCCCTATTTACCAATTAGGGCACTAAAGCGCATTATGCGGCATGATGCTAACTTCGGATGTTCCAATTACAGCAACGCTCCACTCAATCGAGCATTTTAAAAAGTACTGCTTTGGCGTGATGCGCGTAAGGATGCCAACTCAATAACAGGAAATATGAGAAGTGTTTTTTCTGTAAGTTGGTATTGATCAAAATTTTATTTACATAATCATTATCGTTAGTAATATTTGTTTATATTTTATTTATATAGTTATATATTAATTATTTATATATTATTAAATACTAGCATTGCCCGCGGCTCCGCCCGCGTTATTATGACCAAAACCAAATTCTTAGGTTTTATTTATTAGTATACTCGTATTAGTATATTAGTTGACCCGGATAACCAGCTATTACCATACTAAATTTCTTCAAAATCCCTCCAGTGATTTTTCTGTGATTCGGTCACAGACAGACAGACAAAAATTCTTAAGACTATAGGTTCGGCCTCTGTTAGCTATAGTAATGTGTATTTCTTTTATAGAGAGTAGTTTTATCGCAGTGGAGTTATCTTTAATAAAATCCCTTTTAAATAAGCATAGTTTTATTTATTTCAATTTACAATTTATTAACACAACCTGACACATTTATTTTTTACCGACATCTATCAAAATTATATTCTTATATTTAAATTTTATTGCAAGACAGTATTCTCTATGACACTACCCCTCACGAAGATCTTAGGGTGTCACCTCAGGTCTGAGTGACCCTTATCATCTTCAGCAGTTTTATTAACCTTGGCTGGGTTAAGGCCTCTGTTAAAAGATCTGCCTCCATATTGTCTGTGTCCTTATAATGGATTGTTATTAGTTTCTTTTGGACACAGTCTCTTATAAAGTGTTCCTTTATGCTTATATGCTTTGATCTTTTTCCAGTCATTAAATTGTTGGCTAACTTCTGTGCAGCTAAATTATCGTTGTAGATTGGTACAGCTTGTGTAGTCACTCCAATATCTTCCAAAAGCTGTTTTAAGTGTAGCGCTTCCTTTGCAGCTTCAGTCATTGCCATATATTCTGCCTCAGCAGTTGACAAAGCTACAACTCGTTGCTTCTTTGTAGCATAACTTATTAGACCACCTCCATACTTGAAGATGTAACCCGTATATGAACGACGGTCAATGGTACATGCTGCCCAATCAGCATCAGCCATTCCTACTAATGCACTTCCTGCTTTACTATATCTGATGCTAACATTCTTCGTGCCTTTTAAATTACGCAAAACCCTTTTTGCTGCTTGCCAATGCGTTTTTCCAAAACAAGTATTATATTGGCTCAAATAACTTACTGTAAACATAATATCTGGTCTCGTAGCTATAGCCAGATACATCAAAGAACCAATCAGTGCCTGGTATGGTATGTTCTCCATTTCTTCTTCTTTTTGTGCTCTTTCCAATTTTAAACCTGTTTCCATCGGCGTTGAAACCGGCTTACATTCGCCCATGTTAAATTTTTCTATTAAGTTTTCAATATAACTTGTCTGTGACAACCTCATTCTCCCCCTACATGGGTGAATTGTATGCCAAGGCAATGATGTAGCGAACCCATATCTCTTAATTGAAAAGCCTTTTGTAATTTCATTTTGACCTCTTTTAACAACTTTTCTGATTTATATGCCAGTATTAAATCATCCACATAAATGTTTACTAATAGCTTTTCACCTTCTTTTTCTAAAATATATAAGCAAGGATCTGCTGTAGAGTTCTTAAATCCGATTTCCATCAATTTATTATGTAACTTCAAGAACCATTGTCGTCCTGCTTGTTTCAATCCATAAATAGCTTTATTTAGTTTACATATCCCATTATTTTTATATCTATTTATATCTAATAGCATTTCTTTTGTTTTTCTTATTAATTCTTTATCTTTTCCATTTGTTAATATCATTTTTAAGTATTTATCCAAATTTTTCGGCATCTTCATGTAAATTTGTTCGTCTATATCGCCGTTTAAAAGTGCAGTACACACATCTAGTTGGGATAACTTCATGTCATTTTCAATCGCATGTGCAATGAGTAGCCTAATAGTACTCATTTTTGCAACAGGTGCAAATGTTTCTGTGTAACCAATACCTTCTTTCTGATTAAATCCACGCGCTACAAGTCGTGCCTTTCGTCTATCTATTTCTCCTAGTGCATTATATTTATATTTCAAAATCATTTTATTATCTATTAAATTTTTGCTTTCGTTCTTGTGTACAACTGTCCAAGTATTTTTTTTTTTTTTTTTTTTTTTTTTTTTTTTTTTTTTTTTTTTTTTTTTTTTTTTTTTTTTTTTAAGATGAGATTCTATCTCGTTTATTATTGCATCTTCCCATTCATCACTGTTTTCATCTATTTCACAGAGGAATGATTGCTCAGCATCCATCTCATAATCTTGATGCCATGCTGGTGGTTTTCTCTGTCTTTTTATACTATTAGTCGTTGCTTCGACTTCATTATCTGTACACATATCATTATTTATTTCGTCTATTTCTGTAGTTGCATCTAGGAATAATTCATCATTGTTAAATTCATGTTCTGATTCATTTCCTTCATTTTCTATTAACTTATCATTGTTTTCTTTATTATGTTTTTCTGGAAAAAATATAACTTCTATTTCCTTTTTGTCAATTTCTTTTTGTTTTTCTTCTTCTTTCATCTAGTTCTCATAAAACATTTTATCTAATACTTAAACATTTCTGCTGATTATCACCTTGTTTGTTTTCGGATTGAATATCCGCTACGCCTTATGATTTTCGGAATATCCGATGAAAATTCCAGCTGTTGCTCTGGCTTTAAATTTTCCATTTTTCTTTCCTTTATTTAATACGAATGCTTTAGCCCCAAATATGTGAAAATGCCTTACAGATGGTACTTTCTTTACCCATTTTTCAAATGGAGTCGCATTATCAGTAGTTAGCTGTACTAATTGCTTCAGCCCAAAAATCTTCTTTCATATTAGCGTCTATTAGCATGCATCTAGCTTTATCAAGCAATGTTCTATTTTTTCTTTCTGCTAATCCATTTTGTTCTGGCGTATATGGTGCGGAAAGTCTCCTCTTGATACCGTTGTCTTTTAAGTATTTATCAAATCTTTTGTTTATATACTCTGTCCCATTATCACTTTGCAAATATATTATTTTATTTTTCGTAAATCGTTCAGCCTCGTTTTTAAATTCTATAAATTTTGATAGGGCTTCATCTTTAGTTTTCATTGTATATACTCGTGTATATCTCGAATTATCATCTGTGAATGTAATGAAATATTTTGAACCTCCCTTAGATGGCTGTCTCATGGGACCACATACATCAGTATGTATAATTTCTAATCTATGATTTGTCCGTTGCTCATTTTTACATGTATTAAACGGCAGTTTTTTGCCTTACCTTTAGCACAGACTTTAATCTCTAACTGTATCAGATTTATTAAATTCTAAGCCTTCCATACTTTTCTTATCAAGAGCTATTCTCATTTGCCTCTCATTAAGGTGTGCTAGTTTTCTATGCCATAGTTGCATTTTATTTGTTTCACAATAGTTAGATTTCTCTTCAAAATTTTCTTTAACGTAGTATAAACCATCTTCATTTCTTTCTGCTTTTAACAGAATTTGACCATTTCGCATTACGCTTGCTTGTTGCTTCTTAAATAAAACTGTTGCACCTTTATCTGTCATTTTTCCTACTGACATAAGATTTGTAGTCAGCGACGGTACATACAAGGCTTCAGTCAGTTGTAGACCAGGTATTTCCTTTATGTTCAGTTTCACTGAACCTCGACCTTCAATTTGTGCTGTACAGTTCTCTGAAGCTAACCTTATAGTTTTATAGTCTTCTTTTTCTACATTATGGAATCTTTCCAATTCATGACTCATATGTGACGTGCATCCACTATCAAGACACCATTTTCTGGCTTTTTCTTTATTATTATTAGCATTTAGACATTTTTCTATGAAATAATTCGTACTGCTTTTAGTTTTGTTCACATTTGACCAGCATTCATTCGCTTTATGCCCCTTTTTATGACATTTGTAGCATTCAGTAATATATTTCTTATTTTTTTTCTTTGCTGCTTGCTGTAAAGTACCGCTTGTTCTGAGTTCCCATCAGTTGTAGTAGCCATATTTTTTCGTGCTTCAGCTTCCTCGATGATTTTTATTTTCAGGCTATCTGGATTTGGTAAATCATCTCTAGATTCTATGGCTATGCGAAAATTTTCAAAAGATTGTGGTAAACTATATAGCAGCATTATACTTAATAAATCTTTATTAATTATTATATCCATGTCGGCTAGTTTATCGACAATATCCATAAATTTGTTTAAATGATCAACTATGCTGTCATCGTCTTTGTTTTAGTTCGCTTGGAGATATTATAAGAAATAATTCAGCTAATGCTAACTCATCTTTTTCTATATATTTGCTCAGTTCGTCGCCTTCGCTTATTGGCTTCTTAATTTTATTAGAAACATAGTTCCAAAGACCAAGTTTCAACAACAGAGCTTTTGCATGAATTCTCCATGTATCGTAATTTTCTCTTTTTAATGGCTCTATGTGTACACGATGGCTCATCTTTCTCTTTTTCAATATACGATTTCTCGCGTTTACGCGCTGCCCATAACCTTTTATAGAGAGTAGTTTTATCGCAGTGGAGTTATCTTTAATAAAATCCCTTTTAAATAAGCATAGTTTTATTTATTTCAATTTACAATTTATTAACACAACCTGACACATTTATTTTTTACCGACATCAATCAAAATTATATTCTTATATTTAAATCGAAGTGACTATTTGTACGGGTACTGGACGAATAAATTATATTTATTCGTACATTAGGTTAGGTTAGGTTAGTTTTTTTTTTATCGATTTGGTTAGGTTAGGTTATGTTAGGTTCCCCGGGGGAGAAGCCAACTCCTACCGGGCGCGTCCCCAGGTGGCGGATAGGGGAATGCCACCCGCTTAGGGCGGCGGGTGGTACCGGAGAAATCCGGCGCGGACCAAATGGCTTGGATGGGGCCGCTCGTCTAGGCCTCGAGCCGAAGACGTTGCGGCCACCGGTGGTGGGACCGCTTGGTCCCACAACCGGATGATGGGTGCCGGTTGCGGGACTGTGGTCGCAGGCCCGCATTCAGCGGAGGGGTAGGCCGCGGCGGGAGAGGAGTGCCGGTATTTCGGTGCGCCGTTCTCCCTACCTTCCGCGGCCTAGACGGGGCCGCCACCGTTTGATGGCGGACGCGGTGGGGCTGCAGGGGAAGAGGAGTGTCGGTGTTTCGTTGCCGCTCTCCCTGTCCTCTGCAGCCGATTGGAGGTGGCCCACTTCGGTGGGCGGTGTTTTGGTTTTATGGGGCTGCTCCGGGTACCTCTCTGACGTAGCAGAGTTGACTGTGGAGCAGCCCCATTGGTTTGGTGGTCTGCCTAGTATTTAGGCAGACCTGCCGCCGGGGCGCCGTAGTAGTTATGCGCAAGCGATCCTGCGGCGTCCCACTAAGGCGGGGGGAAGGGATGTCGGGTTTTAGTGGGTAGTACCGGCTCTTCTAGCCGGTGAGCCCCACATCACCACCTGGGGGATCAGGTGGTATGCGTAAATGCATTTCCCGACAATAAAAAAAAAAAAAAAAAATGGTTATGTTAGGTTCCCCCCCAACGTGCGTTCACCTTGTCGTGGTGGGGGGGCTCAGTAGTGCCCGGCAACCCAACCGGGCGCGAAGCCAAGAAACGCACAGGAAGGTGGCCCACTTCGGTGGGCGGTGGAAGGTGGCCCTCTTCGGAGGGCGGTGTAGCATGCGGGTTGCTCCTGGTACTTCTCTGATAGCAGAGTGGACCTTGGAGCAACCCCGTGGTTGTTGTGGTCTGCTTCGGCAGACCTGTCGTCGGGGCGTCGTAGTTGAATGCGTAAGCGATCCTGCGACGCCCCATTAAGACGGGGGAAGGCTTTGTTGGGTTTTAGTGGGTAGTACTGGCTTTGCCGGTGAGTCCCACACCTCGTGCGTAAATGCATTTCCCAACGTTAAAAAAAAAAAAGGTTATGTTAGGTTGGGGCTGCAGGGGAAGGGGAGTGTCGGCGTTGTCGCATCCTCTTCTCCTGCAGCCGTTTGTGGTGGGCTCGTTCGCGGGCGTTTTGGAGGTTTGCCCAATAGGGTGGGATGGTTCAGGCTTAGGCCGCTTATTTTTGCAGGTGCCCACTTCGGTGGGCGGTGTTTGTGTCGTGTGGGGCTGCTCCGGGTACTTCTCTGACCAGCAGAGTGGACTTAGGAGCAGCCTCACGTAGAGGGTTGATAGTCTTCCCATAATGGGGTTGTCCCACTTGGGGCGGCCTCATGGTTGGTGGCTTCGGCCAACCGTCGGGGCATCGCGGTTGTATGCGAAAGCGATCCCGTGGCGTCCCACATGGCGGCAGGGGGGGGAAGTTGGGTTTTAGTGGGTAGGCCGGTCTCATTAGCCGGAGAGTCTCCACATAACCACCCTGGGGGAAGTCGGGTGGTGTCCGTAATAGGATTTCCCAACTATAAAAAAAAAAAAAAAGGTTATGTTAGGTTAGGTTAGTAGTAGTATTTAATTGTATTAAAATCGGCAAACATTTACCATTTTTTGGTTTAAATTAAAAACAAATAGAAACGCAAAATTATTATTTTTTTAAATTTGCACTCTAATTGATAAAATAAAATTATTCGTCCGACTTATGTACGAATAATAATAAATTGTTTGTCTAGTACCTGTATTAATAATTATAAATTTTTCGTACAGTACCCGTATTATTAGACTCAGCCTATTTAAATTTTATTGCAAGACAGTATTCTCTATGACAATTTCAATAAAATTCTCCAAAAAATATTAAAAGCACAGATAGTGCTTCATTAAAGTTTAATGTATCTATAGATGTAACTAATTTATAAAGCCAAGAAGATTGTTTGTTTTTTTTAATTTATTCACGGGCGAGGCCGCGGTTAATTTAGTAGTAATTCTAATAAAATCATAGAAAGGTCGAATTTGTACATTCAATTTTTTGGAATTAAAACTTGTCCAAGATCCCGGTGCCCCCAGACGTTACTTATTTTCTCATAAGAAATATAAATGGGATAAAGTAGTGTTAGTACGTACTTTTTGTGTGTGCATACCTGCTACCTTGGGTCGACGGCCAATTCATAGGTACCAGGTGCTAAAGGTAGATAAATACAGTACTGATTTTTCTATATGTTTTAGATATTGTTGTTAAAAATTAATAATCATTATTGCCAGACACTTTCCATCGGCGCTTACCCTTACCAGACGCTTTAAAGCTTCAAAAAAAATAACATATTCTTACTTATAATCTCACTCTTGATTTTTATGTATGATACTTGGGGAACTATTTGAATACCCCTGGTCAGCAGCCAGACCGATTGGAGGGGTCAAACATCCCCCCAGACACACATAAAGTGTCGCTAAAATTGTGCTCTGTTCGATATAATCAAGAGAGATTAAAGATTCGTTACATACAAAATGGAATCGAACCTGAAGATTACAACGTATTTTAAAGTGATCTGGGTGGAGAAAATTTTATAAATAATAAATATAAGTTTCTTTAACCTATGTTTTACATCTTATCATCGAGTTAAATTGAATACTAATATTTAAAAAATTCATGTTTATTAAATCTTAAAATTATACAAAGCTATACATGTCTTTCTTCTTTCGGATTATTTGTAGTTTGAACATTCAGCGTGATCTTTACTGTCATCATCGTCTAAGTTTGATAAGTCATTATCAACCCAATGTTGGAAAAAATAGAAAAAAAATAGATTTTCGCAATAATAAAGCAGCTTTGTGTAAAATATCTTCATCCTTCAAATACTCAAATGATTGGTCATCAATAGAAATTAAATTTTTCGGAGCTACTAATTTTTTATTCTGGATGATAAAGAATTTAATTTGCTTATCAAATGCTTTTATTATCTTGATTTCTAAATTGTGTGGAGTGAAACTTCCTTTATTTTTTGTAGAATTCCCTTCTTCACTTTCATTTAATATTTCCATGTAATATCTATGAAGATAAGTCAAAAAATAGCATCGTCCTTTTTTTATTATATTTTCATTAATTAAAGCAGATATTTCCTCAAAAGCAGTTTGATGATGTTGACGAAGATCATGCCAATCACTTTTGGGTGTTTCTTTTTTTACTGATGTTTTATAAGAAAACTCTAATTTGCAAGGATGATGATAACAAATTTTTGAAAGCGAATAATTTTCAAATTTATTAATGAACTCCTTATGATTTTCATTTTCTTCATCTAGTTTAGAAAGGAAATCTTTTTTATCACACGAATGTAGAGGTAACATCGAAATTTGTGGAATAGATGATTGTACCTCAATACATTGTGTATCTAATTCAGATGTCGATGAACATGCTGCTGATGAATTTTCTGCAATATTTATTGATTTTTCTTTTGGAGTAGATTTTTCTTTTGGAGTAGATTTTTCTTTTGGGGTAGATTTTTCTGTACTTGTAGCATTTGAAGAATAATATTTTTTCATCAAACCTGTGAACGATTTGTAACATTGTCTATGATAACCACTTTCATATAAATCAGCTGGCAAAACAATATTTTTGAATTTTAGGTTATGTTCCTTTCTATGTTTTAATATTGTTTGACACTTTTTCAACGTTTCTTCCGTAAACAATATTAAATTCACATCGGAATTCTCACAAAACACACACTTTAATAATTCTGCCATTATATTTTTTAGAATACTATAAATATTTTTTTTTATTTCAACACGTTGTAAATAAAATGACAGATGCACTGAATCAAGTAGCACTGAATAGAGTAGCCTAGAGACGTCAATAAGTATAAGAAAGATATCCATAAATAGATATCTCTCTCACACTCAAGCGTACAAATAATGACCTCGCGCTTATACACATAGCGACACTTTATGTGTGTCTGGGGGGATGTTTGACCTCTCCAATTGGTCTGGCTGCTGACCAGGGGTGTTCAAATAGTTCCCCAAGTATCATACATAAAAATCAAGAGTGAGATTATAAGTAAGAATATGATATTTTTTTTGAAGCTTTAAAGCGTCTGGTAAGGGTAAGCGCCGATGGAAAGTGTCTGGCAATAATGATTATTAATTTTTAACAACAATATCTAAACCATATGTAAAAATCAGCACTGAGAATTTAAGAAAAATCAGTACTGTATTTATCTACCTTTAGCACCTGGTACCTATGAATTGGCCGTCGACCCAAGGTAGCAGGTATGCACACACTCAAAGTACGTACTAACACTACTTTATCCCATTTATATTTCTTATGAGAAAATAAGTAACGTCTGGGGGCACCGGGATCTTACTCTATTTTAATGTTGAGATATTATGTCTTATGAAAATGAATGAACTTTCCTTCCTACATTTCCCAGACTTAGGACTGACTACATTATTATTTTCTAGTTTTTATTTTATAGGTATATGCTCGTTTTTAATGAAATACTTTCTTTGATCAAAAATATGTATTAATAACAAAATCAATGAACAACAGTTAACAACGTCCTAGTTGCAATAATTGCACTTTAATTTAAAAAAATATATATTTGTCACCTAAAAATGCGCTTTTAGTTTTTACGTCTTTCCGAAGCCAAAAGGTTAGTTCAATATTTAGATCATATTATTAGTGATATTATGTCATTACGTCCCACATATAAAGTCGATTATTGAATTTACCAATTCACACACACAATACAATTGAATTGACCAAAATCGCAAAAAAACAACAATATCGTATACTCTATATTGCAGAACCGTAAAGTTCAGAATTAAATGGTAGCGTGTAAATAACTAAATATTTCACTTCATTCATCCATCTCACTTGTAAATCACGCCCTTTCACTCCCGCTCGGTTTGTATCAAGCGCAACAGTATATAAAATAATAATATCTTATATCGCTCATATCGTCGTATCATCGAATCAGTTCGGATATAGTGTTTTGCTCGATATATAGTTACTCCAGAGACCGATATCTCGATATACGATATCGATACAATATATAGTTTCAAAAACTATATACGATTTGTATCACTCACTCAAAGAGTATAGATATATACTGCACTCACTCCTAGTGTGCGTTATGCGTCACTTGGTTGAACTAGTTTTCATACATTTGTATTATATGTCAAGTCCAGTGACCAGTGGGCTTAGTGTGAGTTTTTTTGACTACTCGATCGCGTTAAAGTAAACGCAAATTTGTATGGAGTTGGATCAGCGCCACCTAGCGGAAAGTTTGTAAAACATATTTTGTGAGTGCGAGTTTGATTGTTAACTTTATGATTGCGACCGTCGACTAACTTTGTCGAAGTGAGGAATTAAACGCGCTGGAATGGCGTTTTTGCGAGTGTGAGTTGCAATTTATGTCACTTTTGACAGTTCAATTGTAAACTTCCTCACTTGCGAGCGAGTTTTTTTGTCACTTAAATTTTGTTAGTGAGAGTGAAAACGCTAATTAAAATACGAACATATTTTTTACAAAATTCATATTATTGTGTTGTTTTAATTGGAGTAAAAGATGGCAGCTCGTCATTTTTACGCTTGGAGGATGTTGTCGACGGCAACAGCACAAGATGAGCGTAATAATTCTAGCCAGCGTTCGTGCAGAAGCTCGCATTTCAGATAATCCGTTAATACATCTTCCGGAGACTGAATTAAAAGAAATTATCGCCTTTCGAAGAAAGCATTAAAAGGCTTGTGCAAAGAATTAAGACAATTAACTAATTTGAAATCTACTCAACGAGTTACCTTGGAAGCAAAGGTAAAATCATTTAAAATCATAAATATGCACGCTTGGTGTATTTTTTTATCAATTGTTATATTCTAGGTACTCACTGCACTATTTTTCTTTGCAACGGGGTCTTACCAGCGGCCAGTTGGAGCTGCAAAGAATATCTCCCAAAAAATGTGCAGTGTTTATATTGAAGAAGTAACCACAGCATTAATACATAAGAATATGTTAAATAAATATATTCAGTTTCCTGACACTCCAAATGCCAGACAAGCAATTAGTCAAAGGTACTTATGCTTTCATAACTATGCAATACTTAAATGTTATAAATAAATTGTTAATTTGACAATATAATTTATTTTAGGTTTTCTGATAAATATAGAATACCAGGGGTTATTGGTTGCATTGATTGCAGTCATTTTAGAATACATGGGCCACCAAAAGAAGAAGAGCATCAGTACTATTGCCGTAAACACTATCATTCTTTAAATGTTCAAATGGTAAATAAGTTAACCTTTTCCTTTATATACAATCATAATATGAATGGTTTTTATTACCTATCCATATTAATATTATATTTTTTACAGGTATGTGATGATGAATATCGGATCCTTAATGTTAATGCAAAATTTGGAGGTGCAAATCATGATTCATTTATATGGGAAAACAGTGATCTCAATAAATATATGCAGTCATTGCACCGAAATGGGGAAACAGTGTGGCTTTTAGGTAAAAATCTACTATAAGTAATTCAACCAATTTTTATTCCAGAATTATGTCATGTTTTAGGGTATTATGAACATTAAAGAAACTGTTTTATAAAATTAGGATCAAAATTTGTGTGAAGGTAACATAGGATGTATGACATTTGTATATATTATTTTTATATTCTCAGGTGACTCAGGTTATCCACAAAGGCCATGGCTGATGACTCCAATTTTAGATGCTGCTCCTAACACACCTCAAGCAAATTACAATCAAAAGCATATGACTGCTAGAGTTGTTCATCGAAAATACCTTTGGAAGGCTAAAAAATCGTTGGCGATGCCTGAATAAAGACACGGGTTCTACATTATAAACCTTTAAAATGTTTCAAGAATCATATTGGCTTGTTGTGTTTTAAATAACATAGTCATTAAATATGGTATTGTAGACGATGTGGATATCACAGGTATGTATGGAATTACAAAAAAATATTGATATGTAAGTTTAAAACTTGTTTATTTTTGGACTTAAAATAAATGTAAGTTTAAACTTATTATACCTAGCTACCTTTGTTTGTTTGAAAACTATTAACTATTTATTTTAAATAATAAAGATTTTACTATAATTTTCAACAGACTTCAAAAAGGAGGAGGCTCTCAATTCGACTGTATTTTTTTTTATGTTTGTTACCTAAGAACTCCGTCATTTATTAACCGATTTGGACAATTTTTGTGTGTTTGAAAGTGTATACTTTCAGATTGGTCCCCATTTAAATTTCAAAAATAAATACCACCCCTAAGGGTGGAAAAAATAGCTAATGATGAATTTAACCTACTTCTAATTGTTCATATTGACTTGAAACTTCGCAAGTGTTTCTATTTCCGTTAATAGTACAATGGTTCGGTATTCATATCTGATGGTAAGGCCAGAAGAAGGTGGATAGGTGGGACTCTTCAACGGCTAATAGTAGATACTTTGAGTTTGGGCTTATTTTGTTTGATTTGACAAGATTAACACGTTAGAATTATTACTTTACTACTACTGTCTACACTAAAAAAGGGAAAAATAAAAACTTTTTTTAACTGACTTCGAAAATATTTGATTAGGTATGTATAGTAAATGAAAACAACCAATCAGTTATTTTTTACTTTTTAGTGCTTTTGATTGAAGTCGGTTTTTATTTTTTTGTTAAAAAGTTTTTGTTTGTTATTCAATAACATATGTAAAAGCTATTTATATTCAATAAAATATCATTTATTAATTTTCAGCTTTAGAACATGATGACATCCAAGACCATGATGAGAGGATTAGCACAGAGAGAGAGAGAAATTCTACCAATGATTTAATTAGAGGGAGGGTATTAAGGGATCAATTAGTAAGAAGATTACAGCAGCAATAATAAATGTCAGGTTATAAGTTTATTTTAATATTGGTGGCAGTTATATTGTAATTTACCCTGACCCTGGACGGACGCTAGAATGCTTTTGGTAAGTATCTGTTTCAGGCTGCCGTATGCCACGAGTGTGGTGCGTCCGAGGACACCTTGCACCACACTCTCGTGTTATGCGCCTCTTGGGCTCCCCAGCGCCATGCCCTGATGACGGTAGTGGGTGGAGACCTCTCGTTGCAAAGCGTTGTGGAGGCCATGGTGCGCGACGCGAGGTCCTGGTCGGCGATGGTCTCCTTCAGCGAGACCGTCATCTCACTGAAGGAGACGGCGGAGAGGGAACACGAGGCTAACGCCTTAGCAGACCCTTTTCGTTGCCGTCGGCTGGGGGAGTGGAAACGCCGGTATGCGCGTCTTCTCCCGCCATCCTAGAGGAGCTACTGCGGGGGGGTCTCTCGTTGACTCCCCTGCACGTCATCGGGGCGGTCAGGATCGATCGAGCGATCAGGCGGACGGCCGGCAGAGTCCCCATGATGGGTTTCCCCAGCGAAAAAAAAAAAAAAAAAAAAAGTAATTTACTACAAACAATATTGTACCATGTATATCTATGTATTAATAGTATGTATATAAACTGGGTGTTAAATGAAACAGTGCTAAATAAAATAATCTGAAACATTTAATGGTTTAATTTTTAATCCTAATAGTTTGCCATACTGAAGTAAGAATAAATTGAACTAAATAATTGACTATTATTATTATATTACCTTAACTTTATTAAAAAATAATCTAATCATAACAAAAAATAATAAATAATTATTATCTAATTTACCAATCTAATCTTTACAAAACTTATTAGCTAGTTTATCTAATATATCTAACATTCTTAAACCTAAAGCTTGCCATTCCCTCCGAGTCTGCACTTCCATTTCTCTTATCCTATTTTTGCTCCCTTTTCATCTCCATATAATCTTTATGTTGCTGCATCCTGAATGCTCTCCATTCAAATCAGAATTACAAAACTGACGTGCAGCCTGCTCTGTTTGTGTGAGCCTCACACGTCTTCGAGGTGAGGATCGTATTCGTGAAGATCTTTCACTACGGCGTGGTGTAGTTTGCCCATACGGAGCAGGATGCATACGAGGCTGAGGGGCAGAAACTTGAGTCTCTGGAGATAAAGTGGGTAAGACTTCTTCAGCATCTGACAAAAGAAAATATTTGATATTTAGGTTGGCAAGCTAACACTGCTAATATTGTAAAATAAATAAGACTTTTTTAATTCTATACACCACATTCTCTGGATATTTTCACTTTATAATTTAGATTAAGTACAATTTAAAGTAACAATTAACTTACTTTCTGTGACTTCAATTTCTACATTGAAGGCTTGGCTAGGAGGTCTTGACTCTATATGAACCTGGCTTAAAAGAGGCTCGACATGCACTCTGCTAGAAGGTCCAGGTTCATTCCATGGCTCAATACCTAAAAAATGAAAATATATTCAAACCTATCCTCTATTTATTTATAAAATGATAGGTAATATCTACCTATACCAAACAACTTACATTCATTGATTGGATAGCTATGGTCTTCCTGTATACCTAATTGTTCTGTGCTAGATTCCCGAGTCCTGGGTTGTGCCACATCAAGCACACCTGTTGCAGCAACAATATCCTAAATTTAATATAATGTAAATAATATAGAAACAAACAATTGCTTTAATTAAAAGTGCTTATTAAAAATGTGCTCCTAAAAGTTAATAACCTTTGAAAACCCTGCCTCAGGCACTACCAAACCCGTTGCTGCCTGTATGCCAATAACATTTAGCACTCTTTTTTCTAACTCTGTGAGTTTGGATATACACTGCAGGCCCACCACCAGTTCCACTAGCTGCTCTATGCAGTCGCGCAGTCTTTTCTTCTTGGTATTGTTTTTAAAATCGCTCCACACCTTTAACATTGAAAAAGCATAATTTTAATAAATAACCCAGGCCCTCAACCAATTATAAACTAAACAAAATAATAATCTTAGTTAGATTTTATTGCATAGATACAGATTAGCCCGATGGTAGGTACATCCACCATGTAAAAAGATATATAGAATATTGATAATATATTATAAAGAGTTCTAATATACATATAGGAGTGATCACTTATCACCATGAAAACCTTTTCCACTTATCTGTGGTTTTTGTATCACCACTGCCATCACTGTTAAGCAGTGATGCTAGCTTCCTCCCAATGCTGAATGGTCACGACTCTACCTCTTGCATTGGTTATCGGCTTAGTAAGATCTCCATGTTCTAGCAATAAGAAAACAAAAACACAAAAAATTATAAAAAGTTCATTCATCAACTCAATTTCAATATTTTAAATAACTTGATTAGGTACTTACTCTTCCATAAAAGTTACTAACAATTCAAATTGATGCTGACTTGTTTTCATTTTAAAATCGTGAGAGTTGAAAAACAATAATTGGTACAAAGGAGTTACATTACCGGACTATGGGTTGTGATGAAACGATGTTTTTCGTCGAAAGGATAGTTACAAATAACTTTCTTTTCTTAATTTCCACGGTTTTATATTTTAAATGAGTGTGGGAGTGTGTTTGGGTTCATAGTTTTAAAAAAAGGGACAACTCAATTGTCTTACATGTACACTGTTTATAATAATAGATCCTTTTGAGAAATGTCTCTAAAAAAACGATACATTCAATTGTCTTAAATGTGCATTGTTTTAACAGATTCTTTTGAGAATGATTTCTAAAGAGACGATACATTTTACAGTGAGAGATCCTTCCGAGAAGGATATCTAAATAGACCATATGTTGGGTTACATAACTCACGCACGTCGCCACAGTTTTGTTATACAACAAAATCCAACAAGTTACGTCATACATAAACTCGACTATTTAGATAATACATCGCCTCCATACAAATAGCGTTAGAAAATCATTATTTTTAATTTGGTCGGTTTATCGCATATGCGCTACGTGCTACCAATATACGAAAAAATATAAACGCTAAACTTGGTGAGCAAACGTCATTTAAATCGAATGACTAGCTCGTCACTCGCACTCAGACTTATTCATTTTACTTCGTGACAACGTATGTTCGATTTACAACGTGGTTAAGTCATTCGATTTGTCATATGAAACTCACACTAAGCACACAGTCTCTAATTCGATCATGACATTGGTATACTATACTAGTACGGTTTGCTACTTTTATTTGTCATCCATGTTTGCTACAGCTCTACTAGGCGCGCTTAAAGTTAAATAAAGAATTGAATACGAAGAAGACCTTGACAAAGATATATCGATCTTTAAATTTTCAGTAATTACTTGAGTAAATTGGAAATGGCTCAATCAGAATTAGTCGTTGATAAGAATATTTATTCAAACACATTTCCACGTTTTGGGAAACCTATTATTATAGGATACATTGAAGTTAATAATCTAAAGTATGCTCGCGATATTCGCGAAGGTAATGTTAAATTTGATTTAAATTTACATATAGAAAAAACAAAAAGAAAACCAATAGATTTAGATGTAAAATTAACAGAACTTCTGAAATTTTTACTTGAACATGAAGCGAGATTAAACTTTCCCATAACAAGTAAGTTAGATGATGCTTCTTTTTTTTGTTACCGTGGCTTGATGACATGTGTGGCGTGTACCCCATATGAAAATAGGGAGCCTTGGAAAATTGTTGCATTACTATATAAAGGTAACATCTACTTATGTGCCCGAGATACAGAAGAGAAACGTAGACATATAATATCAATGACAGAAAAAGATAAACAGTTTACATCTTGGGGTTATAAATTTGAACAATATATGTTATCTAGTGAGTATCTAAGATCTAATTTTTCTTGAATGAAGACTTATTTAACATACATTTTTTAACATTGTTTGATATTTCAGATAATCCTTCTTCAGATCCTGATCCAAATGTACCTGTAGATGAGACTGAAGAATTTTCATTGGTTTTTACTACTCATTTAAATAATCACCGAATTGTATATGGTGCAGAAATGGATGGTATACGATGTGATAAGAAGACAGTTACATCTTTGCCAGACTCAAAGGAAGATGTTCAAAACATTATTAATTATTTAGCTTTGTATGATTTTATAGAGCTTAAGACAAATAGGCATTTTGATTCCTATAGACAGGAAGAAAATTTTAAGTATGTTTAATGCTAGCTTTTCTTTTGAAATGTTTAGTCAAAAATTAAAAACTTAATATTACTTACTACAAAAGTTAAAAAATATTTTTTCAGGAAATTCAAAACAAAAAAATGGTGGTGTCAGTCATTTCTTGTAGGAATAGATACAATACTGTGTGGATTCAGAAATGATTCAGGAATTGTAGAAAAATTAAAGTTATTCCATGTCAATGACTTGCCAAAAATTTCTAAGGTATAATGACAATTGACTTCTCAGTATTATTTAAATTTATATTTAATCAATTAGGAATTTATGAAAGACCAGCAAATTACCCTAGCTACACTTGGGTGCATCCCTAGGTAGGTTTTAATTTATTTGAGTGGAACCCTATTTTGTTCTAAAATTTAAGTATGTAGGCTATCTCCTTATAACATCAGCTATCTGCCAGTGAAAGTCCCGTCAAAATCAGTCCAGCCGTTTTGGAGATTAGCCAGAAGAAATAGACACAGACAGTCAAAAAAATTAAAAATTTTGTTTTTCTTTTAAGTATTGTATATAATTAATTTAATATCTATTTAGTAAAAGCTGTTATTTTGTCATTACAAACAGACACTTTCAATTTTATTTATCTGTATAGATTACATAATACAATGAGATATAGTATTATTTTTCTTTTCAGAAATTTTGGGATCCAAATGTTTGTTTTAACTTTTTAGATACATTTTTCACTTTTGTCAAAAGAAGTTTGGCAAGAAAAATAAGAGCCAAATATGGTGCTGAAGCTCTTAACAATATTCACAAATTACCATTAGTGAGTTTATTATTTGAATGGGAACCCAGATCACCCATCTACGTGTCAGATGACTATTGTCATGAAGATGATCCCATATTGCATGATTGGTTTTTGCAGAACTTTGGGTGTAGAAATGAAGAGAATCATATTTAATGTCGAAAAGGAGTTTTTATACTTTTTTTTATATTCTCAATATGGATATATTTGTTTGAAAAGTTTGATGATACCACACAAGGTATTATTACTAATTTTTAAGTGAAATGATGTTATATGTTGTAGATTTGAATTATTGTTATAAGATACCGTTTCATAAAAAAAAAAATTAAAGGATAACTAATATAATAAAATAATTTCTATCATACCATATTTTATTATCACTGCATTGCAAGTGGTGTAAATCAACATCCATAAGACTAATCAACAACATGGATATTTTTACTTAAAATATACATTTAAAACCTTATTTAGTATAGTACATACATTTTAAAAATATTAAGAAATAAAAACAATAATATTAACAGAACAACGTAATTGTAATAAAAAAATAAACAGTGTCATGTGTTATACGTCTAGAAAATATATGTACATAACAATATCAAGTAACAAGTTTCCATCATAAGACTCATAATTGTGTCCTGATTATTATTATAATTGATGTACAATTCCTATTTATTCTGCAATTTTAATTAATAATCTAAAAAGATTTACTTTTATTTAGAGATACTTTTTGATTTGTAGTCTTGGATTGAATAAGTTTTAAGAAGTAGTCAACTGTAATGTTCATTAATGTGTACATTTATTTTGACTATATATATATATATATATATATATATATATATATATATATATATATACACACATATATATGTTTATATACATATATTTTAAATTCATTTTAAAATTATTTTAGGTTTGTTGTTCCACTTACTTCTAGGTTAGTCTGCACTCTGCAGTATATTCAACCTTTAGATAAAATTTAATTTCAGCTCAATTGATATATAAACTTATATAAACCTAACTAATTTGTTAAAACCTCATGTCTATTCCACAGATAATACATCAATGACCTTGACTAATTAAAAATAAACAATTCCTCTACATACATACACCACATTATAAAGATCTCATGAAGTAAAACATTTAGTGTTATGATAAGGAATGGTAATTTTTCTTTAAAAAAATCTTTGATAATATAATATATGAATTATGGCAATAATTGATCCAATGAAGCACAAAATATACGATGAATAATACCTATATGGTATTATTCATTATATTAATTATGAATAATAGATTAGCACATAATATAAATACAACTATGTACTTATTATTATATAAATAACATCAATTTACACATTTACTTACAATTTTTAATATTTTTAGAGCCGAAAATTTAAAAATTGAAGTGCTAATTAGAGTTGGGAGACAAAATTAGACATATGATGGATGTTACAGTCAAAATAATGAATATCAGCTTAATACCTAAAAGAAATATAAAATAACTTTAAGTATTTACAAAAATCTCTTTAGAGATCCTATCAAAGGCACCGAACCAGTTTCGGCTAAGGTACACATTTAGTTTTTATTACATATAGTAATTAAATCGGTGACCTCAATGAAGATCCCTTTGAATCTTAACTCTTAACGTATAACGATAACACACGAAACGTGACAGTGTACACTTAGAGTGATAAGGTACAAGACTATTTTGGTAGGCTTACCAAATTGGAATATACCGCTGTTCATTCATTCACGCAGTGTCTATTCTTCGAGACAATATCTTTGAAAATCAATAACTTCACGTTCAAAATATCTATAAACCTTAAACAGTCTTCGATTTCACTTACTTTAATGTATATCCCTGTCTAGTCAGTGTGTCATTTGTACTAGCGTTTAACAATCGAACTAGTAAGCTTGTGGTATATTATTTTTATAATTTAGGCACAATATCAGGAAATAAATATAAACTTCTACGGTGCGATGCTGTACATGCTATTGATGTGTTCATCCAGAAGTATGTACGGCACGATTAACTGATCTTTAGAATTAATAATAATGTAAGAAGCTTTAACAAAATACTCAACAATGACATCGAAAAAAAACACAGATACTTTAAGGTCTATCTTGACCGAAGCAACCGAGGTCAGCCGGCGCCCCCTGTGCAGGGCTGAGGTAAATCAGTGAACTAACACATCATACATAATGTACAATAAAGTTAAAATTTGAAACATCTGTAAAAGTATAACGACCGACCTACGATGCCATCTAACAACATTAATGTTCAATTTGGTTTCTCACATAAGCTCACTGCAGCCGTATATGGCATGTTTAAAATTCAATACCGCATTTCATGCGACTTTGTAAATTTAGTATATAAGAGAATAACTCCTATGCAATAATAAAATATATTAAAATCTTTGTGCTGGCTTATAATAAATTCATTTTTTATAAACTATATTCTATGTATATACGTTCTCCTTAAGAAAAACCAATTAATAATCGTTTACATCGCACGCTTGGCGCGCAATTTGGTCTGTTTAACTTTATGCAGCTAAATTCCCCATACTAAAGGAATCCATTAGCTAGCACATTATTTAATCGCGTTTATTACATACAGATAAATATCAAAACTTCGATGTTTTCTTTTCCTCGACAAAGAGCTTACATATTGTCATGAAGCATATTTATTATAAGTCGGATATTAAATTTGGCCCCGAGAAATAAATAAATATCACGACATTGCCTATTCCATTTTAAAATAGCAACTATCAAATCTATACCGTTCATTTCACACTCTTAATAGGCCCTTTTAATGTTTCTCGATTTCGATGAAATGTCTTAGAGTGATCGTTTATGTTGTAACCTAGAAACAAAACTGAATCTCATCGACTATTACTTATCTCTAATAAAATGGAGTTATAAATTCATTATAACATTCTTATCACAATATTGTGGTGCATTGTATTGACTCATGTTTTTGGGAGTGTGCGATTAACGTTTTAAGCTACTTGCTGTAATAATATTTGCCTTCACTGAAGGCATGTAATACACTTGTACTCTATAAGATATCCAATACTCGATATCTAACTGTACAAAATATTGAAGCTAATCTTATAACTAATTGGTGAAGAATGAGTTGCCGACTAGAGGTCAACATACGGGGTTCCGTCAATTTTGTCCAGGTCGGCCAGTAAGTCCGCCGCTGGCGTTAGAGGGTCTAATATATCTTCGCGCAATATGTCGAGGGGAGATGTCAACTGGTCGTTTTCTACCACTGACCGAATTTGATTCGAAGTACAGAGTTCTACGGAATTGCCGTTAATGAGAAAGTCTCTATTACTGTAACTAAAAACGCTCCTGTCCTCGACCAACTGAGGCGTTGAGGGTACCGACTTGGACGATATACCATTTGAAATGTTAGAGTATGTATCAGTTGCGAATAATTCTCTCGAACGACGCGAGTTGATTTGTAGGTTTGGGGCCGCGCGTTTGAAGGGTAAAGGCGTACTTGGCACTGAGCGCGAAGTGTAATATTTATTCTTTTCCATTTCTAGATCTGGTATTTCGATGTAATCTATTCTATTCGTTCGCTTTAAAAAGTCTTCAACGTTACTGCAAGCGTCGTTGGGAAATGATTCGCTGAACTGAGCACTCCTATCGAGCAGTTCGCCACCGCTTGGAATAAGAGAACTTAACTGTTCGTCCGTGAGAGGATCGGCCAAAGACTCACAACCGTTATTAGTCAGAGCATCGCCAGTATTCAAAATGCCTGCCGACGTCCCTGAATTAAGTACATCGTTGCTACTGTCGATAGCATCGTATATTTTATCCAAAGTTTCAGAATTGAGACCGGCTTTAGATATATCGCAAGTTTCAGCTAATGGGCCGAAGTCACAAAATTCATTAGGCACAGGCGTCGGTGGAACGGAGCCGACGGGGGTCGTGTTGTAACTCAACAAGCCAAGACTCATCGGCGCTTGTTTAAGTGGAACGGATTGTGATCTGAACGATGTGTCGTGGCCTATTCTGTAATTAACCATGGGTTCTTGAAAAAATCTGCTTATTTCACTCGATAATGGATCTGCTGATAGCGGCTGAGCAATCTCACCGTTCATATTATCTCGACATGTATTTGGTACGAAGTTTAAACAAACGTTGTTGCCGTTTTGCATGCCTGAATTTTGTATCAACGTTTGTTTGTAATGTGAAAGGATATTGGGTGAAGGAGGCGCTGACATCGGCTGGCAATATTTAATATTAGGCCCACTTGTAGGTGTTTTCGAAGATATAAATTTTTGATCATTTGGTATTGCGAACTGTTTAGGACAAGAATCGTTAACTCCGAGAGTCAGGGGGTTGCGTCGTTTTCTGCCGTTGTGTTTTGGTATAGGGCGGGAACAGTATCGTGAGCGTGGAACTGGAGTATTTCTAGGACTAACAAAAGGGCTAGCAGCCGTACTGTGTGATATAGGTGATGTTTGCAAGGATCCTCCCATAATTATTGGTTTACTCGTTTTCGTCGGACTATGGCCTCGATGCCCAAAGCCAAGAGGAGATTTCGAATTGAAATTACCCGGTGACTGACATCCATCGGAAATAGGTACGAAATCATATTGCTGAGTTCTAGTAGTTGGACTTTGAGGTTCATTGTGACAGTTGCCGTTATACAGATGTGATCCGACAGACGTCACTAGCTGGCTGTGGTTATTTTCTGCAGGGCACGTTTCAGAAATTCCGTTTTCATTCGCTATAGTATCACAGTTTTTATTTATAATAAGTTCATTTTCATTGGATATACTGGTACCGTTCACTATATCTAAAACATTACCGACAGGCTTGAACGCTCCTTCTGATATTATATTTTTAGTGACGTGGGATTCTTGGTCATTTTCAATAGAAACTCCCGACTCTTGATCGTTTAACGCGTTCTGAGCAGTGGACCCACTCTGATTTTTAAGATTTTTCGCCAACAGTGCGCGCAATTGTGAAATTTTCTCACTATTTCCTTGACTATGTTCATCATGTGGGTCCGGACCTGCTTCTAAAAAAGCGGATTGTTCATCCGCGTGCGGGGCGTGCGGCGCGTCGCGCTCGGCCTCGCGCTGCAGTGCCGGGAAGTACTGCAGCAGTTCCTCCTCGTGCTCCTGGCTGTTGCCCTCGTTGAGGTAGTCGTCGAGGTCGTGTTTGTCGATGTTGCAGATGCTGATGACGCGCTCGCGGTTGAGGATCTCCGAGTGGCCCTCCTGGCAGATCATGCCGGACTTGATGTTGATGCCGTCGATGCCGCAGCACGAGTCCGGCGAGGCGCGCGGCCGGCGCGGCCTGGCGCGCTCGCCCCTAGGCGGCGGGGCCTTCGCCGCGCGCGTCGGGCTCGCCGCCTCCTGTTCCTCCCGGGCCAGCGCCGCGGCGGTGCTTTTGGACCGGCTCGTTAAGTTTTTTGGATCCTCTAAAAAAGCAACCTCAGGTCGGACGGAGGGCTCGGCGGCGACGGCGGTGTGGGCGGGGGCGTGGGCGGCGGCGGACGAGGAGGGCTCGGCGAGAGAGAAGCGTGCGGCCGCCAGCTTGCCGCCCAGTATCTCGGCGGCGCGCATTTTCTTGGGCAGGTACTCGGCGGGGCGCGCGTCGGGCGGCGGCCGCGGCGAGCCGGCGCGCGTCTCGCTCTGGTACGTCTCCAGGATGAGCTTCTTGCCGGGCAGCGGCAGGCGCGCGGAGGGCGCGGGCGCGGCGGGCGGGTCGGGCGGCCGGCGGCGCGGCCACTCCGTGCGCTCGGTGGACAGGTCGAGCGACGCGTCGCTGCTCAGGTTGATGGGCAGGTTGTGCGCGGCGAGGTCGCGGTGCGCGTAGGGCGGCTCGAACGCGTAGGGCGCGGGCGGCGCGTGCGGCGCGGGCGGAGGGTGCGGGGGGTGCGCGCGCGGCGGCGTGTAGGGGAAGGAGGGGCGCACGTCGTACACGTACGAAGACTGGTACGTGTAAGCGGGCTCCGGCGGCAGCTCGCTCTCGTGCTTGACGGGGTGCTGGCTTACGTACGAGGTGGACGGCGGAGACTCGCCGGCGACTTCCGGACCCTTGTTCTTCTTTGGACGTCCCGGTGTCCCCGGTGTACCCTGTATTTTATATTTATACATGTGAAAAATAATATTCATTTATCGATATACACGAACATTAATTAATAATTAATATACTCGAACATTAATCGTTATAAATATACTCACAACAATTTTACGTTTGAGCTGTTGTTTCATCATTTGGGGACCCGGCACGTCTTCTGGTGATGCTTAAAAAAATGATACAGTACAATTAACAAACAAAAAACAACTATTTCGCATGCTATGAAACTATTTTATTAAAATTGTTTATAAATACCGTGAGTAGACATGAGAGGCGGCGAGGCGCTGGCGGGGCCGAGCGGCGCGCGCGTGGCGCTCGCCATCACGTGACGCGACAACTCCATTATATTTGCGAATTTTATACCTTTAATAAACAAATTCTTCATTAAAATTCTAAAAACTAATTTTTTATCAATACCTACATACATTTATAAGCTAACTAAGTAAATTGCGAAAGATCGTTGTATACAAATCAATAATATTGTAATGCTGAATGCAGTATAATCCTTGAGATGTCGAATCCAGCTATGTATTGAAAACAATAGCCATCATTTTGAACAAGTGATCAGTTAAAGTTTAACAGGTAGGTAACAAAGGAAAAAAGTTTTTTTTTGATAAAAATGAGCTCTTTCCTTAAGTTTGCCGTATGTCATTACCTACCGGAATGCGTTCCATAATGGCGACACTATCGAAAAGTGTAATAATACAGTGTGTTTTTTTTTTCAAAGTCAACGGGTTCGATTCTTAGCTAGGAATATTGACTTTTCAAAAATCCAATGATGCAGTTTTAGTTTTCATGAAAATCGGTCCCGAGACTCCTTTGAGTATTTTTCGCTATTCCTCATAGTTTCAGATTTGGCCATCCACGCCCACTTGAAAAATTCACCCAAATTTAATTCTATGTTACCTGCTGACAACTAGTGACCATAATATAAAGTTTTCCTAATTGTGATACTACTACTAGCGATAAAGATATTTGAGTTCCCAAGATCTAATCGGTCTGTTAGAAAATTAATGTGTAGAAACAGTCCCTGGGCTCCAGATGTATAGAAGATGTATAGAATGGCTTGTAATGGTAATTTGGGAAAAACGTTAAAATGGAAGATTTACCAAATTTCGTTTCGGCCCAATCACAAACTATCCTTTCCCGTTCTTTTGGCATTACGCTTGGCTCCTGAAATAAGTTAAAAAAAAATCTAATTATTTTTATAAAATTACTTTATAACACAAATAAACAATAACATTATAATAACAAATTAACAACACGTGATTTTCTGAGCTTTTTGCGTGCACTCTACAAAAGAATGGGGAAATCCGAAACTATAGGTATCAGAGAAAAGGCCGATTTAAAAAAATATATTTAAATTAGGAATATATAAAAAAATAAATTATTCACCGGAAAGCGTGATATGTATAATTTTTAGGATAATAATTATTAATAGCATTCACGTCTGCCATAAGCGAAATTTTTACGAAATTTTATTGCGCAAATAGTTCGTATTTTTTTTTAGGTTAATGGAGTAGTATTTGTGACATCGCAAAAATCTTTGGGGGTTGTAAGAAATATGAATGCGCTTAATTTTTGGGATATTTTTTAATAAAAATTCCTCAACGATCTATTAAACTATGGGTGGAGTATTTAAAAAAAAAATAATAGAGCTTCCGACTTTCCGATACTTTCGACGAAAATTATTTTGGAGATATGTTAAGTAGTTTTTGAGATATAATACTATAATATACCATTATATATTCTAGTATCATATGTCGAAAACGACTTAAGAGGATTGTGAAGTGCCGATACGCGGCGAGAGTAGGTATTTTTAAAAATGCTATCTGTTTCATACCGCTTTGCATCCCCCCGGCAGTGAACAACACAAATACAACATACGCAAATTCTCACACACACTATGATAGCAGCAGCCGGTGACGCGCGGGCGCTTGCAGGGGGCGGGGGCGGGGGCGGCGCGACTCGGCGCAAGAGCAATTTCAAAGTTTATCTAATATTTATTATTTTAACGGTTTGCGTACAATATACATTCCCTACAAGTTACATCGCACCTTTATTCATAAACTGAAATAACTCTAAATTACAATTCTGTGGCAAATATCATTTAAAATTTGACTTGTTTAGATTGATGACTTCAAAAAATCATAAAAAAATAAATAGGTGGTTTAGATCAATTACAAAAATCTCGTTCCAAAAGTTGAAAGTTATAGAATTTTTTGTTGTTTATGTAGGTACTAATAGACCCATCGGAATCCTTTTATTGTTAAAATAATTATTTTATTGAAAACCTGAAGTTTTATGATTTTATAATGTTAGCAGGTATATAAGGAATAGAAATTCATAAAATGACCTGATCATGAATGATGATGATTTACGATTTTTTAACATATCTATGACTAAATTTTATAAAATATATCAACTTAATTTTTTAAAATATATTTTTAACTAATGAATAAACAAGATTAGATTACGAATGATTTTCATTTCTTTCTGTAATTGCCCTAAAATCATTTTTTTCAGAAAAATCAATAAAATTAACTCCAAAAACTAATAAAATATCGATAATTTCGAAAAAATTATAACGAATAGTATGTGTATATATATATAATTATACACATACTATTCGTAATAATTTTCATAAAATTATAACGAATATTATAAATTATAACGAATATAGAATTAAAAATATAAATTTTACAAAAATAAAAGTATTTTTATTGCTCCTTCTAAACGGTAATAGTCCAGCAATTAGCAAAAGAAAGCGCGTGACCGGTGGAGGGCGAGGGGTGGAGGGGTGTAGGAAGTGGTCCTTACTCATACAAACTTGGCCAGATATAATGATGATGATGATATAGAAAATATTTTTATTTTTGTATGAAAATGAAAATTTAAGAAATATATTTTTTTTCTTGTTACAGAGGTTGTTGTTATGATGTAAATAGTATATTCCCAAAAGGTCTTCAGTAAATTAAAAATGACCCTGTATATATATATATATATATATATATATATATATATATATATATATATATATATTTATATATATTTTCAGTTTTGTATTTTTTCTCAGAAATGAGATATTTTCCCGCGGTAATCCTATAATATGTTGATCCGGATAACCAGCTACCACCATACCAAATTTCATCAAAATCCCTCCAATGGTTTTTCTGTGACGTGGTAACAGACAGACAGACAAAAATTCAAAAAACTATAGATTCGGCCTCTGTATCGATAATAATGTTTATTTCAATAATATTTTCCAAAAAATATTTAATGTACAGATACGGCTTAGTTACAATCTATACATACGAGTATAATAAAATTCTAAACTTTGGATTGAATCCTTTCAGTATCGATCGATATATCGATATTACCTTCTCCTCCCTAGGAGATAATAATATCGATAGCACCTTCAACATCACTACAGTCTAAAATATGCCCCTGCCCCCGACCCGTATGGTGCGATAGAGAGAGTTGCAAGTCTTAGACTCAATTACCTACATTTCCTTTTTGAAATATTGTTTCGGGCGATAACGTTTTCACCCCCCTAAACATTAACGAAATGAGACGATTTTGGTCTCATTAGATTCAGTACACCTTAATCTAGGTCTGTACGTTTTCCTTTTTTTGTAATTCAGTTTAGTTTAATTTAAAAAAATAAAAACGCTGGAGGAAGTTTTTAGGTCAAAAATATAGATATTTAGATGCTAATAACTTCTGTCGTACGCAATATTTCTAAAAAATAAAAACGTACGGACCTAGATTTTGATTATATCTACAACATTTCCAAAAATTATGAAAATTAGACTATGTTTAAGGGGGGAAAAACGTTATCGCTTTTTGTATGAAAATTTACAGCTTCACAATCCTCTTAAGTGACAGCATTTGCCATTTAAATGAATATTATATTGTACACAACTATATAATGTACTAACTAAATAATTATACAATCACGTGTACATATTTTGCCTCAAAAGACGTGTATTTACCGCTAAAATATCCGCAATTAGTCTCGTTTTAATATTATACCTGTTTATTTTATAAATTCGTTTACAATATTAATTTATTTAACTACCTACAATTAAATAGACATATACCTTCACATACAAACTAGTAAAAAGTAGTTAAGGGGGCACCGATCTTTTATCACTAGTTGATTTTAGTAGGGCGAAAGCGGGCAGGGGGCAGTGTGGCTAGGATGGACGGAGCGCGTGCGAATTTAGGTATTTCCTTCGTATTATTAAAACAAATACACATTTTGAAAATGCAGAAAATACAGCAAGGGATCAAACGAACGCAATTATTTCGTAATAACGCCCTTATAAACGTCCTAACGTCCTCGGCGTAAACGATCTTAATGATTTAAATGTATACATTTGTTACATTATAATATTTTACCTTCGATGTTTCGCCCAGGTCAGGTAATTGCGGTACTTCAAGTTTGACTTTTTTACGAAGACCAGCATAACAATACCTACGAAGTAATAATTAATGTTTAAATTAAGTACTGTTAAGAACAGTATGAATAATTTTTATTATTACTTTTCCAGTAATCGATAGTAAGGAATAAACAAAAAACAAAAATTTGTTTTAAGAATTTTGTTATAAAAAATATTTTAAATAAGAATACAAATATAATAGCGTTCCTATGTGCCTTACATTAACCTTTGTATTTTTCTTTTTCTATATCTCTGGGTCATAACTATCTATATCATAAGTATCTATTCTGTCTATCTATTCTATTCTATCTATCTGTGTAATAAGATCCATATAAATCCATCGAGTCGTTTCAGTGTAAAGGAGTAACAAACAAACATACACACAAACTTTCGCAATTATAATATTAGTACTATGATTTTTAAGGAAGTACCTTGAATTGCCTCGTGTCCCCAGCCGACGCGGACGCACACTCGGATACACTTGCTTCATCACTTTGCCGAAATCTGCAGTTGATAAAGGCTTCATGTTGCTACTCATGCAATGAGCACTAAAAAGGAAAAATTACAGCTTCAAGCATTTCATTGCTTAAACTTTTTTAAAACAAGTTCAAATTATACATTTTTTCCGAACAAATAAATGTTCATTGTAGTATGTTTATTTAAGTTTTATGGCCCTACAGACGAAATCTTCCAGTTTACTACGGGACACCCATCTTTTTTCAACTACATCTAGTTTTGCACCGCAAGGCTAAAAACCGGGTTCAACCGTCTGTCAAAAAAATATTACTTATTTTTATTTACATTAAATAAATCGATCTTTTCATTGAGGTTCGACAAAGCAGGATGTGGTCATTTTTTAAAGGTGACAACATCGATAACACCTATGGTATATCACTACAGACTATCACATTGATTCTGCAAACTTGTGTAATCCCTTTTGCCGCTTAATTTATGGATTTAAATTTTAGTACTTAATATAATCGATAAATAAAACGCAACTAACGTACATTGTTTCATTTGCATCTTCTATGAGATTAACTAACTATATCGGTGTCGGTATCAGCAATATCTTTTCATAAATATTGGCATCGTATCAGTAAAGCATATATTAAGATTACGCAATTAAAAACATCGCTATTTCACTATTGATGTATTTTAATACCCCACCAGTACCACCACAATGATGTATCGAATGAATGATTCATTGGAGTCTATAAAAAGCTCAAATAAAGGGGGATAAGTACATACTTTTTATGTAATTTACTTGAATATTATTACACTTGTGATATTGCTATTAATAAAGTTAAATCGAAAGTATTGTCGATGATTAGATTCCCTACCGGCAAGTCGCAATATCGCAGCATTAACTTTGAACGATAAAGTCACACTGTAATAGGCGATAAATTAATCAGAACTGTTACGGTTAAGTAAGTTGTACAGTAAACTGCTTTTGAAAGTTCCGACAACAACAGTCACTATATATTGCTTATTGTCCCGTAAAACAAAGCATCTATTATTAACACCTCAAGGTAAATTTCTAAGAAATTAATTAAATTTCTATGAAATCTATTGTTAACTGTAACGCCGGCGTGTCCGCGGCTGTGGATTAAGCATTAGCCTCTGTAATAATGATTTTTTTTAATATATCGCTACTGTTCTTTAAACGTACGTATATTTGATAATTATTTAATATTATCTAATCAATCAGTTTTGTTTTAAAATAGCAATGATAACGATTGTTTGATTTTTTTAATTTTTCGAAGTCAGCCCAGTAAAGAAGATAATGAAGATAAAACATTAAGTATGACATTGAGTTTGTCAGATTACACTAATACCAAAATATTATTTAAATCAGATGCTTTGTATAAAGTATAGTGAAATGTTTCTTAATTTTCTACATATTTACACAAAAAGAGACCTTTGTTATATACCTACATAATATGTAATTCGGTTTAAACCTGCACTGAACATTACCTGTGTTACAAAATGTGATTTGCTATTATTTTGTATTAGGTACTGACTATGGTTACTCTTAGACCTACTATTAGTAACAGTATAGAGTAAATATCATGTAGATGTCAAATTATTCATAATCCAGCCTTTTGTATCTTGTATTCAGCCCTTTTAAACGTCCCACTGCTGGGCGAGGGCCTCCCTTAAATACGAGGGGGATCAGGCCATAGTCCACCACTCTGGCCAAATGCGGGGTGGCGGACTTCACATGTCTTTTGAAAACTTGCTCGGTTCTCTCAGACATGCAGGTTTCCTCACGATTTTTTCTTTCGCCGTAAGGCAAGTGGTAATCATGTTAGAAATGATTCGAAAATATTAGAGGTGCGAGAACCCGGGATTTGTACCCGCTTCACTCGGTTTCCCAAGCGAGCGCGTAATTACTGGGTTACCACTGCGTTCTTTTGTATCTTACACAGAATTAATATAGGAAACAATATATGAAGTACATAAAGTAAAAAAACAAACTGTTTATCAAATATGTGGTTTTTTTATAATTGTAAGATATATAAATTTAACTACACTATTAAGATTCTACAGTCAAAAGCAATCAAAGAATAATGTTAATTCACTCAAGATAGATAATTCATATTACATAATTGCTTGTAATAGTACTATTAGTAGGTATCAAATCGAATAGATACAGCAAGTAAAATCTTATGTCTTATCATACAAAAATCAATAAAAAATCATTATACTCACATATATTCATCGTAAACATCCTGTTTAGGTAGTGAGACATCGGGATCAACTTCCAAGTGTGTTTGTATCCATGTTACAGTTTGTTGCAATTCAGCTCTAAAATAAAAATAAAATGTAATTGTAACACATAAGTGTACATATAGACTTTTTTTATCCTTTATTCACAGAATTTTTAAAAAATATTAATTGTAAAGAACATAGAATATAGAAAGACAAAAACAAATCTATCCCTCGAAAACCGTATATTTTTCCGGCATAAAAAGTAGCCTATGTGTTATTCCAGAATATAATCTACCTCTGTGGCAAATTTCATCCAGATCTGTTCAGCCGTTCTGGCGTGAAAGAGTAACCAACATCCATACATACTCACAAACTTTCACATTTATAATATTGGTATCAAATAGTATAGATAGTATAGATTGATAAAATTCAAGACAATAAATTACCTAGAACCCAAAGGGTTGATTGGTTGTTTGAGTGGGTCATGTGGAGGTACACCAGTTGGTAGCCGGAGATACAATAGAAGCCTCTCCGCTCCACTCAGAGCCTCCACTGCCTCCAAAAGTTGTGACACTCTTTGTCGACCTTCTTGACTAAAATATAATATTTATAACATTTTTTTTAATTTCATTATTCTACAAATCAAAATCTTCATAAGCATAGCTCTTGAATTTTATATTTTACATAATAAAACAGGTTTGAAATAGTGTACAAACATTTGATAAATTGATTGAATACATAGATCTATTTGTTGTTCTTGGATAATTCTATGCATATAATAAAAATAGTAATAAAGCCAAATCTGTACATGAAATATTTTTTTAAACTATGACTGTTACATATTGTGTACGGAATATACACCCCAAAACAATTGTTGTTGAAATTTGTGCTTGTTTGTATATCTCTTTGTCTTTATATCCAATTTCTGTTCTAACTTCTTCTAAATCATGCAATGGATTTTGATATAGTTTTCACAATTTGAAACACAAGGAATGTTTTTATATGTATATAATTTGTAAATATTTTATACAAAATGGCTCAGCTATGTTTTGTCAAAAAAACCGATTCATATAATTGCTAATACTGGCTAAACCTTTAGAGATACATTGAAACAATGTACTAGTAAATTGTAGGTTTTAGAAAGCCATACAAAAAGTCTATGATAAACCATTTTTATTTATTTAAAACATTTTAAAACATTTTTATTTATTTAAAACAACAACAACACAAACAGGATGCACCCAAGCAAAATGAGGGTAAGTTGCTAGTGTTATGTTTATTTAATGATTATCTTACAATATTATTTATGTGAATATTTTATAAGCAAGAAGTTTAGTGCAGATAATAATAATACATATACTATTTCTATAATGACAGGTACTTATAAGACTTTTATTTACATTCAACTCAAAAAAATACTGATAAATGATAGCTGGCATATTAGGAAAGTAATATCAATCACAGTCATGAAATAATGTTTAATAAATTTCAATGTTTTCTAAATTTAATCCCTTAGGACACAATGGGGTTTGAGAAGTAGAATTTAAATAAAGTAGGGTCAAAATGATATTTTTATTCTTAATATGCAATAAAATTATGTAAATACCAAATTAAGTTTGAATAATTGATAAAAATTTTCAGTAACACAATGATATGAAGAAAAGTAAAATATGTTTTAATATAAAAATAATTAAATTATATTTTATTTATAAAATTAAAGTATACAAGTAACAATAAAGAAATATTGATCAGCTTTTATGCTATTAATAAATTAAAGATGTAATTTGCTGTATATTACAGCAAATTACATTTTTGTAAAACTATTACAGTTTTGTAAAACTAAACAATGCAGAAGTTTAATATATTGTTTACTTTTTGTTTGATCAAAACCCCATGTTCATTGTTAATATTTTATGGTAAACTTGAACATGACTTCACTACAAAGAACAACTGACCAGCTATATCTGCACCAATAGAGGATACTTAGGTACCTGAGAGTGTTCTCGACGATTTGCTGCATGGAGGCTACTTTGCTAGAGTCCATCTTAGAGACTTTACCGCCCACTGGACTGATACCACTGGTAGTAGCACTTGACGGTCCAGGAACGGCAGCAGGAACAACGACACTATCTTTATCGTAAGACGCAGTTTGCCTATGTTTTGGATGATTGACATTTTCCCGATGAAGTTTCGCGTCATCCACTAATTCTCTTTCAGTTTTAACATTTTTCGAATTATCATCTGCTGCCCAAGGTTGAAATGGAGTTGTACTTTCCATTCTAACCCAGACTATTCATAAATATTATTTTATTTGGATTCATATTGGAACATTTTATCGTAATTTATTATGCGTAACAAAACTCCATTTTTCTTGACAATTGACATTTGATCAGCTGTGCGGTGAGGTAGTGTGAGGGGGGGTTCATTGGTGTTACTACATGCTATTTTATATTTTATTTAAGCCAAATTAAAGAAATCTCTAATATATTTTACTCTAAACAAACCACTTTAAAAAAAACAAACGTTAATATTAAATTTCTTTTATAGATAACGATAGTTATTCTTTCTAAAAATATTGTTTATAAAAGCTTTTGAATAAAAAACAAAACCAACCTAGTCCGAGTCGGACTTTTAATTTTATATTTTTAAAGTGAATATTTAACTAAACATTCTGTGAATATTTCAAGCGTCTACCTATGTTGCCGTTATTAACATCGAGCAAAAACAAGCAAAAAAATCACGTATGTTGTATGGGAGCCCCCTTAAATATTTATTTTATTCTGTTTTTTAGTATTTTTCGTTATAGCGGCAACAGAAATACATCATCTGTGAAAATTTCAACTGTCTAACTATTGGTTCATGAGATACAGCCTGGTGACAGACGGACAGACATACAGAGGGACGGACAGCGGAGCATAGAGTATATTGCTACATACGGAGTCTTAAGTCAGTATATATAAGTTACTTTATGTCTTAAGTAATAGGGTCCCGTAGGAGTAATAGTGTTCTGTGGTCCCCATAGAGTATATTGCTACATATAGTGGTCCCGTTTTACCCTTTGGGTACGAAACCCTATTAGAAAGATGTTTAAAGTTAAAACACTCGATATTTTATTAATAAACTTAGTAAGCCTAGTTTTGCTTTGACCAGCGCCCCTCTGACGTTATGTTTATAATTATTATTATTTATATTTTATTGCACAATTGAAATTCACACGTAATAAGACCTACGAGCCCAAATCCTGTGCCCATTTCTCAACTTTGAATCTTGTTGTTCTTGGTCTATGCTCTGAAGTCTGAACTTAATGCAGGCGCGACCAGCCACATTTAATCGCTATTTAGTTAGTATTTTATTTAGTTTGTCCACAAAGTACACACTAGAAATGCTGCACAATCTGTCAAAACAAAGTAAGTAGTAAGTACAAAATCAATGAATAGAAACATTTGTATCTTAATTCTTTTTTCTTACATTTTCATAGTTAAAATCAATGAACTTAGAATATACATAATATTGCTGAAATACATAATATTTACAAGTTATAATATAATTTATAGGTTTTAATAATTAATAGGTTATATTTTGTTAAAATATTTCTGAGCTGGGAGTTAGGGGTAAGATTTTGATGTAATGTTTTCAGTTTTGGTAGTTTACCTATTAAAAAAACTGATTCAAAATATGTAATCCCATTTTCACGTTTGTTCTCGATTTATTAACGTACCTTGGGTTCTCTGCAGGTATCTCGTCTCTCATAATCTGATTTGTATCTATTTGATAAAAATGGCAGATATAGACATTGAAGAGCATGATCTGTTAGAAAATCCAGCGATTAAAAGAATTTTTCCAGATCTTTCAATACTCAAAAAAGAGATTATTGACTTTACGAAAGGTATGTGATATATAAATTAACATGCACTATTCTCGGACTTACTTTGCTGCTATTGCTAATATTTTTATTAATAAACTAGCGACTCAGCCTCATACAGGTTCGACCCTATAGGTACGTTTTGACGCTTAGTATGGAATAGATAGATTATTTATATACATAGGTATCATGAGTTTTGTATCCCTTATTTAAGAAATCATTGATTACAAACTTCCACCCCCTTTTTCACCCCCTTATTGTGGGTTAGTAATAGTTACTGCGAGTGTACCTTAGGTATGAGAAAGAGTTATGCTATTGTAGATTTTTTTGTAGGCCTTTTTAAGACCTTCCATTTTTAGTACATTATTTTGATGTATCTCTTAGGGTTTAGCCAGCATTAGCCATCTAAAATCTAAATTATTTACAAATTTTAAAATTGTACTTTTTGCATGATACACACACAACACACAAACAGACAAACAAACAAAATTTTTAATAACTATTCTTTTGGTTACATTACAGTCATTGTTTTTAAAACATTTCATGTATAGATTTTGTTAAGTTACTATTTTATTATATATATAATTTCATTAAGATTGTTTATTATAATACCTAATAGAAACAAATATAATTTACAGAGTCAAATGATGGTACAATAAATTCAGAAGAAGTTGATTTGAATACATTGACCGCTTCAAATACTAATTCCTCCTGTGGTAATAAGAAAACTCTTAATGGTCATATTAAGAAGGAAAAGAATATCAAAAACGCAATAGTTATTTTAGACAACATAAGTCCTTCTCTTAAAAGAAGTAAGAAATTTTGCCAAATGTGTTTAATTCTTTTCCCAGATAAGTGTTCTCTTGACGCTCACAACAATTTATTACATTACAAAACAAACATTTTTAAAGATAATTTAAACAATGATGCTGTAACAAACAGTGACTCTAATTCAACAAATAAGAACATAAATTCTAGTAGTGTTATTAGAGATATAAATGTTATGTTTGATATAAATATAAGAAAAAGAACAGTTGCGAACGTTTCTAAGTCATGTGTACATTGTGACGTGTCGTTTCCCAATGAAAAACTGTTAATAGATCATTTGTATGATGTACTTAATGCTAAGAAAAGATTACAAGATACTGAAAGGCTAAAAAAACCTTATACAAATGCCAAGAATAAGCACTCTAAGACAAATGTGATGCTTAAGAAAAAATTTCATTGTTGCGTAATTTGTTCCTACTATTTTGATAGCAGAATTATTTATAAGCAGCACTTATCAGAAAAACATAATTTAAATAAAATTACTACAAAAATACCAAACCGCACTGTACAGTTTTGGCCAATTTGTAAATTCTGCAACATTAGGTGTTCCAATAAGGTATCATATAATTCTCATTTACACTTAAGTCATAAAGAGGAAATTTATAAAAAACAAAATATAGAAGAATACCTTTCAAATGTCACATCCAGTGTGGAAAAATATTCTAAAAGCAAAGTTAAAGATGATATAATTAATTCTAAGAAGGATCAAATGGAAACATACAATAATTCAAAAGTAAAAAACTCAAGACTAAAAAATAACTTTATTAACAAGTTCAAAACAACACTTTTCAAATGCATGAAATGCAAAATATTTTTTTTAACTTTAAAAGCTGCTTTGAATCATAATGAACATTCTCACATTATAATTAATTGGAAATGTTCAAGATGTCAGAGAATTTTTAAAAAAAGAGATTCAAAAGAACATGAGGAACAACATAATTTACCTGATAATGATTTCATGGAATCAGTAGTTTTTGATAAAGGTTATAATGATTTGTGTCAATGCCAAAAATGTACGGTGTACTTTAAAAAAGAAGATATTTTTAATCATCAAATTGTTTGTGATTCAAAAACATCCATTTCATCTTACTGCGAGATTTGTGATATTTTGATTGAACAAGATATTTATATTTCTCATAAAAACAGTCATGAATCTGATAGTATTACAAATTCTGAATCAAACCATAGTGATGATAATATTGTAAAGGAGAATGTAGATACGAAAAGAAAAAAACGAACAATTTCCAGAGTTTTGAAGAAGAAAGAAAAGGGAAATTATATTAGGACTTTCTATTTTTGCAATTTATGTGAATGTAATATACCTCAAGGGCGTATGGGTGATCACCTAAAATTAAACTGTACGAAATTAATCAAATGTATTTGCGAATATTGCGGCCTGGCTTTTATGAATGTATCTATTATTGGACATAGAAGTATACACAAAAAATATACTGACGTGAAATTACAAGATTTTGCTTTTTATGATTTTCAAACAAAACAAAAACTTAAACCTCGTCAAAAACTTCCTAAATGTATTACCTGTGAAAAGCATTTTATTCATCATTCGGAAGTTATAAATCATCTATGTAAGGAAGGAAATAACTTAGTATGCTCCATTTGTAATATAAAACTATCTGCATTAGCGTTTAAATTACATGTACCATTTCATAGTTATAAGTTGAAAAGTAATGTAAATCACTTTCCGCGATCAATTAAAAATAGGAAAGATAAAAATATGGGTGACCACGACCAGTCTGTCAAGACTGTAACAACTAAGAAGAAGAAAAATATGGATTGTAATATTGAAAACAATACAGTTGTTGATTGTAATATAGCAGAAAGTGACCAAAATATGGGCACAGCTTCGCACAATGGTGAAATTACGCATTCAGATGAAAAAGTCTCAGGAATATATACTTGTATAAATTGTGACGTATCAATGAATGCATACGATGAAGCAATAGGACATTGTCATAAGCATAGCAATCTTAACAATTTACATTTGGCTTCGATTGAATGCGTAACATGCAATTTAAAATTTGTTGTTGCAAGTTATGATGCTCATCTAGATCTCCATGTTTCCTTTAGTAAAGATCAATTTAAACAATTTACTTTTGATATTCTTTATTTTAGTTCTGACAATGATACCTGGATAAAACATTTATTTGGTTCGTTACCAACTGATTCTATTGATAGATTTATTAGAAATTCAATATATAAGGATGAGCGTAGGATGAAATTAGAAGTTACCCAACAAGGTCTTGCACATTTAACTGTACATAAATGTGGTAAATGTAAGAGCTTCGTTGACTCTCATTTCATTTACAAACATATGGCAGGTTGTCGTACAAATTCAGAAAAGTTTTTCTGTAAATTTTGTAATTTACCATTTGTAAATACAGATTTTAGAAAAAAACATGAAGTCATTCATAATAATTGTACTATTGACCCCAAATTGTACAGAATAGTTACATTTAATCGAGAAGAAGACAAATCACTAAATATTCAAATAGCAAATATAAAGAAATATTACGTTCTCTATCAATGTAGATCTTGTTACGTAGTTGTGGATAAGAGAATATACAAAACACATAAATGCTATAGCACCAGTGAATTAAAAAAGTGTTGCAAATGTGGCTTGTTAATTCATGAGTCTGAATATAATTTGCATATAAGCAACCATAATAGAAGGGGTAGTTTTAATAAAGACTATATGTATGTTAATATGCTTGGTAGTGACAATAAAAATAATAACGTAAGAAGTAACGTCGTGTCTTCATTCAGTGGAATGATAAGTGATTACACTTTTTTTAAATGTGCAAAATGCGATATTTGTGTGAGAGACCGCCGAAGTACTGTAGAACATTTTTGTCTAATTGATGCTGGTAAATCGGAATGTCATAAATGTGGCTTGATATTTGATCAGGGAAAACTTAAAGGTCATTTGAAATTACACGAGACTGATCCGGAATTCACTAAAGATACTATAATGATTAAGACTTTTGGAGAAGAAGAAGTAAAGAATAATATAAATTCTATAATAGTGAATACTCTAGATAATAATAATTTAAGTTTTAAAGAAGCTAAGAGTAATGAAGATGTCGTATCATCTATATCTAAATTGGACACTGTGAAGATATTTAAATGCTTGTGTGGTCTTCACTTTTTGAATAAAACAACGATAAGAGAACACTCAAAAGGATGCTCTGGTAAAATAAAAATGAAACAAAGTAAGCAAAATTGCTTAAAATGCGGACTGACATTTAGTAACGATATTTTATTTCAGCACTTGTTAGAACATCACAAGGGGAAACACGTGTCGTATGAATATGATATTATTGAAACTTAATATCCCCTAAAATAACCAAAATAAGTCAATTTTAAGTTATTTAAAGATTCGATCACGAATCTTTAATTTGCTATAAAGGGTACCTTATTTTTGTAATCCGTTTGTCCTCTTGCTATGTTACACGGGTATTCTAAAAATTCCGAAATATCTTTCACTAATTGCATTGAAAAAAATTATCCTAATTTTTAAGTACCTAGTACTAGTATACTTGGCCAGGAAAATATTATTTTCTAAATTAACTACATGTCTAAAAATCTAAAAAAAAATTGTTTTTTTTTTACTAACGTCATAATAATAAGCTGAATTGATTCTATATTGAACTATGTATTAATTTTCCGGACATTTTTTATTGAGGTCTGAGGACAACATCAAAAACTGCCAGTGCAATGTGTAGGTAATAAAACAATTGGAAAGTTTATACTTGACAGATATGATGAAAATTACTTAAACAACAATATGTTTGTTTGGACGATTTACGTCCCGTTTGCGGCTTACAGTGGCTCCCAATCCATTGCTGTCGCAATCTACACATTCTTTTTTCGAAGTTGTCGTCTGTACTGTGTATTGTTAATCCGACATCTACGCCTTATTTAAAGATGTTTGAATGTCTAGAAACCCGTAAAATTGGTTAGATAGGTATAGTAAATTATTACATAATTTATGTTTTTTATTTACATTTCCCTAATTTTTTAAATCCTTTGCGATGTCAATAATACCTATATTCAGTCGTTATTATCTAAATTACAGATAGTCAAGTTTATGAAAACAAAACGCTCTTTTCAGTTTTGTTAAATGTATGTATCTAATATATTCTAGTTTAAGTATAATTATATATTATTTCTTCGCGGCTTCGCCCTCGTCCAAACTTCCAATCGCTAACAAAATTCACAGGATCACCCGCTGGGCTAATCTGATTACCTGAATATATCAAAATCGCTCCAACTATTTTCAAGTCAAAGAAACATACACACACATCGATTTTTATTTTATTTAATTGACAATTAAAATTTATTTATTGCTCGGAAAATGGAGTTCTTAATGAAAATTTAGTGACACACCGACTGCAACGCCACCTACCGGGTTTAATTGTGTATTTAAACCATTCAGGAACCCATTGAAATATACACACAAAATTTCATCCAAATCGGTTAAGTCCTTTAGGAGGAGTAGGTTAACAAACACACGTACAGAAGAATTATATATATTAAGATATATTCTAAGTTGCATACACAGACAGATAAATAAAATTGAAGTGTTTGTTTTTAATACCAAAATAACAGCTTTTTACTAAATGCATATGAAATAATATATGGTACATAAAAGAAAAACACCTCGTCGTCTGTTTGATCCGGCTAATCTCCAAAACGGCTGGACTGATTTTGACGGGCCTTTCACTGGCAGATAGCTAATCAGAAAGTAAGTAAGTAACTTAGGCAATATTTATGTAGAAAGAAAATTAGGGTTCTGTTTAAAAAAAGTACAAACGTACTTAGGGATGTGCGTCCCTAGATATGTTTACATACAAGCAAGTTCTACATACAATTAAAGCTAATTAGCGTAGACACCGTAGTGTAGCCACGGCACAGAAATCTTAATAATAAGGTAATAGAAATGCCATTGCGGTCTTTTAGTACTGGGACGCGTGTCGCCGGCTTGCAGCTACCAACACATTGACAAACAATAAATACACACTATCGCTCACACATGCATTTTGCATTGTTGTAACAAAAATTAAACTTTAAGCGATGACATTACGCAATATTTTCTAAAAACGCATAATCTCGGAAGGCGTGATCCCTGTGACCAATAATAAACGTGTGCGAAAAGCACAGAAAGATATCGCGCGCTCACTTCTAGTGCAGTACAAAGCGCATAGTACTCATATCGATAATTTTCCGTTGAGTCTTGCAACAATAGGTAACTAATTTATTGAAAGTGTTTTATGTTTCATTCCTCGACGCGCTTTTAGACGATTTATTTATTTTCATAAAGGGAATACAATAAAACGTTAAATGTAAGTAAATTTTGTTATTATTATATAGTTATACAAAAGTTATGCAAACTATTTGTTAAAATCCTATACATTTTTAACAATGACTTAAATTTTTTTATAGAATTTCTATGTTATGTTTATCAAACAACTCGCCCTTCGAATTATTTACTCAATCAAATCAAATCAAAATATTCTTTATTCAAATAGACTTTTACAAGTTCTTTTGAATCGTCATTTTTACAAGATTAAACTTTACATTAAATGTCAGTCTGTAAGTCTGTGAGTATATTACCACCGACTCGGAATGCTGATTTGCTGAGAAGAGCCGGCGAGAAACTCAACAGCTGCTCTTTTCAAAAAATATTTGATTACAATATTTATTGCATTACAATATTTATCCATTTATCCTACATGAGACACAACAAGACATTGATCCCACGCATTTATATCTTCTAAATATTCAGTAATGGTGTAATAAGCCTTATTCAATAATGTATTTTTAATTTTAGAACTAAATTGATTCAAAGGCAAGCTCAATATGGACTGTGGAATTTTATTATACATGCGTACACCTTGCCCCATAAACGATATATTTACTTTTTGAAGGCGAAAGCTGGGTGTTACAAGTTTATCCTTATTTCTTGTATTTATACCGTGTTTGTCGCTGTGTCTTGAGTAGCAATTAATGTTTTAATTTTTTAATGAGGTGTTTCGGTTTCAAAATTTGTTTGCTATATCGTCTGGCTTTACATAGTAAATGTTTTATTTTTACCGCTGGTCTGCAATGACGACGCGACTTCTAATAATTTCAGAGCGTAATTTTTTTTTCCTCGGAGTGTCAGCTTTCACAGAATCACTTATTGAGGGCGTCAATTGCTGGTTACCTGCGGACTAAAAAATACGAATTGCTTACGTACATGATATACTCTAATATTTTTCCCAAATGCGGCAAAGCCCCAAAGGTAGTATTTTTATTTTGTAATAGCAACCCCCGCCCGCTTCGCTGGGCGTAAGTCAAAATATACGGTTATTATATACGGTTTTTATAATTTACTAACAAAATAAAAGTATCCCATGTTACTCTTTATAACAATAGCTATCTGGGAGTGAAAATTCCGTCAAAATCTGTCCAGCCGTTTCATAGATTAGCTGGAACATACAGACAGACAGACAGGCGCACAGACAAAAAATTTAAAGTAAAAGTATCCTAAGTTACTCCTTATAACATTAGCTACCTGCGAGTGAAAGTCCCGTTAAAATCGGTCCAGCCGTTTCATATATTACCCAGAACAAACAGACAGACAGATAGACTCTTAATTTGAAATTAAAAACAGACACTTCAATTTTATTTATATGTATAGATTACCGCGTGGAAAGTGAATATATCAAAAATCAGTTACAAAATGAATAAAATAATATAAAATATCAATACCAATGTTTATGCTTACATCAACTATCTCTGGAAATTCACATTTAGACGTTGATGGCGTCATCGTTGGCTGAAAATTATCTGTTGCCTGAAATATTTGTTTATTAGTAAGTCCCGTTCTTGTGAACTTTTCTTGCCCAAAGTTAATAGGCCACAGGTATAATACATTTTTATTCTTACCGTAATCAGTTTCCATATGTCGACTGTCGGTACTGCTGATTTGATCAAAGTCCGCCTTTTTGTTGACGAGTTAAATTGTTCATTTGTGAAATTAACAGAACAAATTCTGCTATACTTCGTTGGGAACCAATTTGTTTTTCCAGTAGCAGAAAATCCATTTATCTTTAATATCTGGATCTTTTGGGAACCTGTCATAATAGCATTGGATAAAGTAAACAGATACACAAATAAATATGCATAAATATATTGTACGTATCTTTTTTCTTTATCTTTTTCTTTCCCGGCTTCTCATTGATCAAATTTAATCAATTATCCTTACAATATAATAATTTGTATAATTATTTTGACAAAAAAAAAATATTTGGTAAATGCGGAACAAGTCAATGATACAAGGATATTCAACGCATACTATTTTTGACTTACCCATATACATAACAATAATAAGCCTACCTCCTAATAATTTTCTGAATGAAAAAGTAGTTTAAAAGTACGAATTTACAGATAATCGTTGATAAATGACTTTTTATAAATTGTTCAGACAGAAAGAAAACATACATAATGAGATGTAACAATTAAATATTTAACGAAAAATATTAATCCAAACGTAATAAATTTTCGATAAAAAATAGTGGTGGCACGTCACTAATTCGCGGCCAACTTAGGCGGCGTGTCCTTGGAATGTACGTACGCGACGATATTGTTCTTTACGCATGACTATTATTTCATTGCTGCTTTTAGCAGTTGTAATAGTAGACATGCACAAGCTTAAGTGGTAATGGTTATTGAATTGAAAAAAAAAACGTTTTCCTGCGATAATCGTAGTAGTGGTGGTGAAAACATTTGATTTGGCTATATTTCTTATAAACGACATTATTTCAAAAATTAAGTACTTACATATGAAATGTTATCCCTTTATTTGTAAAGTTACAAATTGTGGAAGTATTTCCGCAGTTGGATATGCTGCAAAACACCATGTTTACCTCTCCGTGTCTCAAATAACACTAGTTAGTAGTTACCGCAACAAACGCTTTACACGCGCTTGTGACCTACGAGTCACATGCGCGGCGACAAGGTCACGCGCAAAGAGTATAGTCATAAACTGGGAAAAGAGTGCCCTCTTGAGGATTTTTTATGCAAATCAATTTGAATCGCCATCTGCGTTTCCTAACCAAAACTAATGCTATATATAGGTAGCTATATAGCTACCTATATCTATTTATTTTACCATTGATTTATTAGTAGTGCTATACTAGTGTTCCAACAAAGAGAAAACCTCTCGGCTTAGTCCTTTTATATAAAACTTCTGGTTCCCATCACTATTTGTATTGAATTAACCAATCAGCGTGTATTTCAACCCGCCACCCCCGTAATGCTTACCTCAGACTTTTGACTGACAGGTTTGGATGCAGAAGTACGTAAATTAGGCGTCTATCGGGCATAGTGGTCGTTGGTTGCGACCAATATAACTTGAGCTCTGATTTAATTACATTTAATGAATTTGGAAATTAAAATTCACTTACTTATGAAAAGTGATGCCATTTTTAAGCTATTGCATAGCTTCTATCGCGGGCCTTGAGCGTGGGGACCGAATCCAGAAATTCCGTAACGAAAAAACCTGACAACCCCCACTCCGACCGGCACAGCGGTGATACTTTTTAGTTTTTCCATCTATCGATAAATACCAGAACTTTTAATGACTTTTTGAAATATCACGCTTGTCTCTTTAGTTCAGCAACCCACCTTTAGGTGGCATTGGTTGAGGTACCCTACCGACTCGCGTTACTGTTTGCGCGCATGCGCAGCACTCACCTATCTATACGTTAAATTTATTCAAACTATTTATATTTATATAATAATTAAGGAAAGTGGAGCTCGTGAGAACTCTACTTGAGCAATTACAAATGCAACTTGAGCAGTATTTTAGAACTTTGAGCAATTTAAAATATTGTATATATCAAAAGATATAGAAATTTGAATATACGGATAAATGAATTTTTTTTCAAGGACTTTATTGATTTTTAATTTTATAATTAATGGTGAGCAATTTGGAAGGGCTACGTAGTTGAATTGAGCTATTAAAAATCTATCGATTAGTATTTTTTTCATTGCGAATATCATAAATTTGCAGGCTGGGGTAGGGTACCTCATTGGTTGTATTGGAAAACTACCGTAATCAGCTGTTTGTGAGAAAGTATATAGGTGTATAGGTATATATCATCTATGTACAACAGTGAATATCTGTACTTGTATAATTTGTGTACAAAGTGTTTTAAATATGAATAAACAAAGTGCATTTATTAATGAAGAAAGTCAAGGAAAAAAATACTGCATTAATAAAATAAATAAATAATTATAATTGCATAAGTTGATAAAAAATGCTATGCAATAGCTTTACCGCGGCAGTCTCCGAGTGCCACATTTAATTTTTTTTTAATTATATGTTTGGCTACTATTTCCACATCATTTTATTGTACAGGGAGCCATGTTGCACGTCTGTTGTATTTTTTGTGTCGGAAATTCACGAGTCTTAAGCAATGTGTTCGCGGGTCACGGATGTGGTCTTTATATATGTAGCAATATACTCTATGATGTGGTCGCTACTGAAGTATATCGCGCGATCGTTTTCTTAAGTCAGACGTATTTGTCTAACGTATTGACTGAAAGTGTTCGCCTTACGTGAGGTGTTGAACTGGCCAGAACTAAAAAAATTGAATAAAAAAAATACAAACAAATTTAAGAGTGCATGTATTCACGCGCATGTGAAACTTCTGTAGGTCTCCGGTACTTTTTATGAAATTCAATTTGTTTTAAATAGTTAAGATAGGGAGATGCTAAAAAGGAAAACAATATTTTATTATTCACATAGTACAGATGGTTCAGATAAAATTTAATTGAGTAAATTATATATTCCAATAAAATAAATAATAATATAATGATGCAGTTTTTTTTATTGATGCTATTAGCAGATGAACATTATTAGCAAAATTATTATACTTAGAACTAGCATTTCCCGTGGCTCCGCCTGATGGCTAAAACCAAATTCTTAGGTTTTACATATTAGTATACTCTTACATTGCAGTTTTTGTATTTTTTCTCATAAATGAGATTTTTCCACGGTAAATAGTATCCTATATGTTGACCCGGATAACCAGCTATCAACATACCAAATTTTATCAAAATCCCTCTAGTGGTTTTTCTGTGATGCGGTAACAGACAGACAGACAAAATTTCTAAAAACTATAGATTCGGCAACTATATTGAAAATTATAATGTTTATTTCAATTAGATTTTCCAAAAATATTTAATGTACAGATTCGGCTTAGTTACAATTTTATTATAATAAAATAAAATAGACAGCTATTATTAAATAAATCTTTTTTTATAAAACAAAAAGTCGACTAACCGGTATTTTATAATGACCGTTTATCTCTATATTTTTTAATATCAAATAGAATTTGACATTTGACAACTTCATTAGTATTTGACTGTTGACACTTGTCAAATGTCTAATGACAACAGGTAAAGGTGAACTAGAACACTTGTGCCGCATTAAATTAAATAAATCAAACAATAAATATTTTTGATAAATTAAAAAAGTCATTTTGTAATGTATAATGTTGTAGTATGTTAAACATCTATAAGTGAAGTGCGACTTATTATTCTAAAAATGTTACTCCACGAAAGAATTTGCCTATGGATAGGACATTTAAAACTCTCTCGAGTAATTCTTATGGTATCCGTGATATTATTTGTAGTGCCTCTTGTTACCCACTACTATTTATCTAAGGTAAAATATATTTTTAAATTTTCATCCTTGTAGGGGGATTGTCCTCTGCTTTAAGCAAATATTGTCATCAATGCCGCGATGTCATTTTTGATGTCGGCCGAATTCCTTGTTTTTTCCTGATCATTTTGACAAAAAAATTTGCTCTATATAAAAATCCACAGATAGTCACCATGACACACATTTATATGATTTCCATCATTTTATGATAATCATAGAAGCATAAAAATGCATACATAGTACATACACATTTAGTAGAAAGTGGCAGAAAGAAAAGGAATCTGATAAAAGTGTAAATCAAATTCACAATATTTTGGTTAATAGTACTTTAAATTTTCTATTTTGAATGTAGTACATTATTGTCCGTTTATGATAATATATCAAATAATTTGTTAAATATTCCATATATACTTTTTAATAAATCTGCTTTCTCTATATAAATTAATGGAAATGATGCCTTGCATGTCGATTTATTATTCAACAGTTTATTTATCTCTACATAATCCAATTTTATTTTTACACACCCTTATATGTAGTGACTCTTTTATAAATTTAACATTTTATAAGTTAACTAGCATTGACCGTGGCGCCGCCCGCGTTCATTTGACTAAAAACCAAATTCTTAGGTTTTACATATTAGTACTCTTTTTTGCATTTTTTGAAATTATTTGTATTTTTTCTCAGAAATGAGATATTTTCACGGGGTAAAAAGTATTGTATATGTTGACCCGGATAACCAGCTATCACCATACCAAATTTTATCAAAATCCCTCCAGTGGTTTTTTGTGATGCGGTAACAGACAGACAAACAAAAATTGTAAAAACTATAGATTCGGTCTCTGTATCGATAATAATGTTATTTCAATATAAGATTTTCCAAAAAATATTTAATGTACCGATTCGGCTTAGTTGCAATTTTAATATATGTATAGATGTACTTTTTACAACCATTTTTACATCTTTTATTTAAGAAAAATAAGCATATATAAAAATAAGGTTCATCCTTAGCAATCAAGTATCTACTATTATAGTATGAATCTTCATCAATGTCATTGGGAACTAACAATATGCGGCACACCTTGGAGGCCCTTGGGGATTTATCAACAATGAATATAGTTGATCTGAAACTTAGAATAGAAGAAATGCTGAGAATAAAGGTATGATTTAATATCTATATAAAATATAAAAGGAGCTTTAAAAAAAGAATTGGTTCTTAAAAATATTTAATGTGATGTGAAAATACATTTATCAATCTATTGTATGCTTTGTAATATGTACATACAATAGAAATAGTATTATACATACATGAAGCAATCATAATAAATATATTATTATATGAACTGTATTAAATTTTAATAATATTAGGCTTCAGTATCAACTGAATTACGAGAGTTAGAAGAACGACGTGGAAAATTACAACGAGAAGCTGCTGCTGCTAGTGCCAAAGCGGATAACGTCAAAGCAGAATATGTGCGCGCTACTGCTGAATTGCAAAGACTTCGAGTGTCAGCCGACCAAGCTAGGCTCGCTCAATTGGAAGCTATCCGACGAGACTCACCTGAACTTGCACCCCCTATACAAATTCTCCCATCACTACCACCACCGCTATTGCCACCTATTAGCTCTAATGCCGAAATCCACTGTCGTATGCATTCGTGCTTCGATCACTCAAGATGCTCTTTAACCTCAGGCTTCCCGATATATCTATACGATCCCGATGTACACTCCCCACTAGCTGGCGCCGAAATCGATGGTTTTCTAAAAACAACACTTAGACAAACACTCAGCTATAATTCTCATTTAACACACAACCCTAACGAAGCCTGTGTTTACCTCGTGTTAGTTGGCGAAGGATTTCCACTTGGCAAAAGTCCCTCGTGAGTTCCTTTTTATATTATTTATTAATAAATAATAAATAATTTTTATTCAATATAAAATTTTAGTTTTTTAACTTTTGTTGCAGTTCAACAACAGATACTTACAAGCTGTTATTGAATGAGACAGCAATTAAGTCCTTACCATATTGGGGTGGTGATGGCCGTAATCATGTTTTGTTAAACTTAGCTCGTCGGGAATTATCAGTAGGATCCGGTGACGCTTTCCATTCTGCTTCTACGGGACGAGCTATGATTGCCCAGTCAACATTCACATTACAAAAGTTTCGGCCAGGTTTCGACCTTATCACTCCGCCAGCCTTGGGTCCGCCTGGAGGAGATGTATGGGCAGATTGTGCACCTATGGCACCTGCTCGTCGTAAATATATATTAAGGTTGGTGAATTTACATATAAACTCTGGAAAAAAATGTTTTTGTATCCATTGATAAGCAATATTCAGTTTTCAGGGATCGCAGACGTCGACGCCAGACGGACAGAATATAGACGATGATAAGTTTCTCATACAGTCTCTTCAGAAAACTGCAAAGTCAGCTCCTACCTCGGATGTGTTCTTTTTGCAATTCGAATGCGATCCGCCGATAGAAAGACGTGAAGTGTTCCCCATCGGTGACTGGACACTTTGCGGGACAGATCGTTCACGTCGAGCTATTTTACGAGATTCGACATTTGGACTCATACTTGCTCCTGCAGACAACAATTATGCATCGACAGCCTTATTACAAGCGAGATTGTATGAAGCTTTACGGTCAGGAGCTATACCGGTTGTTCTAGGTGGGGACCGAATAAGGCTTCCTTACGATGAAGTACTCGATTGGCGACGAGCGGCCATACTGTTGCCGAAGGCTCGTGTGACTGAATTACATTTCCTCCTTAGAGCTTTGTCAGATGCTGATCTACTAATGTTCCGAAGACAGGGCCGTGTTTTGTGGGAGCGGTACCTAAGTTCGGTACAATCGAGTATGGATTCTTTGCTCGCTACTATACGCATGCGTTTGAATATACCGGCTCGTCCGGCGACAGCGACGGTAGGGTCACCAGCGTTCAATGACTCGTATTATCCACCCAAATTGGAACCTCCTGCAGTGGATACTGAGCCCGAAGAGACTCTAGGGCCTTTAGAAGCTCCTTATCCTAGTCCAGGGTATCGAAGAAATTATTCATTAGCTCTGTTACATGGATATGAAATGTGGAATGAATGGGGGGAGCCATTTGCCCTATATCCACAATTGCCATGGGACCCGCCGGTGACGTCAGAGGCACGGTTCATGGGATCTGCGGCAGGATTTAGGCCTATTGGAGCAGGTGCCGGTGGTTCAGGAAAAGAGTTTAGTGAGGCCCTCGGCGGGGACCGACCAAGAGAACAGTTCACTATAGTCATATTGACGTATGAAAGAGAAGCGGTTTTGGCCGCAGCTTTGGCGAGGCTACGCGGTCTTCCATATTTGAATAAGGTAAACATGTTTTTGTTGTCACGTTAATTTTGTAAACATTTAGTGTATATTAAACATATATTAATTACTAACCGACTTCCAAAAAGGAGGAGGTTCTCAATTCGTCGGAATCTTTGGGTTTTTTTATGTATGTACACCGACTACAGGAAGACAAAACATTTTTTTTATTTTGAAGGGTATACGTCCCAGATGGTCTCATTTAAATTTTATCGAAATCGGTCAAGCGGGTTTTTGAAAAATAACGGGGGGGGGGGGGGAATGACGCGTCCGTGTGTTGGCTACAAATTAATAATGACCCTTGTCAGGGACACCGGACATCCGTCGCTGAATGTAATAATCCATTTCACGTACAATACACCGCCAAATGTGTTTCTTAGTTTTCCGCCTGGCTGGATTGCCGGGCGCTATCATCGCATCAAGGGGCTACTCCCTTAGAATATAACTTCGAGGAATATTTAGTCTATTGAAAGGCACATATTATGTCATTGTTTCTCGAGTTACAGGTAGTAGTGGTATGGAACGGAGTGACGCCGCCGTCGTCGGCGCAGGCGTGGCCGGAGTCGGGCGCGCCCGTGGCGGTGGTGCGCGCGTCGCGGAACTCCCTCAACAACCGCTTCCTGCCGTACCACGTCATCGAGACCGAGGCCGTGCTCTGCGTGGACGACGACGCGCATCTGCGACATGATGAGATCGTGTTTGCTTTTAGGTTTGTTCATCACTACATATTACTACTCTACTCAATGGTTTTAGATACGGTTTTTACTAATAGAAAAACGGATTATTTTAGGAGGTTATAACATTTTACCAAAATAATTCACCGGTTTGATGATATGTGAATTAAGTCGAACAAAATCGTCGACTCCCGAGCGGTAAGTAATAGGAGTAAGCAATTACACATAATTTATAGCGATTTCGAGTCCAATTAGATAAAATAATTGATTTTCAAGAAAATACTTGATTAAGTCCAAGTATTATCGTGAGAATCAATTATTATAATATAATTTTTTGTTAACTAAACAACCTATTAAACATTTAAAATACGATCAAATATATACAAATATTGCCGCTGCTAGCTGAACTATGACTTGATACCCCTCGCATTGAGGGCAAGCAGGCAATAAATTATTTTTTTTTTGACATCTTCTATGATTTGAGAATTTTCTAGACTTCCCTTTCGACTGGAGGCAACCTTAAGTATATAATAAAATTCCGGTAACAAGCTCTTTTATTATGTTGCAGAGTGTGGCGCGAACACCGTGACCGAATAGTAGGCTTTCCTGGAAGGTATCATGCTTGGGATCTAAATTTCAACAATGGTTTCTTGTACAATTCTAATTATAGGTAAGATTTGCTTTCAATACATTTGTTATTTATTTAAACTTGTGTGATGTAAAGTGCTTTTTGTAATAAAGTACTATTTCAAAATTAAAAAAAAAAAAACGTGCGTGTGTACATAAGTACGCACGTAAGAAGTTATACTTCTTTAGTGTAACAGAACAAAAATAGCTAAAGATTTCATCCTGTATGTCACAACTTTCTATTTGTAAAAATAATGCAGCTAACTTCATGTCGCTTTCAGCTTACTTCATCATGTCGCTTTTTCGCTGTCGGTATGCGCGCGCATTGTACAAATTTTACTCTCATAATTTGTTTCAAACATGCTAAAAGAAGTATAACTTCAAAAAGGAACTTTCCCGTGATTGCTATAAATCTAAAATCAAAATAAATCAAAATGTTATTCGCGTAAATCTAAGAAAGTATTATATTTGAGTGAATGAATGATTCTAGTTGCGAACTGAGCATGGTGCTGACTGGCGCGGCGTTCGTGCACCGCTACTACCTGTGGGCCTACTGGCGCGCGCTGCCCGCCGCCGTGCGCGAGTACGTCGACCGCTACATGAACTGCGAGGACATTGCCATGAACTTCCTCGTGGCTCATATCACCAGGAAACCGCCTGTTAAGGTACTTGCTAGTCATGTGGTAACGCGCTCGCTCGGGAAACCGAGTGAAGTGGGCTCAAATCCCAGGTCTGGCTGTCACGCAGGTCACGCTGAAACGCTTGACGGATTTGGATGATATTTGTGCACACATAAACTATGATCTGAAATACCACATGGGCTACTGCGAGGCTTACTTACTTTACTCACTTTACTCACTTGAGTGAAGCAATAATAAAAAACCATCAATAGTGTAAAGGATTTTTCTTTTGTCACGCAATCACATAAAAACTACTGAACGCAGGACGTATTGCTATGGGGCTTTGACCGATCGACGCGTAGACGGTTTTTTATTTATTTACAGTTCATAAATATTTTTTTCCGCCAATAATAATATAAGTCTAAAATAAATTTTTATTTAATTGTTTTTTATATTCAACCCAAATAATCTATACAAATAAATATAATTAAAGTATCTGTTTGTAATGTCAAAATAACAGCATTTTAATAAATGCATATGAAATTATATACGGTACTTATAAGAAAAACACAATTTTTAACATTTTTGTCTGTCTACCTGTCTGAAAAGGCTGGACTGATTTTGACTGGAGTTTCACTGGAAGATATCTGATGTGATAGGGAGAAACATAGGCTACTTCTATTTTAGAAAAAGAATTAGGGTTAAACGTACCTAGGGACGAACCCGACCAAAGCGAGGGTGAGTCGCTAGTTAATTTATAAACGAAACGCCTAAATATACATGAAGGTCTCTGAAGACCAAAGGAGGCACCAGACTAGTTCCCTACGTGTTTGTCGTGTGCAGGTGACGTCGCGCTGGACGTTCCGCTGCCCGGGCTGCCCCGCCGCGCTCTCCGCCGACGACACGCACTTCCACGAGCGCCACCAGTGCATACAGTTCTTCTCGCAGGTTCACACTGACTTACATACTTATATATGTTACACGGGAGAGAATGCCAACAGAACATTTTTTTAATTTAACACTTTTACAATAATAATGATAATTAGTCTTGATCTTGAAAGTAATGGAATACAAAAATATACCAAAAAAATATTACAATAAATAAAGTTATTTTTTGCATCTTGTGTCGTGTCTGTTTATAACAGTAAATAATGTTATTATGTATACAAATTAAAATTTCATTCTGTAAATAAATTATAAATAATATAAGATAATGGAGATTTGCTCGAATATTCGACATTTAGAATGAAACTATCTCTTCGGGTTTTGTTCCGGTTTTATTTTGATTTTTTGTTCTCGATATTTCAAATGCTTTACTTCATATCAAACATGGTCACGAGATAGATTAAGATTTGAGTCGTCTCAAAAGTCAGGGTATGAAATTATCAAGATAAATATATCTTTTGATAATTATCGCGATAATTATCAAGATAATTATCAGATAATTATCCGATAATTATCAAACAGATATAAACTTAGCTATCCTTGTGTAGATAGATATTGATATTTGAATACTTGCCTGTCATAATTTACGTTAGAATAAATTATACACTTTTAACAATCAAGGTAATCTTTTATTATTATTATTTTTTCATTATTTTGACATATACAAACTTGGAAATAAAAATAGAATAAATTTAACCAACTATATAGACACTATTTAATTAAATTAAAGGTCTCTGCCCACTACACCGTCTCATACCATGAGAGTGCTAGCTAGGACCGTGTCAGGCAAAAAAATATTCTATGACCGTTTTCACCGACCAAGACCTTTCCGTCACTGACCAATACCGTCGCGTGCCGTGTATGGAACGTTAACAATAATTGTCGGCAAGAATATTTTGCCGGTGTCGATACGCTCCGTGCCTGGCACGCGACGTTGCCGAACCACAGCGCACGGACGGCGAAACGGTGAGCACACGGGTTATAACTGCGTATGATGACTTCTAAGCCCGTTATAAACGTGTTGTCGCTTGTCTTCTAGTGATAATATTTTCTTTTAAATTATAATTTTTTTTAAAACGGCGTGAACCTAGTAACTTCGTGATCGCCTGATGTTATTCTCTTTCTTCCTCGTCTAAAACAATGGCTATCATTGTTAATTCTCTGTCGGACAAGTTTCTAATAACCATCGTATAGGTATAAGAAATAATTTTCGTAACAAAATTATTCACTCGCTCTTTCTGACGCGGCTGCCTCACGCGAAAACACAGGTAAACTACTATGACTTGGAAAACTTGAACTATGTATACGGATCTGACACGCGGATGATACGCGGTTGATACGCGAATGATACGTTCTAGTGGGCGACACGGATTACTATTAGTCCGTGTCGCTTGTTTCCGTGCCTGATACGTTCATAATACAGTCATGGTATGAGACGGTGTAGTAGGCAGACTCCTTAATGATTGGAATGTCATTCTCATCCTCCTCAACTGCATTAACTCATTTTAAATAAAACTATCTTTTCTCTCTCTCCCGTGACCATGGATGCTGTAAAGCATTCGAAACGTCGGGAAACAAAAATGCAAATAAATCCGCGACAAAATCAGAAAAGATAGTTTTATTTAAAATGTCAAATATTCGCGTAAATCTAAGAAAGTATTATGCATTAACTCAGTTGGCTGATTGAGTTTATTGAGCTGATTGAGAGAGTTCAGTTTGCTGATCGACAATTTGAAGAGTTACAAATTAAATATTTTCAATTATATTTATCAAAGATAATTATCAACCCATATTTATCATGATAATTATCGTTTCGAAACTGTCAAAAGCTACTTTTTAGTTATTAGAGACGGTATCTATCAAATGCTGAATACATATGTATGTGGGTAGATACTTAGAGAACAAAAATTCAAAATGAAAGCGCAACTAAATTCAAAAAGATAGCTTCATTTAAAATATTAAATGATTTCAGGTGATGGGCTACACGCCGCTCTTGTCGACGCAGTACCGCGCTGACTCCGTGCTATTCAAGACCAGGATACCTCATGATAAACAGAAGTGCTTTAAATTTATATGAATCGTCTGTTCTATTTTTTTGTGAATATCAACAACTATGTTTGAACAAAGTCCAGTATTTTAGAGTTTTTATTGTTTTTTTTTGCATTTTGATTGATAAGTGAATATTAATTAATTTGTGAGTCTATGTGTCTGTGTTGCGTGTGATGACGATGGGTTTGAACTAGTTTCTGGCGTTTTTTTTTGTGCTAGGGCTTGCCAGACTAAACAATTCAGACTAACAGGTTAATGTGTATTAATATGATGACCCTACTTGCTGAGCCAGCGGTCGCGGGTTCGAGTCCCGCTGAGGGCTTTCATTTGTATGACGAACACGAATGTTTGTACTGTCATTTTACAGATCACCCATGCAAGTATGTGCTGATAACACTTTTTATTGTGTCTTTTACAGTGTGACGTTTGTGCTTTGTTTTTCCTTTATGTTAATTCGAAAAAATTACGCACATGTTTTTCTATTGTCGGGGTAACATTGAATTTATTGACATTATGATATGATATCGATATATCAATAAATCGAATGACAATCAATTACTAGGGCTAGGAGTTTTTTTATAAAAATGAAATTTACCACCTTGTTTGTCGTTTTGGAAGGAAAGAAAAAGATGTCATTTATGTATTTCCCGATAATAATGAATTTGAAGATGTACGATAATTCATACATAATAATTTATATAAACATTGTTGGTATCAATTGATATAAAAATGGGGAGGCGATTGTTTCATCATTCGACCCTTTTTTTAATATATCCAATCCATCCTTATGATTTAAAAAAAATTAAATACCAAAAAATATTGATTTCGTCAATTAAATTTATAATTATATTATATTTTATCAGAATATTATTAGTCTTATTATATGATAATATCGAAAAAGCTTTTTAAAGCGTTTTAGAACTTCGTAAAGGTTACAATGCATATTATTTTTATTTTGCAATTCAAGTAAATAACACAAATAGCCAGACTGGGATGAACAAAAATGCTAGATTAGAATCCTTAATTTTAATATTTGTTAAATAATTAATTGGAAATTACATAATATTAATTTTCTTTAATAGTAATTGGTATCTTAACTAATCGTATCCTATGTAAATATTGTACAGGTTTATCTTTAAGTGTAAGACAAAGAGCAGATTAGTAACATGAATTCAGTGTCCTCATTTACTTTATGAAAGTCTAGTCTTTCCCCGCGGCTCCCCACGTGAGGTTCATTGATGATAAATTGTTTCAACTTTTCTTAAATTGTTTTTTAATTATTATTCGCAATATAGTTATTAACACCCACGAATTGCTAAAGTCGATTTTGAAACCATAATTGTTATATAACTAGTCCTTTGTAAGTCCTTTGTGTAGCATAAAAATCTTCTTCATGTAAAAACGTCTGTTTAATTTGTCAAAATTTCGAAACGGTCATGAATTCGGAGATTTGCGATCTTATACAAACGAATGTGAATGATATTTTTATAAATTATGGTTTCAAAACACGATTTATGAATATTACTTACTAGCGACCACCCTCGCTTCGCTTAGGTTCGTCCCTAGGTACGTTTTGACGCTTAGTGTGGAACAGATTTTTTTTTTATTTTCTCGTATGTTTTCTGATGTTCTAATAGGTAGTTATTCCGCTATTCGGGGTGAAGACAAATCCAACAAAATTATCTTTGATAATAAAAATCAGTCCAGCAGTTCTCGAGTTACAAGTGTTGTAACAAACCCGACTTTGTTTTATATATATAGATTAAGGAAACTCTTATTTTGCTAAAACACATGATTTTTATTACATTATGAAGCTATTAGTGATGGCTAAATATTTCATCTTAACATATAAAATGTTTAACATTTTTGTATTTTCAATATTATTGATTACCTAACAACTATTATAATATTATTATATTTTAAGATTATCAAATCTTAATAAGACTCAATTTTGAATAAAACAAGGTTTTGCATAAAAATGATCTAATTTAGTTTTTATAGAATATAAAATAAATGGATTTTATGAAATTAGTGAAAATTGATTATTGAATTTTATCCACTTAGATAAAAATGAAGAGTGCCCTCATTTTTATAATTATTTTTTAATGTTTCTTTTTTTTAAACGGTGCTTTATAAGTTATTTCATATTTAAATACGTAACCTTGAAATCATCGAGGCAATATATACAAAAGGTCTAGCAAATCTTTCTAAGACTGACTAATTTTTTATTACATATATGGAATTGTAGTTATATGATATATCTAATCGCGTTCAAGATTATGTAAGTGCTGTAACAAAGAAATATTGCGTATAGATATTGTATGTCGTGCGTATCGATACAATAGCTCTCACGTTTTTTTCTCATCTTTATAATTTTCACATGACGCAAATGCATTTATAATTCCATTATAGGACGAAAAGGAAGGTCAGTAAGTTATGGAATCTTCCTTATGTATATAAATAATTGCATCTGCATTTTTTATTACCGGCTAATTTGCTTATTCGAATAACATAAACATATATAGTAGTTTGTTCTTATGTTGGTACTAAAAACTATTGAGTGCTCACAAATATTTGTTATTGATAATAAGTATGTAACTTGACCTTAAAAAACATTTGTATTTTTATGACATCACAAAAAACGTTCTTGATTTATTCTCATTCTCGTTAAAATATTTCAAGGTTAAATATTGGAGCACAATTTAGATTATTAAGTTTGATTGTAATGAAACAGTCATTTTTAATCTAATTTAATGCTCGTTTTGAACACAAGTTCTTATGTCCATACAGCTAGGGGCTTATACGTAAATATCATAACATATTGTTACAAAAATAAATGAGGAATGTTACAAGTAGGTACGTATATTTAATTTTTGTGCTGGTGTGAATGTAAACTGAAAATGATTGTATAATTTGTGATGCTTGTTTGTTTTCTTGTATCATAAACTGTTTTCATATTTCCAAAGAGATTTATTTGTTTAATAACATTATACTATGTAATGCCTTGATTTGAATATAAAACATGAAATCTTAAAAGTATTTTCATTCCGCATTCCCAACCTATACCTAACTCAGAATGAGATACACTTCCCAAGGAAAAAAGATAAAATCTATTTACTAGAACAATATTAATACTTAATAAGCCTAATAGTATTTGCCTATGTGGTACTCCACGTCATAGCTGTTCGTATTTAGTACACAGCTATGACATATTATCTATACATATAGTAAGAAAAAGAAAGTTTTTATGTATGGGTGACGCAAATAAAACCGACTCCTTTTGGTGCCTCGTTTGAAAATATTTTAGTTTTTCATGGAGTCTTTAAAGGTCCGATCGAAAAAAATTTTTTTTAGGAGTCGGTCATGATTTTTAAAGGTCGCTAGAAAACATCAAAAGCAATGAACTTAAAAATGTTCGTTAATTTTGAGCGATCTTTAAAAAATAATATTTTAAACTGTAATTTTGAAGAAGTTACTATTTTATACGTACTAAATTTTACCGCAGCAATAATAAAAAAATGAACTTTGACCATTTTTAGAACATTAAAAATCTTGAACGGCCCTTAAAAATTTTTTCGACTTGATCAATAACGAGATTGTAAAACATGAAAACTACTATATTTTCATACGAGATACGAAAAAAATAGTCGGTTTTTTTCGGCAACCTAATGTATATGTATGCTTCTACAAACATACATAAAAACATTCGCATTTTTATTAGTATTCCGAATTTATTAGCAATACAGACTTACACCAGCGTAGAGTCGCGAGAAGTGGCTTTAAAAAATAAGCTACCTACCGTATCATATAAATACTAATTCAATGATTAAACTGAAGAAGAGAGAGATAGTAATAAAACATACAAAGTCATGAAGAAAAATATATTTATTAAATACATTTATAAAACTTATTCTAAGACAATTGTTCGATACGCATTTCCCATTTTCATAACTACACGGTAATTAAAGAGTATTACATGATATTACAGAAAAATAATTAGAAACGTAAAATGTTTTTATTTGACAAATAGCAATTTAGAAAAAGTAAATCAAAATGAATTAATTCAAAATTTTATAATAATAACATTTTCCTTTCATACTTTTAAAAATAAGTGTACATCAATATTACTTAATATTTACATTACGATTAAATATAATTGTAAATATTGTATATGTAAAAAAGCATAAATATTAAATACTAAATAGACATTCTGACGATTCTGTTACTTTAGGTATAGTAATTATAATAAATGGCAGAAATTATGCAGTTAATATTTTAGGAATTATGTATGAGATAATATATTCCTGGACATAATTATTCTGATAGAATTATGTATAATTATTCCATTATGTTGTCTTGTACATAGTCTTAGATAAATCTAAAAATCTAGAAGAATAATATTTAAACTCTTAAATTACATAATTATAATGTAAACGTGAAAGATTCAAAATTTCAATATGAACTGTGTCAATTTTTTTTAAATGTAAACTTACGCGATAAAAATGGCAGTTATATTTTCATAAATTTCAAACACACGCATACGTATAAAAATATTTTTAAATAAAAACAAGTTTATATAAAAATATCTTTATCATTCAAAAGTCTAATCCAGACGAGATTTCTTTGCTGTTCTACCACTTTGACCACTCAATGCCTCTACCATAAAGTCTCTGAACGACACTCGTTAGCGACTGGGTTAAGACTTAAAGCGCCTTTAACAACGTTTTTCATATATTATATAAGACTTAAGAGTAGCTGTAGGAAGCGGACAATATGGTATCTACGTAAGTAAAAAAAATTAAATACCATAAACAGTAAGTTTTAATTTTAAAACGTTTTTTTGTGGAGGGCGAAGTAATTCGAATCGTGTTTTAAAACTATAAGAAATCTTAAGACACTTATTAAAAGTTTAGAGTTCTAAAAATAATTTAGCAAATCGATAGCACGGTAATGTAATGCATAAACATTACCGTGCCGATAGGGCACAAATAATCCAAACGTTTGAATTATACTTAACTAATAGATATATTTAAATCGTATCTTTTGTCATATGCAATCAGCAATAAAGGTCACTGCACTGGTGTCAAATGCATAAAATGAACAATAGATTGTGTTGTAGGTATTCAAAATTTGCATTATTTCATCGTGTATTTTGTTTATAAAGTTTAAATTGTCCCGTAATAAATAGGATTATGTCTTTTATAAAAAATATCATATACTTAATCTGATATTTCAGTCATGACGTGACGTAAGTGACGTCATGACGTCGTTGTTATTGTATTGCATCGTGAAGTTTAAATCTCATTTCTTGAATTTTATTAAATATGAGTAATTAAGTTAGTCATATATTTAAATAAATTAAACCAAAGGGCGGTGGTTCGTTGTTTATAATGTATTGTACCTATACTGTATGTACTGTATGTGACCCAAGATGGCGCTGGGTTGCTTTGCTTGGTGAATTTGGTTCAATTTATTTAAAAACTAAAATAAAATTTTCATTTTTAACCGACTTCAAAAAAGGAAAATTTAATCGAGTATATTGAATATATTATTACTTGTATTTAAAACGTGAACTAATCACCAATTTTCATGACTCATAATGCAAGAGTTGGTTCTATGGAACCATTACATAAAAAAATGTAACCCTAAAATAATATGAAATAATATTAATTACTTTTAAGTTAATTTTGAAGTCGGTGGACCTTTTTAGTTGAAAATATATATTATTTATATATGAATACATAGTTCGTCGTGTGGCTAGTTGTACGCGCGCGGCCGCGTGTCGCGCGGCACAGTGAGCGGCGCGCGCGGCCGCAGTGCCCGCTCTCACGCCATGTCCTCGGACTTACCGTCCAGGCGCTTCAGCTGGAATACACACATGTTCACATATTTAGTTTTTTTTTTAATTTAAACTCCATAATTATACTGAGGTAAAACTAAAGGTAAAAAAAACGTGTGTGTGTACTTATGTATGTAAGAAGTTATACCTACTTCTTTGGCGTAACAGAACAAAAATAGCTAAAGATTTCGTCCCGTATGTCACAACTCTCTGTTTTTAAAAGGAATGCAGCCAACTTCATCATGTCGCCTTTTGGCTGTCGGTGTGCGCGCGCATCGTAAAAATTTTGCTCTCATATTTTTCCAAACGTGCCAAAAGAAGTACAACATCAATATAAAATAGAATTCATGAGTGCTCAACCTTTTAAAAGTTATGTTTTACTATCGACTTTGGATTTACCTTCGCATCGCTTAGATGCGTTCTTAGGTGCCTAACAGCAGACTACGTGTTACCCCAGGCTATAATCTGTGTAATAAATTTCATCCAAATCTACCCAGCCGTGTCAAGCAGTAGCCGGAGTAGCAAACATACATGCACGCACGCACACTTACGCATGTACATATGTAATTACAAACGACATACGCACACATACACATATACAGCCTCGCAGATTTTATTTTTATATGCTATCAATTATATAGTTACTACATATTTTATTTTATTTAATTTTTAATGATATATGTATTATATAGTGCCAAATTGTAAAGAATTTAAAAATAATAATGTGCAGGTACACTCTATTTTTTTTTGTTTGAGCTTACGCTTTGTTCAACGGTCCATGCTGTAGGCGCTAATCGTCCAGAGCGCTTGTAAATAAATAAGTTTTAATTAAAAGTATTTATGATGTCTAAATATAAGAATATCATTTACAATTTCTCCAATAATATAACATTAAATTTAAAAAAATAAATTTTAAGTATTTCCTGGTATTTAATTGGGTTTATAATATTATTTTCGAAGGTATTTCGTAAGCAAAGGCATAATTTATCTATGGAGACCTTAAAACAATGTGTGTACGATAAAACAGATCTGTTGTTGATGGCACATCACCATAGGAACTCAATTATAACTAATTTATACATCATAAGCTTGTAATTACATATTTTAGTGTTAAAAAAGTTTTATTATCAATCAATTCAAGTATCTACCTCTTTTTCATCGGCGGCCACAGGGCGGTATCTCGGTGACAGCGAGTCAGGAGGCGGTGCGGAGAAGCCGTGCACGTAGAGCAGAGCTGCTGCTACTCCGCCGGCTATGGGGCCCGCCCAGTACACCTTATAAAGAATATAAACATAAATTAACCAATTCAAATTAGCCGATTTAAGCGGGTTCTAATTCTGATATGTTCATGTGGGAATAATATCTAACATGATTACCACTTGTCTTACGGTGAAGGAAAACATCGTGAGAAGGGAAACGGGCAGGTTGTACATCTGAGAGAACCTAGCAAGCTTTCAAAAGACATATGAAGTCTGCCAACCCGTAAATGGCCAGCGTAGTGAACTATGGCCTCTTGTATGGAAGGGAGGCCCGTGCCCAGCAGTAGGACTTTAAAAAAGGCTGAAAACAAATCTATATTTTAAACTAGTGACTGAGCCTCACTTCACTCGGGTGCATCCCTAGTAGCCTAACGGCTAATGTGTTATTCCAGGTCATAGTCTATCTGTAGTCTGTATACTCATGCACATATGTCCTGCCGTTTCAATGTAAAGGAGTAACAAACACACGCACACTTATATACTAACTTTCTCATCTATACTAATAAATGGAGAGTCGATTTTTTTGTTCGGTTATACTGCGAAAACTACTGAGCTGATCGGAATAATACTCATACCATAAGATGCAGCTGTTTCGGAGAAGGTTTAAGTGATAGGTTGGTGTAATACTTTCTTAGATTTACGCGAATGTTTGACATTTTTAAATAAAACTATTAATTAATTATTAAAAATTTTAATTAAAAACAAAAAGTTTTTTTAAATAACAGCAAACTAAATTAAAATTATTATCCTTAATTAATTTTAACTTTTTAAATTACACATAGAACAATTATATGGCTTAAATATAGATTACTAATTAATATTTTAAAATTGTAATAATTATAAAAATAATAGCAGAAATTAAATAAATAATATTCCATATTCAATTATAATTAAAATTATAAAAATGTTTATAGTTAAAAAATATTGTAATGTAATTGGTGCAATTTTCATTTTGTTAATTGTGGGTAGGCTGTCTGTAACAACATACCTTCAAGACATGTAACACCTCAGTCTCGCCCGTGAACATGGATGCTGTAAAGCATTCGAATCGTCGGGAACCAAAAATCAAAATAAATCCGCGAAATAATCCGAAAAGATAGTTTTATTTAAAAATGAAATGTTGCTGATTAATATACTATGCGGGCGGAGCCGCAGGAAAACGCTAGTTTATAATAATAGTTCCATTGTACTTTGAGTAGGTATAATGTTATTTACTTTAGTAAATTATGGCAATTTAAAATGTCCATCTAAATTTAACTTTAGGTAAGGGACCGTTCGAAATATTTGCACAATATCTTATAATATGAGGCCACCGGATACACCTAATAATAAGAACTCCGGGTCTAAATCAGGATAGAGCAAAGAATACTTATGCTTAGGCGCATCATGACTATAAATAAACTTTTAATGCCAGTACATATTTGTTATTTATTCGAGACAAATATTTCACATACGGCTGTTGATTCTGAGGTCCTGAGTTTGAGTCTCGAATGGAACCTAATTAGTTATTGAATGTTCCATCATGAAATTCTTATCACATCTGGGTAGTCGGCAATGTTACACCGTGCCTGGTGTGCCTCGGATAGCCAAGGTCTATCGCCAGTCTTGGTGAATAAGCGTTGAGGATATTTAGATAAATAATTATTTCAAGGATAAAAACTATTACGGATAAATATTATCATGATTTTATCATCATCTGATAAAAACCGATTCCGTGAAATCAAAATATTGCGAGCGAGTGCACTGAGTGCGATCACGTCACGATCGGTGCATGCATTGCAGTATCATGAAATTTGGAATATTCAAATAAAATAAACTCTCAATTTTATAAGATAAGATATTGTAATAGAATTAAGTATATGAAATACTAGCTTTGCCCCGCGGTTTCACCCGCCTTAAATTTGTTTGATTATAAGTATCAGCTTTACAGTACGAGTAATGTATGGAATTCTGCCTGATTTGTTGACATTTATGATTACTGCACCGCTCCCTTGGGTAGTAGCATGATGACATATAGCCTATAACCTTCCTCAAGAAACGAGCTATCTAATGCAAAAAGAATTTTTCAAATCGGATATGTAGTTGCTGAGATTAGCGCGTTCAAATAAACAAACAAACAAACTCTGCTTCTTTATAATATTAGTATAGGTAATTAAAAAGAAGTTGTTTATTTTATACCATTCTCTATGTTATTTAGATATGTAAATGCAAATGGGAAATAATAAGTTAATTTAAGTATCACTTTATGTAAATTTGGATTTTAGTTAAATTTCACTTTTTAGTAGTGTATCCTTTTTAGGTAACATTGTGGACTATAGATAAGACAATTCGAGATAGTTACCAGAATTCAGAATTATAGCAAGAATGTTTTACGAGTAATTTAATTAAACTGGCTAAACCCGAGATTAAAATTATCATCTGTGTTTACTATTAACAATTGGTAGAAGATATATTGAGATAACAATAACGTAAACATTATCAAGATATTATAAAATGACGAATTTTATTTTATGACTGCTTATTTTTATCAATACAAAATACAAATGGATTGGATTTGGATTACGTTGTCGGCGATCCTTACAACAAAATATATACAACTTCAAGAAAGATTGATGTATATGGGTAAGTCAAAAACAGTATGCGTTGAATATCCTTGTATCGTTGACATGTTCCGCATTTACCAAATTCTTTTTTGATTTGATTTGATTGAGTAAATAATTCTAAGGGCGAGTTGTTTGATAAACATAACATAGAAATTCTATAAAAAAATATTTTTATATTATACAAGTCAATTTTTATATAACTTATGCATATATATGCAAGTCAATAAAAACATTATAAAAACAAAATTCAGTCAGACTCTTCATTAAATTAAACTAGAATTAAAAACAATATATCGCTGTGGAGTATATAGTAGCTGTTGAGTGTATAACTATATAATAATAAAAAAAATTACTTACTTTTAACGTTTTATTGTATTCCCTTTATGAAAATAAATAAATCGTCTAAAATCGCGTCGAGGAATGAAACATAAAACACTTTCAATAAATTAGTTACCTATTGTTGCAAGACACAACGGAAAATTATCGATATGAGCATTATGCGCTTTGTGCTGCACTAGAGTCTAGAAGTGAGCGCGCGATATCATTCTGTGCTTTTCGCACACGTTTATTATTGGTCACAGGGATCACGGGTTCTGAGATTATGCGTTTTTAGAAAATATTGCGTAATGTCATCGCTTAAAGTTTAATTTTTGTTGCAACAATGCAAAATGCATGTGTGAGCGATAGTGTGTATTTATTGTTTGTCAATGTGTTGGTAGCTGCAAGCCGGCGACACGCGTCCCAGTACTAAAAGACCGCAATAGCATTTATATTACCTTATTATTAAGATTTCTGTGGTAGTCACATATAAATTTAAAAAAAAATTACCCTGATAAATAGTTAATAAGTTACCCTTATGGGAGGATGTTTAGTTTAGTGATGGTTTAAGATATTTTGTGTACATTTTATTAAAAAATATTTTTTTTCTGTGTGACTTAGGCTACATTTTTACCACGTAGGTCTATCAAATGGTATTTGTGGAATATTACGAAAATCAATTGAAAGGCGCGAGCCATAGATGAGCCTGAGTGAGGCGAAGGGGTTTAAGTGAATCATATGTTACAAACTAAAGGTAAGTATGTACAAATATAGGTGTATAATTATTGAAGTTATTATATAAGGTAAATTTGATTTAACTGGTATATAGCACGTACAAATGCAATTACCGTAAAGAGATAATGACTGACATATAACAGGTTTTGATTGTACCGAATAGGTCCTGCGCATATTTATTGTATACTACTTGTACTCGTATACTTATTAGAAACTATTAAATACCTTTATTTAAAACTTGTAGATGATCTCATGTACAATTTCAATCTAGGCTACTATCAATTATGACTATATGTAATAAAAAATGACTATCTTATATATAAAATTTCCATGTCACAATGTTTGTTACCGTACTCCTCCGAAACGGCTTTACCGATTTTTACCAAATTTTATATGCGTATTCAGTAGGCCTGAGAATCGGCTACTATCTTTTTTCCATACCCCTAAGTGATAAGGATAAGGGTGGTCCGACGAACCTGAGCGGAGCTAGGGTGAGTCGCGCTAGTAATATATAAAATTATGATTAAATTATGACTAGGTATATTTTCGGATTTTTTCAGAATAAAATCCGAGAAGATAGTTTTGTTTAAAAGTAGCGACCCACGCTCACTCCGCTCGGGTCCGTCCCTAGTTACGTTTTAACGTTTAGTATAGATTTCTCAGAGATGATGTATTTTCCCGCAGTAAAAAGTATATTTTATGTTGACGCGGATAATCAGCTATCATCATACCAATTGCATCAAAATCTGTCCAGTGATTTTCTCATGATGCATTCCCAGACAGACAGACATACTTCTAAAAACTATAGATTCGGCCTCTGTATGGTAATACTGACTATTATAATAAGATTTTCCAAAAAATATTTAATGTACAGATTCGGCTTAGTTACAGTTTTATTATATAGAATATAGATGTTAAATATTTGCGTAAATCTAAGGAAGTATTATGTGAAATCGCTAACCAAATATGCCGGTTAGAAGATCTGAAGCCAAGACATCTCCCGTGACCATCATTTCTGTAAAGCATTCGAAACGTCGGGAACCAAAAATCAAAATAAATCCGCAAAAAGATTTTTTTATTTAAAATGGTTAACATTAATCGAAGAAATTAGTAATCCAAGACATGACTCTATTAAATCAGGATATGGAATATTTTATACAAAGAATGTGGAAGAAGGAAACTATGAACATTTAAATCTATACATATAATAAAATTGTAACTAAGCCGAATCTGTACATTAAATATTTTTTGGAAAATCTTATTGAAATAGACATTATTATCTATACAGAGGCCGAATTTATAATTTTTAGAATTTTTGTCTGTCTGTCTGTTACCGCATCACAAAAAAACCACTGGAGGGATTTTGATGAAATTTGGTATGGTGATAGCTGCTTATCTGGGTCAACATATAGGAAACTTTTTACCGCGGGAAAATGTCTCATTTCTAATAAAAAATACAAAAAACTGCAATGTAATATTAAACTAATATGTAAAACCTAAGAATTTGGTTTTTGGTCATCTGAACGCGGGCGGAGCCGCGGGCAATGCTAGTATTAAAATAAAGCACGTTGCATGCAAGTATTAGAGCAAATTTAGAAGTTCTACCTCTCTACACTCTCAGTGTTTTCTACATGAGGATGGTAGCGATAAGATAATGATACCTATCTCATTGTGCATTATTGATATTGAAACTACATATTTTGACTATCGTCCCTAAGTAAACATTGGATACAAGTACATCTATACGGTGAATATTAGGTAATATTTGCTAACTTTTAACCCCGATATAGTGGAAAGTTTTGGTCACATACCTAAAACGCTCCATGGAAACCATTAATATACTGTTGGAAGTTTTGAATAACTTACCTAATGGTATTATAATCTTTACAACAATAGGCATGCAATTTAATTACCAGTTTAAAACATTTATCTACTAAAAGGAAAACACCACTAAAATTTAGAGATACGATCTAAATCATAAAGATCGCGATGTTATAGATTAAGTTATATTTTTTATATTACTTTCAATTTAATGATAAAAGTGTTTATTACTAATTTATGACTTCAAAGGAGTTGTATGGATAACTGCATAACTGCCTCGGTGGTGTAGTGGCTAGCATGTACGGCTGCACACCCGGAGGTCCTGGGTTCGAGTCCCGGGTCGGGCCAAGTTTAGTTATTGAGTCTTCCTGTATAGTAAGTCTCAGTAACAGCCCGGAGTTGGGAAGTTGGCGGTGTTTCACCCCCGTGCCTCGGAGAGCACGTAAAGCCGTCGGTCCTGCGCCATAACTCTCACCGGTCGTGTCGAGTGGTCGTCCCACCGGAGTATGAGAGTGATAGGAATAGAGAGTGCACGTTGTGTCTGCGCGTACACTTGAGCACTATAATATCTCCTGCGCAGTTGGCTAATCTCATTGAGATTGGCCGCCGTGGCCGGAATCGGCTAGGAGAACATCATGGATTTAATATCGTACCTAGGTCTAAGGGAAAGTTCTGTCATTTTTTTCCAAAAAGAAAGAACATTTTTTTTTCACTTTTTATTAAAAATCATCCAAAAAATAGTGTCCTTTATTAGTTACAAATGTCTGCCAGCGATCTGGCAGCTTATCTAACCCACTGAAAAAGAATTCCTCTTTTTTGGAGACGAATTATTATTTCACTGCTAGTTGGACACCATCATAATTTATATATTTATTTCCATCAATAAAGTATTACAGCGACTTAAACAGATGATAGTCAGATGGTCCAATATCTGGAGAATATGCTGGCTGAGGTAAAGATTCCCAACCCAACTCTGCAATTTTTTGTATGGTTTTCTTTGCCATGCGTGGTCTAGCGTTGTCGTGGTGATGAATCACCCCCTTTCTGTTGGCCAAACATGAACGTTTACGTTGAATTTCTTTATTTAAAACATCAAGTTGCGGACAGTAACGATCAGCATCGACCGTTTCATTCGCTTTCAGCAAGTCATATTGCACTATACCCTTGCGGTCCCACCAACAACACAACATAACCTTCTTCGGATGCACTCCAGCTTTGGATGTGGACGGTGGTGTCTCCCCTTTATAAACATATACTCTTTTTCTAACCACGTATTTATAAACTATCCAGTTTTCATCTCCAGTCACCAAGTAGTCCAAAAACGGCCCCCTTTTGTGACAAGAAAGATTTGAAGAACATATGGAAATTCTGTCCATTAAATTTTTTCGCTTAATTCGTGTGGCACCCAAACAGAGAGTTTAGAAACGAAACCAAGCGTTTCAATGTGATCTAAAGCAGTAGTCTGGTGAATTCCAAGCTTGAAGCCTACTTTTGTGGAAGTTAACGTGGGATTTGTCTTGATCATACTGCGTAGCACTTCATCATTGACATCTGATGACCTTCCTGAACTGTGTTGATCTTTCAAAGAAAATTCACCTGAACGAAATTTCCCAAACCACTTTTGGTATATTCGAGCTATTACTGCGTCCTCTTCAATCACGTCACACCAGGTTTTTTTGCCTTCATCGCATTATTCCCTTTTTGGAAGTCATATAACATACAATGTCATAAGTGCAATTTTTCTTCACTCATATTGACAGTTTTAAAAGTTTAAAACAACTGACTTAAATTTGAAAAAATGAGTATAAATCATCAATCATATACTAATCTGACTATTTAAACTGGTTTCAGTCGGATTAGAATTCTTGGTAAGGATCGGCAACGCATAAAAGTGCACGTGTTCAATAACGACAGAACTTTCCCTTATACCTATTAGTTATGGTGAATTTGAATTTGATTCTTATTTATAGTTTAAAAGTTATGTGCATCATAAACGCAGTAATTATCCTAGCTTTCAAACACTACGACAGTACCTACTACCGTCAAATACCTACTACCTATAAGTAGTCTATACTGACTGTACAGATAGCAAAATAAAAAAATAAAAAATAAAAATTGATAACTTTCTCAGATTTACACAAATATTTGATAACTTTAATAAAACGTTTTTTTGTCATCCATACAAAATCAGAATAAGACGGCAAAAAATAGTTTTATTTAGACGTCATTAATATGCGTCTTTAAGCTTCAGTGGCCATAAAAAAGTAAATGAATAACGTATTATAAATATTACTTTTAACATCATAAAATTGTTAATTGTTTCTAAACTTACGCGAATATAAGACATTTAAAAAAATCCTCTCTCTCCCGTGACCTTGATTGCTGTAAATCATTCGAAATTTTGGAAATAAAAAATCTAAATTACAACCGCCAAAACATCTGAATGAAAATCACTACATAGTATAAAACAAAATAGCTTCCCTCTGTCTGTCTGGATCTTTAAAACTACACAACGGATTTGATGCGGTTTTTTTAATAAATAGAGTGATTCAAGAGGAAGGTTTTAGTATATAATTTGTTAAGTTTTATTTACATTAGCTAAAATATAACGATGTTTGTTGGAGGTGTTGAAAAAAAAGCCGTTTGGGAGCTTTTAATGAAAACCCTGCCTAAACCCTTTGGATATAACAAAATAATGGCGGAATTGTGTATCTTATATAGGTCTACAGAAAAGTCCGCGATGGCATAATTCGTTGGCTCACTATTACAAGGTTCAATGTTAATTTTAATAAAGTTTAGTAATTTTTACATAGAACTTCGTTATTTTGTTATCGTAAAAAAAAACATAGAACTATGTAAAATTGAATATTTTGTAGTTATAGTGCCGCTATCTAGTGGTTTGTTTTAGCAAAACTGTCGCTAATGACACATAAAACCTTGTCGCATTAATAACTAAATAAATACTAAAATTGTAACATAGACCCTTGTAATTGTGAGCCAACGAATTATGTCTATCTCTTAAGGATAACATTCTACATCCATCTTAATTTAAAACTTACCTAATAAATTATTAAGAAATAATGTTCCTTACCCAGTGATCATCCCAGTGGTTCGCGACGAGAGCCGAGCCGAAGGACCGGGCCGGGTTCATGGCGGAGCCGGTGTAGTCCACAGCCAGGAGGTGCCCCAGCGTGACCGTCAGCCCGATGGCGAGGGGCGCTGTGGCTTTGCTGTCGGGTTTGTTCGCGTCGCAAACCTGGTGACGTATACATTCATTGTGGGCTTTACTATTTGCATCTCTATGAAGTATGTACCAATATATAAAGCTGTAAAGATTCATTTGTTTGGTTGAACAGTCCGACTTGTAATTTTTTTTCTATTTTATATGTAATAGGTTATCTAACATCACGCTATAACCATTAGTAGCGTAAAAATTATATATAATCTACGCGAACGCGTAAAAGCTTCTATAAACTAATATTATAAAGACAAAAGCTTTGATTTTTTTATGAAGGATAAGCTCAAAAATTACTAAGCCGAATTCATAATAATAAAGCTACATTATCAGCGAGTACCATGGGTTGTATTTTATTTTTAAAAACGTAAAACTCAGAAAATTGCAATATTGTAACCCAAGGTATTTAAAATTTGCCTATAAAAGTTATTGTTTGGCGTGCGCCGTTGACTGCTAAGCTGCTAAAACTATTGATGACAGATAAAACAATGAACATACATATTTATAGTACTGATTAGTGATTAGGTACGTACAAAAAAGTCCACGATGCTTCATTGCGTAAAATGTACGTGTATATTAGAACGCACCCGAACGAAGTCTCTAGTTATAATTCATCATTCATTTCATTTCCGAATACTTCCATATAAATATGACTTTAATTTTGAAGTAAATTAGAAAACTTTAACTTTAGACAACTTCAATTCACAGAGCTTAATGTTAAGCTTTTTACTGGTCACAGTTAATGTAATTATCTATAATCTAATTTAATGCACTAACTACTACTACTAATTTAATTTTAACGTATTTGTTTCCTTATGTAATAAATATAGACTTTTTTATAATAAGTTAAACGCTGCTACTAATAACTCGAGCAATTGAAATCAGGTTAACCAGAGTTGTCACGCGATTCGCAATGCACTATCAACATTTAGTATCAGGTCAGAGGCCTCGGGCCTCGTAAGCGTGGAGTCAATCTTCGTATAAAAAGCATACTTAGAACTGGTTTTGTTCATAAAAACCATTAGGTACCCAAGGAGGGCGCAGTGAGATCGCGCAATAGTGTCTTGGTACTTCCGTGAATTAAATAATTAATTTGTTAATTCACTTGGATATTCTGCTTTATAAATCCTGTCATAGGCTATCTAATTCGATGTGCAGAACATATGAGGGTCGTGGTTGATGCATAATAAGTTCTGTATTTAGATTAAAGCAAATATATTATGTATGATGCATATATCTAAGTTGCACGAAGCTCTTACTTGTAAACACATAAATTTGCTTATCTATGTATCTAATAAATTGAAACCTTTACTTCTCTATACATTTAGACAATGACCATGAAAAATACTAAAGAATTAAATAACAAAAACTATGTATATTTGATTTAATGAAAAATCGGTAAATCCACATCTTTGTCAATATTATAAAATTTGATTTGATTGTGTACATAAATACCATGAAAATGACAAAACAAGTTTGAATATTTCAATGAGCGGAGATTAGCGCAGATTATATCGGCGTACTAATGACACCGGTCACGGAAGCTAATGCTTTATTACTATTCAAGCACCGTCATTAAATGATTTAACGTAAATGAATGTGGTGTCTTTACTTGCAAAGCTGACTGAGTTTATAAATATGCTAAAAACTAACTTGTTACTGTAATCTGAATAAATCTATTTCCCTATAAATTACGAGGAACTTTGTTATTCTAAAGCTGTTGTAAGCTTCTTAATAAGTTTAGTGCATCATATAATTTTAATATAAGTAAAAGTACGTACCTAAATTTTGGGAAAATAACCAACGAAAACCTGCTTCATATAAATGGTATTTACATAAAAAAACTTATAGAATGAGATCGTATTCGGAGAATTGTTGAACCGCTTTGTGCAGGTGTGTAATGATACCTACTTTATTTAAGTACAAAAAATATCTTCCGGACATTTTATTTTTATTTTTTCAGATAATAAAAAAAAGTCCCGTAAAATGGTATATTAAGATAAATGGACTAAGTTGGATTTTCCCACTAATATGTAGATACATATAGTAATTCGAATTCTATGAAATATAAATCCATTTTTAGGTTCCAGAAATGTTAGGCAATTCAAGGAAATCTGTCTCATCATTAACTGGTCACCCATCTATATCCGTTCCTCATCTACTTCGCTTAACCTTACTGCCCTTGACATCCATCAATTTAAAAAAAAACTATAAATTTAAAAATAAAACTCACCCCACAAACAACAAAAACGAGGACGAATCCCAAAAAGAACTCGATTCCAAAGCCTTGCAATTGCGTCACGTTCTTCCCAAGTCCCGTAGTGCCGAGAGTACCGGCCACTTGTTCTGGAGTGAACGCTTTAAGGAGCCCTGAGCCGGCGGCTGCGCCCGCGCACTGCGCTATCACGTAGAGGATACCGCGGATAGGCTTCACCTTCCCAGTTGCCGCCATACCAGCGGTCACGGCCGGGTTAACATGGCCACCCGATACGTGACCGATAGCCTACAATAAAATATATATTTGTATTCCCCAAAACCAGTGTTTCCATTTCAAATGTCATCTGCTTAAAAATAATTTCTTAACTTTACCCCAAAAAGTTGTGATGTAGTTTTATAATTTCACATAATTTTGAATATTAAAACAGGTTTAGGAACAACCTAAATAATGTATAAAATTTATGAAGATAAAATTTAAACACATTTAAAACATTCATTAACAAATACTCATGGTTTTTATTGAGTTGAAGAATCGCCTAATTTATTAATCAGTATCTTTATGTCTGGTGCAAGCAAGATACCTATATGAATTATTCAAATATATTTTAATTAAATTCTTATTTGAAACATTTGGCAAAAAGTGTGACGTAAAGTATCTGCAAAGTAATTGCACGCAGTAAATATCTAGTATAATATCGTATCATACGCCATGACAGGGAGATAAAACTTTAATCTTTATTATGGGTATGGCATCTTGTAATAGTGCAGTAAATTTTTGCCATATCACATTAAGCCGTGAAATTGTAACATGACTAAAGAGGTTACATAACTCATGCCTTAGGTACTACTTATCTACATATACACGAATTTAAGAAATAGATATTTTTGACTTTCTTACAGAAACTATAGCGAAGACAGCGAGGCCGAAGGCAAGTGCAATAAGAACAATGTCAGCGACAGCTTCTGAACCGTGCGCGATGTTGACCACCGCTCCACAGCCAAATAAGTTCAACAGCAGGTTACCTACGTAAACAGTAAAACATTGAAAATACAATTCAATCCAATTCTTTTGTTAATGGCTTCAAAGATTGAACATACGATCAGCATTAAAGAAAATAAAGTGCTAAGCTAATGTATGTAAATATTGACAATTTAAAAATACTTGTAAATGTCTATTTGAATTAAATATTTTGATTCGATTTATCATTTTTTATACATGGACTTTGCTGTAGATACATATAATTTTAAAAGACTAATTTTCTTTAAACTTTAAATTTATAATTTAAATTTTGTTTAAGATTATATATAAGTACAACGAGCTTTAACTATTTCAAATTAGGGCAGGTATATATATTATGAATTCTACTCGTACGAGCTTTATATGCAGCTTTACTTAAGTTACTCGTATTAACCGTCTAAAAAAGAGGAGGTTTCCAATTGAAATGTACATTTTTTGTGTATATTAACCTACTAAAAAATATTAATGTATTTTTTAAGAATGCAAATTTTAAGAATTTTCAACGCTGATAAGATTTGGGGAATTCATTTTGAAGTATCTACTATAGCTTTTTCATCACAAATATTCTTAAGAAAGAAAAAGTGTATAAATTATTATTCTTAGTAGTTGCTTTATCATAGACAAGTAGTAACTCAACAATATTAATTATGCAAAATGTGAAAGTAAATAAATTAGATAAATTTAAGGACGTTTACCAATAAATTCTGCGAGCAATGCTTTGCTGATTGCAGCCGCACCTCCCGACAACTCATCTAAACCGAGCTTTGCACCAAGTTCACCCATTTTTCTGAAAAAAATAACACAAAAAAATCGTGATTTGACGATTTGGATTTTTTGCGTAGATGTTTATGAGCCGACTCGCTATCTAAGCTATGTATGGGATATTAATGTCACAATGAAAGAACTGCTCGAAAAATATATTATAACGTTCTAAGAAACAAGAATGTGTCAGCAGCATTTACCTATGTAGGTATATTTAAATTTTTTACTTGTATTTCTCTAGCATAAAATATTTTATATATGCTTATTTGTAATGTTCATTAAATATATATATATATATATATATATATATATATATATATATATATATATATATATATATATATATATATATATATATATATATATATATCTTGTCGTTATTATTGCGCACTTGAATACGATGTTTAAAGGTGAGAAAAATCTTTAAATTTTATCAAGATTTTACTTTCAAAGCCGTTAAATTCTCCGAAAAGTCTCTGCTGGTGTTATTACTGTATTATAGCGGCTATCTGTATATACTTATGTTATGTGCGTGTGATACCTATATCGTAAGAATTGTAATAAATGCGACCTTAGCAAAATGAAAAAAACTAAACTGTAAGCATTGCCAGAAATTAACTTTTTTATATATAGTATATTTATATCATTTTAAAAAACAAAAATTACACGTATTGTAAAACTTAAAGACAAAAAGGTGTTATATTCTTGAAAACATGGTATTGGTCCAAAGACGCTTCCTCTACGCATATCGTAATAAATTATTACAGCGAATACAATAATAGTTAAAAATAGTTATTAACACTACGGTCTGTTGATTAAACAAACGTGTGTTTAAATGCTAATGCACTAGTTAATATGGAATATGAATTACAAGTGTGGTATTTATTTATGCATGTTGCCGAACCGAAAGCCATAATTTAGTTCCATTTGATGATAGGCATTTGAGTCTTGAAAACCATGCGGGTCGCTGCTTCGTTAAATCTGATAACATTAGTTTTTCGCTGATTAACATTTTTTCACGGAAAGCCGGAGGGCTTACACAATAGTGGCAACAAAGGGCCAAGTCTGAACAATACATTCGTTAAGTTATTATACGAGTGATAGGGAAATGAGCATGTGATTTGTGCCGGAAATAAATTATACTAATTAGAAAGCCTGCAATGATGGAATTGCTGTAAAAGTATGGTTCAGTTGCTTTATAGCTATACTTATGTTCAAGCACAATTCGTACGCAACTATTTAGAGTAAATTTTGTGTGATTCCGGGCATTTGGGAAAATTGGGAATTTTCTAACTTATTCCGTGCTTTGACTTAATGTCTGTTTGTTTTTGAACATTTGAAAATTTTAATGAAGAATGATAGTAAATGTATTGGCTGCCTTGACAAGTTCCAAAACCGAATATCGTTAACAAGCACATATCACAGCAAGAGAGAAACAAACAGATTGAATATCATGCGTTGTAACTTATAATATATTACAATTTTATGTATTTAAAAACATTGACAATCCGATGTAAATGGCATGTAAACGTTGCAGATGTTGGCAGCGGTCCATATTTGAGTGCATCAGGAGTTGCAAGGCTTGCGCGGTTTGCCGTGACCGAGCCTTAGGTGACCTACACCATTGGACTTAAACGTCGACATTATGCCTTTCCAAAATGTTAATTATGCACTATTGGCCTCTGCATTTATATGCGTTTTCCTCTTACACACCAATTCACGGTAAGTGCGTATTAAAAATATCATGACCTCAAATATTGTTCTTGTAGGTGAAATATTAAATCAATTATTACCAACATTGGATTTCGGATAATATATAAGTAGCAAAAAGATTATTTGTAAATGATTTAAATTTTTCGAACGTGTAGTAGTAATTTTTTTTAATTAATCATTTTTCGGAAAATAAAGAAAGCGTTTTCGATAACGCATAGAGTTTTATTTTTTCCACCCGTCGAATTTTGCCGCCCTGGGCACTAGCCCCGAATGGCCCTTGTGTAAATCCAGCGTTGACATTAACGTAATAATACAATACCTACAGTTATGTCATGTTCACGGTATTTACTTTTGATTTAGATTTAGTCAGTCGCCTTTATGATAATAACTTGGGACAACAAAGGAAAAATACGTGAAGGTATTTCACGACAGTGCAGCGTTTTGTCTAGCGATTGTGCTAAGTGACGTAGAGTGTAAATTATTACAAATTGAAATTTTGATTTGAAATTTTAAACTCCGCATTTGGTTATTTCATCTGTCATATTCTTACTGTGAGGAAAAAATTAAATCTAAAATAAAATATAATAAGTAGATCTATATTCCTACAATTTTTTAATGTATTTATATCAAACTATTTCCTTTGAAAACTTAAGTAGGTATGTGAGATTTTAAATATCTAAAAATTAATGTTTTATTTGATTTAATATGTGACCTAACTACCTATATTAAAACATGAATCAAGTACGCGAAGTACCTACTGGGTATCTTCAAAAAACTTATTTGCCTTAGTATTAAAGTGACCTCATAATCTGTTTAGCATTTTAAATATGGAAATAAAGACAGAAACATTTAACATTGCTACACAAAGAACATATTACATATTATTTATTGTAATTTGAAAAGAATTAAGGTTTATTATTTAAAGTATATATATATACTACTAGCGAATCACCCTGGCTCCGCTTGGGTTCATCCCTGCTTACGTTTTAACGTTTAGTATAGATTTTTCAGAGATGAGATATTTTCCCGCAGTAAAAAGTATATGTTGACCTGGATAATTTGCTATCACCATACCAAATTTCACCAAAATCCCTTCAGTGGATTTTCCGTGATGCGGTAATAGACAGACAGACAAAAATTCTAAAAACTATAGATACGGCCTCTGTATCGATAATAATGTCTTAATGTCTATTTCAATAAGATTTTCCAACAATATTTAATGTACAGTTTCGGTTTAGTTACAATTTTATTATATGTAGGTATAGATAAAATGTTTGTGGTTTTTAATGGTAAAGTTTTGAAAACAAACTCAAAGTAATGTTAGCTGATGATAATTAATACTATTAAGAGTACTAAATTAGATTTTAATCGATGTAGTTGTTTATAGATATTTCGATGGAAGATTACGATAAATAATACCAATATGGATACATTTTTTAGAAATGCTTTAATGGATATTGAATGTAATGAAATATTCAGGATTTAGAGCAACTCTATGTTAAGGTCGAATGTGTTCGAGTAATGAGTACGCTGTGAAAAACTATGATTATAACAAAGGTTTGTCATGTTAACATTGGCTAGGACCATTGATTACAGTCATGCGGGACACCATTAGAAAAGTTCAAGGTAGAGTCTCTATAACTATATAGTAAACTAGCATTGCCCGCGGCTCCGTCCGCGTTCAGATGATCAACAACCAAACTCTTAGGTTTTACGTATTAGTATACTCTTATAATGCATTTTTTGTATTTTTTCTCAGAAATGAAATATTTTCCCGCGGTAAAAAGTCCTATCCTATATGTTGACCCGGATAACCAGCTTTCATCATACGAAATTTCATCAAAATCCCTCCAGTGGTTTTTCCGTGATGCGGTAACACAGACAAAAATTCTAAAAACTATAGATTCGGCCTGCGTATCGATAATAATGTTTATTTCAATGACATTTTCCAAAAAATATTTAATGTACAGATTCGGCTTAGTTACAATTTTATTATATGTATAGATATTTTAAACAAAAATAAAAAAATGTGGCACTCGGAGACTGCCGCGGTAAAGCTATTGCATAGCATTTTTTATCAACTTATGCAATTATAATTATTTATTTATTTTATTAATGCAGTATTTTTTTTCCTTGACTTTCTTCATTAATAAATGCACTTTCTTTATTCATATTTAAAACACTTTGTACACAAATTATACGAGTACAGATATTCACTGTTGTACATGGATGATAAATACCTATACACCTATATACTTTCTCACAAACAGCTGATTACGGTAGTTTTCCAATACAACCAATGCCACCTAAAGGCGGGTTGCTGAACTAAAGAGACAAGCGTGATATTTCAAAAAGTCATTAAAAGTTCTGGTATTTATCGATAGATGGAAAAACTAAAAAGTATCACCGCTGTGCCGGTCGGAGTGGGGGCTGTCAGGTTTTTTCGTTACGGAATTTCTGGATTCGGTCCCCACGCTCAAGGCCCGCGATAGAAGCTATGCAATAGCTTAAAAAAAAAATTAACATCCAGTCATAGAGAAGATGGCTTCTAATATACAACATTATTTTGGTATTTTTATGACCGTATCTTATCGTATCTTACTGTTCGTCCGCCAATAAGATCCTAATTAATTAAGTTTTCATGAATAACATTATGTACTTAATAACATAGTTCCTTGTTTAATTTTGTTCTTGTTTGTATTTTCAATATGCTGTTAATTTAGTTTAATAAAGGAGGTGTTGTATTAGTTTATTTTATAATAAGACATATCTATAGAATCTTTGTGGTGTAACATAGGAAAAGAATGGAATAAAAAATGACGTCAGATATTATATATGTTCTTAAGCTATAAATAATATTAATATAAAATAATAAAATAAACAATAATATTAATATAAAATAATAAAATAATAGTTGTGAAATTATTTATATTATAGATAAAAAGTATTTTTTTTATATTAACATTTCTTGGCAGCTATATCTGTTTACTTTACAATAGTAAATTTTACAATAAATATTATAATAATACTTATACAAAAAAAAATTATTTCATCAAAAAATATTATGAAAATAATTGATGTGATTTACATAACAGTACCTATGTATTTTATGATTATAACTCTATAAATCACACCTCCTACTTACGTGTATTTTCTCACAACAATCAATCAAAGTAGGTACCTACTCTTCCATCAGCTTTAGATGTCTACCATTAAGGATTATTTGATATATGATAAAAATATAATATTGACTTTTATATGAATTTCCAGACAATTTTATAGGGTTATAACAAAATTCTTACTTAACT